TAACACAGACGGCAAATGCATACGGCAGGATTTTAACCCAACAATTGTCAGATTCCATGCCAGATGTACTTTCTGCTCTGCTGAGACCACCCTAAAAATGCCTTAAAATAGGCCATGCAAAAAGATGCCCTCATGGGTGTAAGGACAAGGAGAAAAATCCATAGTGATTAGTAATTTATGAGAAATTATAGCTTACCTTATTATTATTATAAGGCAATTATATTGCCTTATATTCTTTACAATACTTCAGCATAGATAACTGTGTATATTCACAAACCCATACATACATATACATACATGCATGTCAAATGTCATTTTAGCTACATATAGGGTTAAAATAACCTTTCAGCCCTAAATCAGGCATCCATACTCCCAAAGGTACCCCAAATTGATCATGCCTAATTCAAAAATGTGAAATGATCCAAAATCTAAAAATTTTGAGTACTGATATGATGCCATGAGTGGAAAATTCCATACCACTAAACTTTGTTTCATGAACAAAATTATTAAGCCATTGCATCAATTTCTTTCAGGCTAAGTATAAGGCATGTATATTTTTGTTTGTTTTATGGTGCTGGGGATTGAAGCTAGGGCCTCACTCATGCTGGCAGGTGCTCTGCCACTGACCTATACATCCAGTTGTACAAGGTTTATTACATAAATGAATTTCTTGTTTAATTTCAGATCCCATCACCTAGACATTTCATTTTATATATAAATGTAAATATTCCCATATCCAACACACTTTGATCCCAACCAAGCATTTCTAATAAGGGGTATTCAATTTGTACAAGCACATTTCAACTAATTCACTCTACACTAAATGAGTAATTCACATTAAGAAATGCAAGAGGGGTCAGGTGTGGTGGATCACACCTGTAATTCCAGCTATTTGGGAAGTAGAGAGAGAGAGAATCAAGGTTTGAGACCAGCCCAGGCAAAAATTAGTGAGACTCCCATCTTAACAAACAAGTCAGGCATGTTGGTGCACTCCTGTGATACCAGCTACGCAGAAGGCATAAGCAGATGAACTGTTCTTCAAGATCAGCCCCAGGCAAAAACTTGAGACCCAGATGGAAAAATAACTACAGCAAAAAGGGCTGAGGTCATGTCTCAAGTGGTTGGTAGACTGTGAGTCTAGCAAGTGTGAGGCCCTGAGATCAAACCTCAGTATCTATCGCAAAGAAAAAGCCATGAAGAGGTCAGAAAACATTAGAGACAGGCCTGCTGCTCACAGAATCCAAAATACCTATCAGTTGTATTTCAGAAATAAGAATTTTTAGGCATTACAGAAAATGAATGTGTCTACATCGTAGATTAGCCCTGAGCAGGGTCTGAGGTGGCAGCCAAAGACTTCAATATTTGTGCAAAGGCAAGGCTATTCACATACACGGCTTAAAATAAAAGACTATAACAACTAGTCACGGATCTCTGTTATCAGAGCTGTTTGGAATTTCTGCATTGTAGGTAAGGGATTGTGGACCTGTAACTGTGAGTGCCCAAATTACTTAGCACAACTGCAAAGCATATGCTTCCTTTGAAAGCTGGTATTAAGCTCCACGTGTTTCCATGTGCACATTCGGTAACCCTTCGGGTCTCTCCAGAACTGGGCTGACAGTGACATATATTCAGAGTACAGCATGGAGATAAGAGCACAGCCAGGGCAAAAGGCCTATGAAGGCTATAGAGTGGGTGCAATGCTGTGTGCTGGAAAGCTTTACATTATTCATAGAGAAGCTATATCTTTAATCTGATCTGGTTTCAAACTCAACATAGATAAGAACCAGATCTGAAAGGCAGGTACACAAAGCAGTCACCAGTAATCTGACATTTGATAATAAAGAAGAAAAATGAAACTCTTGTTAAAGGAGATAAGACCCTAACTGCACAGGCAAAGAGGCCTGAATTTCAATCCCAGCTCTACCAATAGGAGCTGTGCGATCTTGAATAACTCCTTAACTTCTCTGTGCTTCAGTTTATTCCTCAATTCAACATGGATGAAAATGCTGCCTGTCTCCAAGGTTGGCTGTTAGGATGAAATTAAATGATGCATGGGAAGAGCTTAGTGCAGTGCCTAACAATGACAGGGCACTTGGATAAAATTTATACACTAAAAGTGAAGTACAAATTCACACACAGTATAATAGCTTGAATAAGTTTAGACCAATTCTTCAGAACTCAGAACAAGGAGAGCATTACTACTTTTGGGTCTAGAAAATTACCATTTTGGCTGTTCTAGATGAACTTGAGTGTGTCATCTAACTTCTCTGGGCTGGAGAGTATTAGATTAGCCCAGATAGTTTTAAAGGAGGTAACAAGTGGTTCTAGGGAAGGAGTAGTAGAAAAAAAAAATTACTCTTTTTATGTCTGAACCACAACTACAGAAGTACAGACACAGATACACAGTCTTCCATAGTATTTGAATTTAGGTTCCCCAGGGGACCTAAAAGGCTCCTTTGAGAAGAGAAAATGAAAAAGTTGAGAAACACTGGGGTTTTTTTAGCCTATTTACAAGATTTTATTTTATTCACACACATGGGCCATAATTTAAAACATATAATACAGTACTATATACTGTAGTAGAGTACACTTTAGTATGCTAAATTATTTTATCCTTTTTAAAGTATGAAATATGTAAAAATTATACCTAAAAGTAGAAATTAGTGAAGTAAACAAAAACAAATAGAAATGTACATTTTTTGTCAGTAAATAACAGCTATAAATTATTAAGTTTTCAGGGAAGTTTGTCCTGTTCCTTTCATTTCCCTTCTACAAATACTTAAATATTTACAACAATTGGAAACACTGGTTTAGATAAAACTGTAAGGTTACTTACAGTTGTCAAGGTTCGTTATATCTATCTTCACAATAATAATCCAAAATTTCAAAAGTCTAATGGTCTCCCACAGATGGTTTAAGAAGGCAAGGAAAGATTCATTTATTCCAGAAAGATGTCCATTTAGAGCAGTTAAAACTTGTAAATATTACTCTGTTAAAAAGAGAAAATGAGCAAGGTGTGCTGGTATACACCTGTAGTCCCAGCTCCTTGGAAAGCCAAGATAGGTGGATCGTTTGAGGCCAGTCAAGATAAAAGCATGAGACCCTATTGAAAATCAAACTAAAAACAAAAAGACTGGGGTTGTGGCTCAAATAGTAGAGCACTTGCTTAGCAAACATGAGGCCCTAAATTCTGAGTTCAATCCCCAGTACTCCCAAAATAGGGAGGGAGGGAGGGAGAGAGAAAAAGAGAGAGAGAGAGGACTCTCTCAATATACAGAAACCCTAGCTGCCATTTATGAAGGGATCTTGGGAGCTGGTTTTATATTTTCTTGGGTTTATAATAACAACATTATCTAAATCAGGTCTAAATATTAATATATTACATAAGGATAACTACTTGTAACTACAATAAAATTAGAACGCTGTGACTTTCTTAGCTATGATAAATGAAAGATCACCTTGGAATATAATTCATTTTTAATTGCCTCTTCCATCTAATCTACCTACTGCTGTAGGCTGTCTTAAAATATTTACCAAGTAAAAGCAAAAAAAGAACTGGAGGTGCTAAATAAAGCAGGTCGCTCATTCCTAAGTGATCAATTTTTCTAGTATTGTTTACAACAAAAGCAAAGTCATTAACTCTTACCTATGGAATTTTTGGAAATGAAGCAAGTCTAAGCACTAGCTCAGTTAAAGCTGTTCATCTTCCCTGCCTTAGTTTTTATGACCCTTACTCTACCCAAATAACCTGTTTTAAGAAAGAAAAAGAAAAAAGTTGTACTAAAAGTCTAGAAAGATCAAAATTATAGCCATTCTGCTTGACATTTGGTGAAATTCTATATTTGCTATCAGCTCGGTCTTACTTCCTCCAGAATCCAAGTTACACCTGGCAATACAATCGCGTTTATATACTCTCCTTGTAACTCTCTGTGTGCAGTTGTCAGAACTGCTTGAAAGATTCTATCTACAAGAACTACAAGGACCGAGGTTTCAGGCCACCCAAGGCAAAGGTAATGTGAGACCCTATCTGAAAAAAGAAAGGAAAAGCAAAAGGACTGGGGATGGGATGGAGGGTGCCTCAAGTGGGAGAGGCCATGAGTTCCATCCCCAGTACTGAGGGGAAAAATAAAGATTCTAACTAAAACTAACATTCAGAAATGCACAAAAATTCTTTATGTCAAGTTGTCCTTAAATGCTTGACCACACTATTACCAGGAATAGGTATCCTAAAGGGTTCTGATACTATCAATTTTATTACCAGCAAAATAAATGTGTATTGATATCAAATTACTTTTCAGAAATTGCATTTGAATAGAAAAAGATGTTTGAGAAAGCAGAATTTCACTTGGATGCAAGCACTACCAGTACTGTGTATGAAGTAAATACTTTCTTTTACTGATGATGACTATAAATGTACAGTTCTAAAGAGATGCTGACTTTGGCTTATAGTTCCTTAAATCCTAGGTGTTCAATTAGAGGAAAAATTTCTTCTATAAATACATATGCTATTTTAGGTTCTTCCAAATGTACAAACCAGACACTAAATACATATAGATTATTTCAGAGGACATGCTGGGTCCATGGTATCTGGTCCACAAGTAAGGATGTCCAGCCAAGCATCACACTGTTAGAATTACCACTAAGGATGATATTATTCAGAGGCATCTGTAAGTATATGCGTTCCTTACCAGAGTATACCAAATGTATTATAAATAATACTAAGAAGCACAAATAAACCAGAACAAATAAAATAATCATTGGCAAAGTTTAGGCTTATTCAAGGAAAAACTGCATTGTAGAAATTCAAGTAGGTGCTGTGTAAAAATATATTCTGCACAAAGTAAGCATGATAATTTCTACTCAGCACACCACAACATAAAAACAGAAAAAAAATATATAATTCTAGTGGCCACATATCCAGCCTGTTTCTGCGGGAAAGTCAAAGCAATCTCATTCTGGATTTGACAATACACGTCTTCACACAGGGGCAGTCGAGTTACCTTTGTTTTAGATTGATCCAGGATGTTTTTAAATACTCGGTGGTTTCTTTCACATTCCTTGTGTCATCATTACCATATTCCTCCAGCAGTTTCTGCAGGACATTATCAAATGCCATGAGGACACCATCGCCAGGACCCAGTTCTTGAAGCAACATCTAAGATACAAGTAGAGGTGTAATTGTTAGTCCTGGTCACTCAGTAACTAGTGTTACCTAACCACACTGGTACTCTTTGGATGTTTTGATATAATTTAGACACAATAACACAAAGAGAAAAAAACAGGGGCAAACTCTTGCCTATTAGCTTAAATAATAATTAATAATAATATAATATTATTATTATAAATAATATAATATAATAAATAATAAATAATAATATAATAATAATTCTAGAAGCTAAAAGAAAAATGTCTAGGAAATCAGGAACATAGCAAATGATAGTAAAAGATTGTTATATTTTCCTCTTTGAGATGTTTCACTTCCTCAAACCATTTGTCCTTCTCATTTTTTCTGCTACCCATCTGAATGCTACAGGACTGTGCATCACATAGGAATGGCCAGAGAGAGTTCCTCTAACTACAGTTGGAGAAATGACAGAAACCAACACTTTTCTGTCTTTTGTCCCATTGACTGTGTTTACAAAGCCAACTGCTTGGATGCACCAGGAGCCTAGCAAGGCACAATCACACTGACAATGAGTGTGTCTACAAGCACTGGTCTCTCGATATACATTTCAATCCCTGTGAGTCTCTGGATCAAGACATTCCTCATGAAATCTATATGACAGTCAAATGTCCTCTTAATGCTTTATGTAGAAACTGGGGAAATAAATCTACCCTAAGGTTTCAGAAGAAAAGAACTACACAGTTATTTAGATTAGAATAAAGTCTTCCATTGGTATCTGTGGAAGAGTGACTCCCTGAGCCTTCTCCTCGGGTGGATACTGAAATGCACAAATGCTCAAGTCTTAAATAAAATGACTTAGTATTTCATCTAACTTATGCATTTCCCCCTGCATACTTCAAATCATCTCAAGGATGCTACATTAATAGTTGTTCTATTTATTATTTATAAATAATGACAAGATTCTTTGCTTGTACATGTACAGTACAGATGCCTAATTCTATGGTACATGATCCAAGGTTGATTAAATCTGGATACCGATCCTGCAAAAACAAAGGGCCAACCAATCCTGAATATAGCAATGAAGTACTGATATCTTTTTAATTGCCTTTCTCTAGCTATGTGGCTAGGGGCTTTGCCACATATTACTTTGGATTCATTTGTTATAAATAATCAGTGGGTGTCATAAACACAGAGAATGATCCAGAAACCAATAGATCTGACTACTTGATAACCATGGAATGTCTACATTTATGAAAAATAAAATGTGACTCCAGGATTTAGATTTTGTTTCTATACATTCTTTTCACTATATTCTCTATAAATATACACTTTCACCTTAGGCTACCTGAAAGGTAAATAAAATGTTACACCAAAATATAACCTCCCAGTCACAACCTTCAATTCAAGAATATTTGCTGTGATTGTAGAGGGAATTGAAAATAAAACTTTAAAAATACTCTAAGTGTTTGACATCATCAACTCTATAATCATCTGATCACAGTCCCTGCTATTGATAAAGCAGGGTGTTATAAAGGTATTAAAAAAACAAATTAATTATTACCTGACTTGTTCACAGCAGCGACATTCAAATGAAAGTCTTAGGAATTTTTATAAATAAAAATAACCTCCAAGGTGGGCAGGAAAGGGAGTAAAATGAGGTTTCTGGAGTCCTGAAAAGGTTCTCTGTCTAAATGTTGGCTCATGCAGGTGATCCACTGACAAAAACGTACATTTTCTGTTTGTTATACCTCCAAGAAATTTCTCAGAAAACCTTCCTGATCAATTTCTTCCTATCTGTTTCAATATGGATTCTGAGAACTTAGGGAAGTATCATGACAGAATTCTAAGAATTATAGATAACAACAGAACAGTAAATTCAGCCAGGTGACACTGCGAGAAAAATCTCTGATGGTCTTACTTGGTTATCAGAAATCTGCTTGGGAAGTGGCTCCCTCCGGGCTTGCTGAAGCATGTAGAGACGAGCCTCAAATTTCCTCATCAGCTCCTCGGTCTCCTCCCTGTGGTCATCCCACCGAAGACTGTCGACAACCATGTCCTCCAGCTGCTGCCGTCTCAGCTCCACACCGTGCTGTGTGCTGTCCCACTGGCTCCTCACCTTTTCCACTGGGGGAAGCAGTATGAAAAAAAATCCCCCAAAGTGACTCTCAGGAGAGGGAAAAACACCTGCTCCCAAATTTAGCATAAATTATTCTACAAATAGAAAGGGGGCAAAATGATAAGTACATCTTAAAAGAGTTCTAATATTTGTCTGCCACATAATATAATTGGACATGTTTCTTTTTGTTTGTTTGTTTGTGACAGTCTCACTATGTAGCCCAGACTGGCCTTGAACTTGAGATCTGCCTGCCTCAGTAGCTGTAATTACAGGCATGAGCTTGTAATTCCCGGCACATGAAACTACCTTTGAGGAAAAAGTCTTGGATTAAATTCTATTTTAGATGCACTGAAAAATATAGCAATAAGAATATCTACTATTATAAACTAATAAAACAAGATTAAGAAAATAATCCTCTATTGAACCTTGTATTAAAAGAACTTGATTTGATGAAGGCACAATTTAATGGTAATTTATGACAGAACTTTAAGATAGAGATACAGTCACCTGTTACCCTCAAAGGAAATTGCTAATAAGGTAACCAGAATTTAAATTTAAAAAAAAAAAACTAAGAATACTTTTTACATTTACTGTATTATAGCATGAAACCTCTCAAAAAGGAAACATTTTACCATGTTAAAGTAAAAGAGAAACACTAAAAGTAAAAAAGTTTCAAGTTCTGTATGCCAAAAATTCTATATTTGCTTTTTTTGGGGGGCAGGGGATAGTGCCATGAATTGAACTCAAGACCTGTTTGTTCTACCACTTGAACCATGTCCCCAGTCCTTTTGCTTTTTTAGTTTGTTTTTCAGAAAAGATCTCATGCTTTTTGTTTCAGACTGACCTCAGACTGATCCTCCAAGCTCTGCCTCCTGTGTAGCTAGGTATTATAAAAATGCACCATCCAACTGGCTTGTTTTTGAGCTTAGGTATTTCTAACTTTTGCCCAAACTGGTCTTGAATGAACCATAATCCTCCTTCCTCCCATCTCTGCTGCCAAGTACCTGAGATTAAAGATGTGCACAAGCACACTCAGCCTTTCCCTAACCCTCCCTCCTTTAGTATCATTTCTTTCCACTCTTTCTTTCATTATGTTTTTTCTGTCTGTCCCTTCTCTCTGCTCATCTCCTCTCCTCTCTTTTTAAATATGTTTCTTTTTAAGAAACCTAAAGAAACTTAAACTTGATTAGTCACTTCAGAGGCAATTCAAGATCTTGGACTTAATACAATAGCTCTGAATATCAGTAACAACCCACTGAAAATAAGCAACTAAAAGGTCCACAATGAACTGAAAGCACGTGCTCCAGATCTCAGACAGATTGAGGGGCTAGAGTTAAGTACCAGGCCCAAGAAGAACCTAGCGACAAGATTAACCTTCCAGCTGAGTTATGGTAAAACATTCTAGCAAAATTCTTGGACTAATAGAGGGCTACAATAAACCATAAAAGCTATCAATTAAAGATCATTCAGAAGGCTAAAAATTACCCTTACATGTCATATCTCTAAAAAATTGTTTGATGAGATTATCCATTTTATACTACCTTCACAGTTTAAAGAAATTGCTTGCCAATTAAAAAGTTATTTAAAGTACTTATGACTGATTATATTACTAAGAGAATCACTTAATATATTGAGCAAATACAACTTAAGATATCAAGCGACAGCAAATGTCAGTTTTATCGTGATGAATAAACAAATTATTTTATTCATTGTAAGGAGTGAACGCAGTCACTGTCAGTAACAAGCACACCCCAGCTAAGAAGGGTTTTTCATATACCAAGTAACAATGAAGACTCTGTGGTCTTTACACGCACGCACACACAACACGCACACATACACATGGAGGGAAAACAAGGAAGGGCATAAAGAGAAAGGAGAGATACTCAAACAAAGGAAAGTCTTGTTTAAAAAAAAACTTTAAAATCAGTTCTAATCATGTCTGATGGTAGATGAGCAGAATGGAGATGGTTGTTTAGTTTGGCGCCATTAACAAAAGGGCTCCCCAGCCAGGTAAGGAGAAATGAGATCACTTCAGAGCCCCTAAAAGGCATGAAAAATCAATTGATTAACAAAAAGAGGGAGAAGGAAGGAAAATGACTTGTTTGGTAAAAAATAAACCAATTTTTATGAGAATAGGCAAGAAACCCAAAAAAAACAAGATATCATTTGATGTCCTCAATGCAAAGGAACTAACACAGAAACTTTAAAGCAATAGAGGCCAATAGGAGAAGGGGACCAGGAACTAGAGAAAAGGTTAGCTCAAGAAGAATTAATTTAGAATGTAACACATATGTACAGGAAAGCAATGCGAGTAAACTCCCTTATCTCAACTAGCAAAAACCCTTGGTCCTTCCTATTATTGCTTATACTCTCTCTTCAACAAAACTAGAGATAAGGGCAAAATAGTTTCTGCCTGGTAGCGAGGGATTGAGGGGGAAAGGAAGGGGGCAGGAGGGAAAGGAAGGGGGTAGAGGGAAGGAGAGAGAAATGCCTCAAACATTGTATGCACATATGAATAAAAGAAATAAAAAATATATTTAAAAAAAACAATTTTATCATAACTGGAAGTTTTTTGGCTAATTCATCTCTTACAGTAACCTTGTTGCTAGAATGTTTATTTTGAAAGCAAAGCACACTTGTTAGTGTAAACACTTGACTTTCTTCTCTCTGGAGAGAATAGATTTTATTCTTGCACTGTATATTCTGCCACATGTATTTATTAAGTATTAATTTAATTAACTTGGGCCTTGTGGAAGGCCCAAGAGCCAGAAAGATGAGTATTCACAATGTATGGAAGGGGAAGAAAAATTAAAAGTAGCTAGAAGATCTACAGTGAGGCACAGAGAGTACGTCCACAGCAAGAACAAAGATAGAAAACACAGTCCACTGGGGACAAGAAGAGAGTGGGACCGACTTCACAAAGGGGGAGACATTTTAACTGCTAAGGAGAATTTCACCTGGGGAGAAAAGGCAAAAGGAAAAAACAATGTGAATAAAGGTACGGAGACCAGGAAATGTCAGGACGTTGGAAAGAGTATATATAGTACAGAATACTTCCAGGTGCAGCCAAGGGCCACAGGGAGAGAGAGAATCATGAAAGCCCATTGTGACAGTCCCCAGATGTCATCATTGAGGATTTAAACTTTGTTCTATATACCAAACAGATTTAAGATGCTTTTGAAATATGAATGCAAACTCCACCCTGAGATCTTCATTTGTGGGTGTTTTTTATTTCTTGTGTGTGTGTGTGTGTGTGTGTGTGTGTGTGTGTGTGTGTGTGTGGCTTAATTTTGTTTTTAACTAAAGTATCCCCAAAATTTGTGCCAGTTGCATAGACACACAGCAGCTGCTCAGAAGACATGCATGGAATAGTTTTAAGGTGAGCTATAAAAGACATAGTGACACCTGGTTTTAGCGCCTATAGTACAGTAGAAGATTTGCATTCCTGGGGGTTTCTGTAACTTACAATGTTCTCATTTAAAAGAAATTCTACCTTAAGAGAAAAAAAATAATGTTTAAGTAATTGCTTTCAACTACTGATAATATTTTAAGGAATTTGTACAAAAAATAAGAGAAAGCTATATTTCTTCATAATTAACACCAAATTCAAATATTAGTTTCTAGCTCTTCAACTAGAAATTAGTTGAGTTTTTAAAATCTTTGAAAAAGTGTATTGTGATCATTTTTAAGACAAGTGGGTAGTAATACACAACCTTTTAATCAATAAAAGAAACTTACATTTTTCTGTGATTGCTGTTCTCACATCTGAACTAGAAGCTTTGTTTTTCAAATTCTGTGCCAATGTAAAAACATAATCCAGCTGAGGATGACGCTGTTCTAGGTCAGCCTTGGTGATCTGTCAAGAGAAGTGATTGCTAAGGTTAAAGTGCTCTGCAGTAAGAATGCGAACAAAGCAAACAGGTTTGTTGACATCAAGGTTGTTGATGTTTTCCTCATCAGTTACGTGCCAGAGGAAGAATGTATGATTTGGTTGGAGGTCTTGGGCTTAAATCTTAGCTTTTCCACTAACTTGCTGGGTCACCAGGCAAGGCACCTTGCCTTTCTGAGTTTTAGTTTACACAAAAAGAAATAAAATACTGATAGCTCAGTTGCATCAAGTCTGAGGAGATTATATTATGAAAACCTCTTGGGCCTGCATGGTGGTACACACCTGACCCCAGCACTTGGAGGCTGAGGCAGGAGGATGGGGAGTTTGAGGGGTACCTGGTCTTCACAGCAAGATCCTGTCTCCAAACAAATACACAAACAAAAATCTCTTTTTGAAGATGCTCTAAAAATATCAGCAGTTATTTTTGCCGATGTCTGTTTTGAATGAGATATAAACAAATGCTAACATCACCTACAAGGAAGAAAGTCATATTGGAAAAGTGTTAATTGGAGTAACTGCAAATTAAATCATCTTAGCCAGGAAAAACTGTGATTCTAGATGCACTGTGTCTCAGTACCGATAAATAGAGGGGAAGAGTTACCAATTTCAGGAAAAGAAAATGTTTTAATTACAGAACTAACAAACAGCCATCAAGATTAGAAAATGTGATTTACAAGTTCAAATCAGGCAGCAAAAGACTTTCCCAGTCCTTCCTCATTACAAATTCACTAGATTTGTAGATTTCAGTCACTGCTATGGGAACAAGTGCTATTTCTGATTGTATTTCTTTCAACTCTCTGTGCTGGATCCCACAGCACACTTCATGAATGGGGCTCCCTTTCTTCCCGATGGCATAAGGACCCCTCAACACGACAAACGCAAAACTAAATTGTGCAAACCTCACCCACACTTCACTTCTCCTACTTCTTATTTCCTCTGATTGCAATGCATTATCTTAGCCGCAGAAAAGACTCTTTTCCTTGACTTAAGCATCTTTTGCCTCCAATCCATCCTGGAACTGGTGACACCAGTTCCCAGCAACAATTCAGAAAAGGAAAGAAATGGGGAGAAATATGCTTGCAATGGCTTACCCACCACAAGCTCCTCCACAGGGAAGCCTGAGCTGCCTTTCCTGCCTCCCCCTTACCTCCCACCACATTTCACTTCTCTTTTTTCTGTTTGCAGTACTGAGGTTTGAGCTCAGGCCATGACACTTGCTAGGCAGGCACTCTACCACTTGAGCCATGCCCTCCTCCCCCAGTCCTTTTTTACTTCAGTTTGTATTTTTAGGTAGGGTTTCACATTTTTGCCTGGAGCTAGTCTCAGACTGCAATCCTCCTACCTCTACTTCCTGGGTAGCTGGGATTACAGACATAACTCACCATGCCCAGCTCCACAATATTTTTTATTGTACAAATGTTGACCCTAACATTCACCAACATCTCCCCATTTATTGTTCATTTTGTTCTCTATTCCTGGAATACCGTTCACTTTTTCTCCAAATGTCAAAATCCCATAGCCTGCCTTATATCACTGTAAAGACAACCCCTTATTCATCCTAGCTCCCCTAATAGGTGGCCTGCACCTGCCTTTTGAATTTTATAGGATTCTGCCTTGCTCTAACAACTGGTATGCTTAACACACTCACTAGCCCTGACTCTTTTAAGTTTAGGCTTATTAGTAATGTAAAAATAATAACCACACCTACCTCACAAGACAATTAAAGAAACAAATGAGATAAACCATGCAAAACACTCAGGATAACACCTAGCACACATTCAGCACTTAGCAAATTAGTAAATTAGCACTAATTAGCACTTAGTAACTTAGTAAAAGTTAGTGATAGCTGCTATTATTTTCTTGTACATTTCTACCTGAAATATTCTTTTCACTATCCCTCTATAACACACAGCCCAGAACACAGAAACCACTAAATATGGAAAAAGAATTTTACAAGTTGATATTAGATGGTATATGTACAGTAATAAAATTATACTCAGGACACTCATTCCTACAGTCAGAAATGCAATGAGCTCATGATGAAATCTAAGTTGACGTGGTGCTGTGGGAAATTACCGTGCATCACCCTGGGCCCTAATACAGCACTGCGCTGCATTGCCTTGATACGAATACACCTGGCTTTGTGATGTCAGTGTTAGATGTTAAAAATAGACTGAGTCTTTAGCTTAAATCCATAAATTTGTTCTTATAAATTCAAGGAAAGCTTTACTCTTTGGAGTTAGCTCTGGATGACTATTTGATAATTTTTTTTTCCCCTGCTAGTACTGGAGTTTGAACTCAGGGCCTCACAGTTGCTAGGCAGGTGCTCCTCTACCACTTGAGCTCTGATAAAGAAGTTTTTTAGCCTTTTTCTCTCAGAGTTTAGGATAAGCAAAAGGGATCCAGAGATCTCGTCTCTGAGTTGTGGTGTTGCCATGACAAGCTTTCACACTATGCACCTACTTTCATCCGGGACACTGTCTTATTGATCTCTTCCACATCTCCGACAGTGACAATGTTAGACTTCAGCATCTGGTCAATCAATACCAGCCAGTCAGCTAGTTCTGTGATGGTTTTATCCAGATCAGCAGGGACTGAGATTTCTGAGGTGTGGTGAGACTGCATGGGACTCTCTGATGCAGATGAGACTAGCACCACCTTTTGGACACCAGGATGAGCTGAAATAAAAATGTAGCAAAATGGGAATAAATCAACAGGACATTGTGATTATGGTGGTGTAAGAGTGACAAATGTATGTGTGTATTTAAGTAAATTTTAGTTTAAAAATTTCTAAGAGATTTTCTTTTTTTTCAGAATGAAATGTCTATGGCACAGTCTATAATATGTTTGTTTTTGGTAGCCAAAAAGTCAACTCAACAGAGAGTCTCACACAATTCTAGGCCACCAGTATCTCTCAAGTAACTGAGAAAAAATAACAAAACAAAATACACACCAACCATGAGAAAATTAGGAGCAGTATTTTATTGGGTCAGGATTTTTTTAATGATAAAACCAATTTATTCATAATTTTCTCCTTTTTCATTTAACTTTATGACATGAGTACATTCCACTCTTAATAAACACTAATGTGAACACCTGTGCAATATCCCACACATATATTCACTAATTTGTAATAAACTCTTTCCTTCAGCCAGACATGGGGATTGCTCCTCTCCTGACAACTGCTCTTTAAAAAGGAGCTTGCAAAGAGTATCTTTTTGTGCAGAGTATTTTCCACATTTCTGATCACTACCCTACCAGAGAGTTCCCAAAGCAGAATTAGTGGTTCAGAAGAAGTTTTCAAGTTTCTGTATTTAAGTTTATGTCAAATGGCTTTTCTTAAAAGTTGGGAATTTAGGTTTCCAATAGCAGCATGGGGAACTGGTATCCTGTACCTACACTGACAAGATCCAACTCATTGGATAAACACTGTTTTATTTAATGGCTTTTTAAAATTACTAGTAATGGTAAATATTTCCATGCCCATTATGGTATAATCCATAACTATGATTTTATCTGCTTCTTTATCAATTTGTATGAGCTTTTTTCTTTTTTATTGGGGGATGGGGATTTGAACTCAGGGCTTTGTGCTTACAAAGCAGGTGCTCTACCACTTGAGCCATACCTCCAGTTTATTTTGCTGTGGTTATTTTGGACATGGGGGTTTCTAGAACTGCTTGCCTAGGGTAACCTTGAACTGCAATCCTCCTGATCTCAGCCTCCCAAGTAACTAGGGTTACAGGAGTTAATCACGGTGCCTGGCTTGTTTGAACTCTTAAGATAACCCTTGCCATAGGGTTGAAAACAATGCTTGTATCTGGGAATTTTTTTTAAATGTGTATGAGAATTTTTTCTCTTTTTTTTTTTTCCTTTCAACATTTATTTGAGGTAGTCAAATGCATAAATCTTTCTTGGAGAATTGTCTTCCCAAGAGTTTTAAAGTTAGAAATTATTATTATCTCCAAATATATGACAAATGTTTTCTTCCTCTTTTTTATTTGTTTTGTTTTGCTTTAATTTGTTTTTAAGGAGGCAAGGTTGACTCTTATTTGTCTTTGATTTTAAGACAGTTAAATTCATTATTAAATCTACTGGAACCTACTTTAGTATATGCTGTTTTAGATTAGGATTAAGCAAGTTTCTAAAAAAAATGTAGTCAAATACAAATTCAGTATAGTTGTAGTCAAAATTCCAACAGGTTTCCATGTAACTTGGCAAAATCATAGATTCAAGTTCCTGGTTGTAAAATTCAAATAGAAGAGGAAATAGTCAAATACAGTTTTAAAGAAATATTTCTGTAAGAGAGATGTGCTCTATAAGCTATTTAGGTGTAGTTCTTAACTAATGATAATTATCTCCCTTCATATATCTCCCTTCATAATGAGCTCAGACAGTCAAACACCAACAGAAGAGAAGAGCCCAGAGCAGAGGTGGTGGAGAAAGCTGCCCTTGGCAGTGACTAGACCACAGAGCAAGGGGAAAGATTTACTGTTGAACAAATAGTGTTAGAAAGGTGGTGACCTATGGAAGTGTGGGGAAGTGGTGGGACAGATTTTGACCTCACATGTATCACAGGAAAATTAATTCTTGAGGGATTAAGGACCTACCTATGAGAACCAAAATTACTAACTAAAAATCTAAAAGAATATCTTTATGACCTTAAAGCACTGAACACAGAATGGGGAAGCTATTAATAAATACTAATGTTTAAGAATTCCAAAAAGAGCACCATAGAGATCTTAAAAGTCTTTCAACAATTAAGGAAGAAGGTATCTTCTATATACATTGAAGTCAAAATTTTTTTTTTAAACTCTGGAAAAGTCAACAGATAATCCACAAAAGAGGAAACAAGAAAAGCAATAAGCAAAAGTATGAAAAACAAATACAAAAGATAGCTCAGAAAATACAAATTAAAATGCTCTGCATATCCAGGTCAGAGTGGCAAAGTAACATCTGAGAAGCTCTGACTTCTCCTAAGCAATGTGGATGTCTAAACTATCACCATCACCACCATCATCGAAGTCCCTTACTATTTCATGCTCATTTCCTCCCAAATGCACAGTGGTGCTTCACTCAAGGATATCCAACATGTGACATCACAACAGACCAAAGAAGAGACATGAAGCTAGCCATTTAAGATGTTTTGAAAATGTAAAGCAATGTCACTTTTCTAATTTTTTTGCTTTGAAAAATAGTTTTTTCTGTTATTGTTATAAAAATATATTTTGCTCACATATAATGGATCTATTACTATTATTTCAGAAGAAATTAATAAACATTTTTGAAATTTCTTATGCCAACTGAATGAAGCATTGCATGGGAGATCCAGAGCAGATAAATCCATAGAGAAGGGAACACAACTGTGGTTGCCAGGGGCTGGAGTCGGAAGAAATAAAGAGAGACTGCTTAATGAGGAAGAACTTTTACTGTAGGGAGATGGAAATATCTAAAACTAGCTACTGGTAGTACATTGTGAGTGTACTAAACACCAGTGCATTACTCACTTTAAAATGGTTAAGGTTAGTTTTAATATGATTTTAAAAAAAGAAAAAACCAGATTAAAACACTGTGTAGGAGGAGAGGGACGTGCTAAGATTAGCTTCAGATCTTATACTTGTCCTAGGTATGACTATCTTGTGAAGAATTAAGTATAGTTTTGCTGTCAATTTTGACATATGTATTCAAATGTTCCCTGCTCCTTTGCTTTAGTGATGGTAAGTAAGATAACCCACTGCTACTTTATAAGATGTATCAAATCCTTTCTTTATGGTTACAAAATTGAAATTATATTGGCAAGACAGAAAATGTCAATTCAAGACATTAATGAAGAAAACGAATCAATCCCCAAGTATTTCTTAAGCAAGACGCTGGTAAACACAAATAATGGAGAGGACAAATAAGCCTGCAATATCAAAAGAAAGAATTAAAAATCTTGTCATTCATCACTGTTTTCAGACTTCTCAGTTACAGACAGAGGAGGAGAATGAAACAGAAGAAAAGGAGAGAAGTGAAAGGGTGAAGAAAAGGTAGAAAAGGAGACAGCAGGAAGGAAGCAGGGGTAGGAAGAGAAGTGGAGGTGGAAAGAAAGGAGAACCCCCAGCAGCATCTGGCACAGGGTGAGTGGGGAGCTATGGTTAATCACATTTGGAGTTTTGCCAGGTGACTCAATAGAAGGCAAGCAGAGCCAGGTGATTAGGAGTGGTTGCAAGGCAGTGGTGACAGTAGCTGTGGTCTAAATGGAACAAGAAAGAAGGAAATAAGAAATAATGAGAAAACACCCTTTTTTCTCCACATCTAAGAGAATACTGCCTGTATGTGGATAGCTTCACTAGAAGGGAACCTTTCTAAATCCCCATCTCCCTCCCGCTTCTAAGGACTTCTAAACCTTCTGCTTTTACTCATGATGAGGGCAAAATTATGCAAGCCAAACACATTTTGCCATGACGGTTCTACCTGGTGACTTGAAAAGCTGTGTGTATCCATTAAACCCATCATCCCTGATTTCCTGACAAGCCCCTCCCCTTCCTTCCTCAGGACCCCTAGCTACCCAGCTGCTCCTTTTTTAAGGGAAAGGTGAGGCTCATCAACCATGAGTGAATGTCTTGCCCATGTTGGGCAGCCAAGGAAACCTTGAGTTTAAAGATACCCTTTTCTAATAATTAAAACTAGAATAATATAATTGCATGATGTTTTAAAGTAATTTTTCCTAACATATATGATGTTCATGTCATAGATTTTTCTATGCTGATAAAAAGTGTTTAGGAATAAATGGTGCCTTACCAGCAATCCTTGTCTGTGAGACAGAGCAGGGCTCCTGGAGGCGTGTCTTCAGTGCGCCAGGCACCTCTCTGCATATCTATAGCATCAGGCCAAACAGAGAGAAGAATGCTTATAAATAAAGTTGATTATTTTCAAAAGACAGGCCTTATTCTAAATAACAGTGCTGCCACTTTTCTTCCCTAACACTTTAAGTTTCTGTGTCCACCCTCACCATCCCCTACCATCTTGCTTGAGCACTTCACTCCACTGACATTACTGTCAAGAGCGCCACGCAGTCCTCAGCTGCACCACTTCTGCTGACTTGCCCCCACCTCATCCCCAACTCCCTTGAATTCTGTTCATACTCTGCAATCCTGACTTTCTTCCTACTTCTCTTACTGGCTCTTCTCAGTTCCTTCACCAGCTCCTTTTCCTCTGTTCATCCATCAAATCCTAACATTCCACAGGGTAGTGTGTTTGTTTGATTTTTAAATCTTTTTATCCTTGACCCTGGACTCTCTGAGTCCTGGTTTTCAACAGTTTCATTTACTACATAGAGTTTTTAGAGGCTAAAGACTCCCAATAACAAATCTTCAGGGCAGCTTTCTCCATCAACTGGATATTCAGACGTGTCCAAATCTGAATTCCTTTTCTCTATCTTCCCTGAATCCCCTTCATAAACTTTTCTTAAGGCTCTGATACTTCTGTATCAATTCCTATGTGACTCCATCTATCTCTGCAGTGCAGCTATACAATCCTTCAGATATAACTTTCTTATGCTTAAAACACATCAATACCTCTCCTGCTTAAAACACATCAATACCTCTCCGTTATCCTCAAAACAATGAATTGTTCCAAGATGGTGCTCAAATTCCATAGAGCTCCATGCATGATGAGACTGCCAGGAACCGGTGTCTGCAGGCATCTCTTTGCTTATACTCTATATTGAGCTACTTCTAAGACCCAAATCACTGTGCTCATTCCATCTCCTCTAGACCCTTTTGCTTGTTGCTTCTTCCTACAATGCCCTCTCCATTCTTCATCTGACCATTACTTACTCATCCTAAGTCAGGCAGGATAATACTCCCCCAACCTTCCATGGTTACCCTCTAAAATCAACTAGGTGTTCCATCTATCTATTCCCACCAACACTTTTATACTATAATTGTTTGTCTCCCTGTTTCACCCAGGACAAGTTCTCTGGGTGAGGAACAGTCTCATACTCTTTTCTATATTCCTAATTCTTAAAATGGTACCTGGCTTCAAGTGGGAATCCAGTGAAAACCTACCAAGTGGTTAAATGAAAGGAGGAATGAACAAAATACCCAGGTTCATACTCCCTAACCTGTGCACTGAGATTCTCTGCACAATAAGTATTGCTTGGTCTTTGACATTCTTAATTCCCCAGAGTGAGCGATATTAAAATCTGTGTGAATTCCTGAAATAAAGGAAGCTTCAGCATTGTCTAACACTGTGCTCCAAAACTGCCCACCAATTTTCTATACAATACTTACTATACTATACAATACTCACTAGTATCCTTTGTGTTAAATAAATACATGTGCTCTAACTGAATATGGAAAAGCCAAGCCTGGCAAGTGACACAGGAGCCAATATGTCTGAAAAGCAGTATAAGGCAGAGACAGTAGCAGATAAAGTCATATAAACTGGAAGCCAGAGCACGAAAGCTCTTATAAATCATAGTAAAGCCTCAGGCTTTTATCTGAATGAGATGGAAAATCATTAGGGGACTTGGTTCAGAGGAGGTACTAGATCTGAATTATATGTTAACAAATCTCCTTGGCTGCTTTGTTGAGAAGAGACCAATAAAGGGCAAAGGAGGAGGCAGGTGAGACCAGGGAGGAGTTATAGAGAGAGGAAATGATGGCGGCTTGGGAACAAGTCTGTGGCAATGGCAGTAGTGAGATGTAGTCAAGTTTATATTTTTCAGACCTAAGAAAAATTGAAAGAATTTCAATTCAGGAATCACCCATGCGCCACCCAGTACTTCTAATTATCAAAATTCTTCTCTATTCATTTTATCGTATGTGGTCATCCATCCATCCACTAAACCATCCACCAAGTAAATGGGGGACACTGACAACAGTGGTTCTGAAGAACTATTGTTGGTGTTTTGTTTTGTTTTTTCTGGGGGTGGGGGGAGTTGTCTCTGAGATATAATTCTTATAAATACCATAAGATTGGTTCCAAGGTTTCTGAGCTGAGCACTAATAAGGATGTAAGGCCTTTAACTGAAATATGAGATGTGCATGAAGCACAGAGAGAAGAAGGAAATCGGGAACTCAAGTTTGTAGTGAATTTGGGACGTTTATTAAACATCCAATTAGAAACACTGAGCAGGCACTGGAACATGCAAGTCCAGAGGCCCGAGATACAGACGTGTGAGTAACTGTGACTCATCACACAATGACTCTCAATCAGATCTGGAGCTACGAAGCATCTGAATCGACACAAACTGAGATACGGATGATTTCCTCATTTTGTTTTCTTTTGTTTTGCTTTGCTTTTGGAGACACAGTCTTGCTACATAACCCAGACTGGCCTGGAATTCATAATCCTCCTGAGTACCGGGATTACAGGTGTGCGTGATTCTGCACAGCATGACTTGCACATAAAGAAAACTCATAAAAGATAAAAAATGAGTGATTTCCCACTTCCTGAAAATTACCTCACAGGCATTGAAAGATGGCATAACATGCACTAGGAGATTCACTGCAGCATTGTTACCAAAAATAAACTTTAGAACTGAAATGGGGGCTGGTTGAATAAATTATGCTACAACCAAAAAAGAAAAAAAAAAAAGAGTGATTTGAGGTCCTACAAATGCAAACCAAAGGCAGGGGCATATCTGTTTAATGTCCCACACATACTCTGATATGGTACATACCAGGCTAAAAAGGAAAGAAACCTATGATTCATCTACCTTTGCCATTTCTACTACAAAAAAAGTAATAGTCCAATTTTAATCACGCAATTATATACTATTACATTCCTAATAAGTATACATTGAATGAGCAAAAGCACTGGAGAAAAAAAAGACACACACATGTGAAAGTCATGTACATCAGGAAGCCACTTTAAAGTTGTCGCTTTCAAAATATAATTGCTGGCATTTTATTACCTAATGTGCAACATACATTTATCACTTAATGCAGTATATAACATTTAAATCCCCTAGGCCAAAGAATTCCATGTAAAATAGAAGGCATTCTTTTTTGTTTATCATTTTTACATTTACTCACATGTGCACTCATTGTTTGCTCCCTGACCCCCACAGCCCCGATCCCACCCCCCCTTCCAGGCAGATCCTGTTCTGTCCTCTTGTTTTCCGATTTTGTTGAAGAGAAAACATAAGAGATAATAAGAAAGACACAGCATTTTTGCTAGCTTGAGATAAAGATATCTACAGAGAGAGATTCCTAGCGTTGCTTTCCATGCACACGTGTATTACAACCTGAATGGGTTCATCTCTACCTGACCTCTTCACTACTTCCTGGTCACCTTCCCATAGTGGCCTCTGTCAGTTCAAGATTATTTTATTTACTCCTCTACAGTGAGCACATCAACCACATTCAAGTTTTAGTTTTCCTTCCCTTTCTCTATTCCTCCTGTATGCATTCTCCCCTTAGTGTGTGACCCATTTCCAATAATATCACTGCATTTGTTTTGGGTCTATAATCCGCATATGAGGGATAACGTGATTTTTGACCTTCTGGGCCTGACTAATTTTGATAAAGCATTCTCTGAGAACATATGCTTCTGTCTATGATGAATGAAAAGAAATTGTAAACATGAATACGCATCGGTAAAATGGGCCCACATTTGGATAAACTTAAAGTAAGATGGTAGCAAGACTGTACTTCTTTGATCACAAAAGCAATAAATATAAGAAATGTGGTAGAGAAAACTCCAGAGGCACACCTTATTCCATGTCTTGTTTGCAGTTTTTAAGCTTTCTGAAAGTTTCTCTCTTTCCTGTAAACTCAGACTTTTATCTGAAAGCAATTCCAATTCAGTTCTATTCAGCCACTTGAGTTTGTCAGCTTGTGCCTCCATCTCTTGTGTTAATTCCTAAAAGAGTCAAAGACAGGTGTAGTTAGATGGCTGTTCTGCAAGGGAGTGTTCAAGTATTCTAAGAAATCTCCTGGGAAAGTGTTCTTGTCAGTGTCACGCTCAGAAACTAAGCTTAAAAAAAGTCTGGCTGCAGGTTAACAAGCTGCAACAGATAGGAACTGAGCACACACACACACCAGTGTGAACACTTGTGCACATGAACACAAACACACCAATGTGTTCTCTTATGGTCTATCTGGCTCTCAGCAAGATCTTATTATATCTTCTCTACCCTGTCATTCCTTTTGTAACTCTTCCCAAATTGTTTGCAAAAGGGACATTTCAAGAAAAATGTTCACATTTTTAGGTTAAACAGAGTATTAGACATTTTCACATTTTGAAAAGAAAACTTGATGCTTGTCACACCATAGTTTTCATCAATACTAAAAGCTCCTTCCAAAATATCTCAATTATATTCCTTTATGGATCAAATCTTTTATGAAATTGTAGCTATCCCTTCGTGTATGCTTTTATGCATGCATGCGTGTACACACTCAAGCACAATTTCCTTTTTTAGATAGAAACATGAGTGTGCTGTGCTCGTTGTTCTGGAACTAATAGGTCAATTCTTAACACAAAAATTATGATACAAAATGTTAGATATTCCAATATATCTGCATATCTATATAACTTTATGTATTTGTCAGACTGTATACATATCCAACTATAAGCAATTCTTGTTTGCAAATCAACAAAGAATAGCTGATTACCAGAGCCATGACAGTACACCTGTAGTGGGCTGCATGACCCTCAGTTTTCTTGCAAACCTCAACATTATAGATAATAATCAATAATTATCCTTCAAACATAAAAGCAAAAACTACACTTGCAGCTCTATTATATTCCAAAATTACTAAGTTGGTCTAAAATACCCTAAAAACCTTTGGCCTAACACAGAGACTGTGAGTGAGGCTTTAGCACTGTAAGATCCAAATTATAGCTGCTCTTTAAATAAGAAAATCTTCTTTCAAATCCACCACTCTTAAGACAAATTAAAGTCTCTTTCCCTTTTCTTCCTCAGTCATGCACTATCTTGTTTATGAGGGTATCGTGGGTATTGTCTGTGCATCAGAAGACCTTGGCAAATAAAGACAAGTGAGCGACTTACTGTTAATTCTTTCAGGTTTTCTTCCAGCTCAGTGGTTGATTGCTTCTGTACAGCATTCTCAGCCTTTGTTAACCAAAAGATAATGTCATCCAGCTTTTTTCTATATTCCATCACTTGCTTACTTTCTTCTTTTAGTCTAAAAGAACATATTATTGAAAAACATTAAAAGAAATTACCTAATTAAGCAGAACATTATATATTTGCTTTGGAAATTCTGATTAAACATCCCCTCAAAAATAATTCCTAATAATTTTAGTATGTATTCTCAAATTAATAATAATGTATACATTTTGCCATACTAAAGACTTGTGTACACTTATAAGTAATTATAAGAATAATAGGAATTTTCCCTAATTAAATTAAAAAACACTGAAACCAAATTATCTTTTCATCATAAAAAATTATACAGAAATTTAATAAAAACTTTTAAAGTTAGACAACTGTGAAAAACAATATGAAAAATGTCCTTACCTAAAATAATAAGGAAAGTCAGGTAATTTTGAGTGCTCCGTGGAGCTAAAAAGGCTTCACTAAATGGAAAATAATTCACAACAGGAAGCAACTCATACTCCAGTTTAGTCACAGAACAGAAAGACTATTAGTAAGGGATGATACTGAGAACTGAAAAACTGTGCTCATATTAGGAAAAAGAGGGAAAAATATAAATTTGATTAGTCCATTAAAGTAAGTATTATATTTCAATAAGGCACCAAATTATGAAAAGATCTAGGAAAAACACAGCAAAAGTTTGAAAGGATGCAGAGAAACAGAGGAATATAAAAATGGAACTGCCTTAATTAGATCTTTTAAATGCTGTAGGAATATGTTTATAAGAATACAAACCATCTGTCAGAAGATGAGAATATGATTAGACCCCAGATGACAAATAGGACTATCTACTTCTAAAGGAAACTGAAGGCTATTAAGAGCATCTATCATTAGATGCTTCTATCATTAGATGCCGGTGGAAAACTGAATGCACTTTTTCAATGAATTACATTGTGCATTCCTAATAAGAACTTGCATATTTTTTTATTACTGAGCCTTTTTATTTTTGATCATAAAACATCTAACATAAAGACATAATAAATATAAAATATTAAAGTTACTTATATCTTTAATAGCCAATATTTGAAGGACAGTATTATAATGCTTTAAGAAACTAATGAAAGTCACTAAAAAATGATAAATTTTAAGAAGAGAAGAGTACCTTGAGACTTAAAAATAATGTCTAAAGCAATAATACAGATTAAAATTATCAGTACTTAAAACAGGTAATCTACTTCATGTAATGAAAAGTATTTGGCCTACCAACTTTGGAAACATCCAAAATACTAAGATAGGCCTTTTGTTTCCAAAAAATGTTGAAATTTAAATTTTCAGTGCTTCATAACCATGACTAATTTAGTAGTCTGAAAATAGAACCACGAGAAAACTAACACTATCAAGTGATTTCAGTAAGACATATTTGAGTCATCAACAATTTTCATGGGAAAACTAGTTAAACATAATCTACATTTTAAATACTATCCCTAAGAGTAAAAACAAATTGCAAATTTCTGTTCAAACAGCAGATAACAATTGCTCATTAAAAAATGACACTGTAAATTGCTGACATGTACAAATATTTAACTAGAGGCACTCTCTACAAAAATCACTGCACTGTGAGATAATTCTCAATGACTTGATAACAGAAAACATACAAGCTCTTGAAGTGCCAAGCTAGCCCAATATAACAGAGGTTACAAACCTAACCTAAAGTGAAGTTCACCGAGAATTTATGAAAACAAATACTCTTCAGTCAAAATACAGGATGCTGGGGGAGAGATTCATTACTCCTTTCACTTGCAAACACTGAGTGAAACATGTATTAACTTCACCTTCCTTGTTTCAGGCGCAATAATCACTATATCTACAAGACATCCATTTGCAAATCTTTAGGGAACTTCTGCACATACTGTTCATACCTTGCCAACAGCAGGTACAAGTTTTCCTTAAAAAGGTGTGGAAATTAGATCAGGTCAAGTGAGCAGGACTCTCCACGCAAATTCATGAGCATGTAATGGCACCTCCCCTTCCAACCCTGTCCCTGGTTCTCTAAGCCCCTCTTCATCTCATCACCTGGCCATGCTGCTCATCCTCCCATCTTTGCACCGCTACTTCTTAAAATCCTCAAGAAAGCTGCTACAGTCTGGATCTGGAGTTGCCCCAGGCCCATGTATTCAGCTTGGTGCTACTGAAAGTGGTGGAAACCTTAAGAGGGGACCTAATGGTTGGGAGTGTGCCCCGGAAGTGGATAGTGGGACCTCAGCCCCTTCTTCCTTTGTTCTTTTTTGCTTTCCTGCCATGAGTAAGCAGTTTGCTCCATGACGCAGTCCCACCATGATGAGCTGCAGGAGAATCAAAGCAAGGAAACTAGCCAATCGTGGACTGAAACCTCTAAAGCTATGACCAAAATGAACCTTCCTCTTTATAAGTTAATTATCTCAGCTATGGTTATCACAACACAAAGGCTCTACCAAGAAAGAAATCGTGGAAAATTGCCATGATGCCTCAAAACTCAGCTTCCATAAGGCATCTCTCATCTTTAATGCCTCAATCCCACAGTCCATCATGCCTGCCTCTGCGGCAACACTGCATCATAGGAGGCATATTTTCTTTAATCATACAATATCATTTTTTTCCTTTAAACATTATCTTCTTAGTCTATGAGTTCCTTAGTGATATTTGCATCCCCAATGACAAATGCAAGGCTCAAAAATATTGACCAAATCAATTAATCACTAGCAAAATTCAGCAACAACACGGAGGATAAGTTCAAGAGAAACTTATTAGAAATAGATGTCGTGAGTGCTAACTATGAATAGTCAGGACATACACTTGTCATAAGTACTGCCTCAGTTAATCCTCGTGACCATCCTCTGATATGACAGTTCCCATTCACAGAGGGGAAGCCTTGGCCAGAGACCTCTATAGAGTTCCCAAGTTTGTACAGCAGAAAATTGAAGAGCTGGGAGCTGGGAGAGTGGCTCAAGTGGTAGTGTGCCTGCCAAGCAAGCCCGAAGCCCTGAGTTCAAACTCCAGTACCACAAAAAAAAAAGAGAGAGAGAGAGAGAGCCGGAAGTTAGCACCAACACTTACTTCCCATGAAACTTCAGACAAGATATGTCATCTCTTCTCTCTCAGCCTCAGTTTCCAAAGCTGGACAATGGGTCTAAGCATTGCCTCAAACAGTAGTTATGAGGATCAAATGAGTTGATGTGTCATGGCACCAAACACTGCCACATCGTAATCTCCCAACCAAAGCATGCAAATTATTATTTGTCTCTTACCAAAACATACAAAAAACAGACTCACCAAAAAAAAAAACCATATGTCACATCACACTTGAATATTTTATCACATATTATAATAAAGAACTTGATAAAATATTAGACAAAATATTAGTTTATTACTGAAAAAAACACATCCTCCTCAGATTTAAAAGCAGTAGAAAAAAGTATCCTGAACATCTTAATTCAAAACTACTGATAACTAAAAATGGGAAATCATTTATGAGGTGGAATATATTTGGTAAAGCTAAAATTATATATTATATCTTTACTTGGCCTCAGAAAATAACTTCAAGTAATTTTAAATATAATAAATATGAATGTATATTCTGATCTTATATTCACTGGTAATCAAGTTTGCAACCAGTAGACACCCTCACAAACTCTGGGGCATTATACCATAATTTGACATAAAAAATGTATTTGTTATGCTACATCGAAGAAGAATTTTACTGATCAAAAGTAACTGACTTACAGGGTATACCAAACCCTTTGACACTGACGACAGCCTAACATGATGGATGGGCAATGCAAACTCAGTCAGTAAATGAGGGAGGGAAGGCCTGACCCTAACCCTAACCTTCAGACTCAAAGTCCACTGTGTTCTTTCAACTTCCCACCATAATCACCATATCATATGCACAGAAATAAAAAGAATACAGTTTTCTTTTTACATACATGAGATCAGAGTAGAAAATCAAGACTTTCTGGATAGCCTAAAAACATAGCTTGGAGGCATGTGGACTGTGCAGATCTTAAATGTCAGCAAACTTTCTATCATGATATCAGATGATCGAAAAACTCTTTGAACTCATGAGAATGTGTCTGCTAGAATGCTTCTACCAGAAACATGGTGACCTCTCTGGCTCAAATGATGCAGCTGAATGCGTCACCTTGGCTGCCGATCTTTCACTTCCGTCACGATGGCACTCCACCTCTGGTTCAAGCTTGCCACCTTGTCCTGCAGGAAGCTGCCATCCCCGGGGGAGAATTTCTGCACCACTCCATCCCACCTTTGGTTCACTGCTGCCAAACTAGGCTGATGGCTGCTGATGCCCTCTTCGAGGTCCTGCGACAGAGCACAACTCAAGATTAATTCCACTACTCGATGTCACTGTGCTGATGTGATGAATCCACCCAAGTATTGTAGCATCAATTTAAGTGTTAGAGAAACAAGTTCCTGCAAGGATACTTTATGACCATGAAAAGGCATTTTAAAACAACTTCATTACATTTCAAGGAACACACAAAATGGAAATCTATCTTGAAATCGAACCCACCCTCACTGAGAACAGAAATAGGACAGCTTACTAACATAAAGCAAGCATCAGCTATTTGTATGGAAGAAGAAACACCAATCATGTTTATTTAAAGTGAACCACTCATCTTCTTCCTTGCAAGCACTTAAAAACATACCTTAAAAAAAACAAGCAGAAAATAAACAAACAAAAAACCTCAATTACCCCCATATTCTTTTATGTCCTGCCATATACAAATAAGCCTCAATGTGCATTTTTGTGAGACATTGGTTCACTGTCCTACAAATTTTTAAGCAACAGATTAAAGGAATATTCTAAAGTAAAATTTAAACATTTATCTGTAACTCCAAAAAATAAAAAAGTGCATTAACATGTTTATGAGAAAAATAGAAGCATTCTCTTTAATTTCTCAGGAACCTTCTACAGAAAATATATTTTAAAAATTTAATAGAAAAGGAAATATTTTCAGCAATGATAAAACTGAAATTGTTTGCTCTCTAGCATTATTTGTAAAGGCCTATTGTTATTAACAGAACTGACTTCTCTGTTGTGTTGGAGTTCCCATGACTGAATTAATTTCCTTGTACAATTATCAAGGATACAAATCAAAAAAACATGCCTAAATGTTTAAGGACAGAAAACAGAGGTAAGGGATGTATCTATTTTTCTTGTCTTGAGTAAAAACTTTTATAAATGTTACTCCAAATATAACATTTCCAAAGAGAAAATGGTTTAAGCAAAAACTTTAAAAAGTATTTCTCCCATAACCATTTTTTTCTTAAACCTTTGAAACTGGAACCTAAAACTGGAGCAAAAATTACAAATCATCTAATACACATGAAAAATTAAGATACTGGGTCCCTACTTCTGAAAGTCTCAGTAGCCTGTGCTAAGCATGGGCGCAGCCATCCTGGCAGGCCTCCCTCCTGTGAAGACACTCACCTCTTGGAGGGACCTGGCTTTTTCTAAGTCCAGGCTGCCATCTGGAGTCCAGGTATCTGCCAGTAACTCTTCTGCTTCTGTTATCCACCCTGCAAGGTCGTTAAGATCACAGTGGAACTGTCTCCATTCATCCACAGCCCTATCGAAGTAACTAGAGGACAAGAAACAAGATAAAATAGGTTTCCCAACTTTCCAGAACTGCTTAGAAGCAGTATTTCTGAAAAAAACCTCAAATCTCATTTAAATAAAAAAACCCCAGAGGATTATTGTTCTATAAGACCAAGATCCACAGTGGTTATGATAAGAATTCCTATTGAGAAATAAGCATCATGCCAAGAATGAAGCAATCTGTACACCCCACCCCCCACAGAAAAAACCGTGGTCCTTAGAAGAAATGGAGACACGAGAGAGTGCTCTCATGCAAGGACAGAGCAAGAAGGTGCCATCTACAAGCCAGTAAGAAAGGCCTCCCCAGAATCTAGCACTGCTGGCACCTTGACCTTGGTTTCCAACCTCCCAAACTGTGAAAAAATGTCTGTTCTTTAATATACTCAGGTTGTGCTTTTTGTTATGGCACCCAAAGACTAAATGCTTCAGGTAATGATAAATCCTAAGTGCTCTATTTACCTGAATGTAGCACTGCACAGATCAGGCAATGAGACAGAGGGATACTGAGATTTCCACTTACACCCAATTCTTTTAGAGAAGAGATAAAGCAAAACTCTAGTGCTTATCATATTCAAATACCCAGAATAAGTAGAAAAAGGCAAAGCTTTGTTGCATAGAATTCTAAGAAGTTTTTCCTGTTTTGTTGCTGTTGTGTTTAGAGTAGTAGAGCTAGGAGAGTTTTAAAAGAGATCTCTGAAATTTTAACAATATTAATAAAAGTTATATTTGATACAATAAAATTATTTGAAGAATCATAGAATGATCCCTGATCTCATAACCCCCTATATAATGGTTGTATTGACTTCTACCACAAAAATTATTTGTAAAATTCAACTACAATTTGTTCACTGCTCACAGGGAAACAACATTCTGTAGGAGAAAAATAAGAAGACTTCCAACGAAAAAGACACTAAGGCGATCTTCATTAGCATCTGGAAACATGTGCACTAATGACACAACACTCACAACCTCCAACTTTTGAAAGGCTGCAGTATTAAGTAGGAAATATTGCTGGAAAGGCTGGTCCAAAGATCTAAAGACCTAGAGAATGCAAACCTGTGTAGAAAAAGATCAGTATCACCATTGTAAAACATTAAATTTCAAATAAATCAAAGCAGTGTAATTATGAATTAAACTGAGAAGAGGTATAAAAACTGTCACTGTCTAACCATACAGGAGGTGTCAGGGAATCATGGTCCATGGACCTCCAAGTCCAAGCCTCACTGGACACCAGAGATAGCAGCTAATCTTTCTCATCTTTGCTTGGCTGTAACTAGTCCACAGTCACTTGGCCCCATGGCTTCCGGGCCCCTGTGTGGTATGGTAAGACAGAACATCACGGTGAGGAGCACGGGCTGGAGAAAAGTGACTTACTCATGATGGACAGGAGGTAGAGCAAGCAAGAGAGGAGGAGCCTGGGGACAAGATACACATGTGAAAGTGACACCCACAGTGACTCACATCCTCCAGCTAAGCCCGAGGCTCTGCTTCCTAATTTCCACAGCTTCCCAATAATACCCTCAATTATGAATCCACTGATGAGGCTAGAGCCCTCATTATCCAACCACTTCCCCAAATCCCATCAACTGGCAATCAAGCCTTCAACAAAAAGCCTTTGGTGGATCTAAATCATAACAAATCTAAATCATAATCACAAATCATAACAAGTTTGTGAGTGCATCAAGAAAACTCACTGTTAGGGCCAGGCATGGTAGCACATGTCTATAATTGCAGCTACTTGATAGGTGTAGATGAGAGGATGATCAGGGTTTAACGCCAGTATAGGCAAAGTTAGCAAAATCCTATCTCGAAAACAAGACAGGCATGGTGGCTCACATCTGTGGTCCCGCTACAAGGGAGGTGGAGATAGGAGGGTAACAGGCAAAGACTTGAGACCCTACCTGAAAAACAAACTAAAAGCAAAGCAAGTGGTACATCACTTGCCAAGCAAGCAAAGCCCTGACTGAGGTCAATCCCCAGTGCTGGAGAGGGAGAGGGAGAAGGGGAAGGAAAGGGGAAGGGGAGGGCAGGGGAGAGGAGAATGAGGGAGGGAGGGAGGGAGGAGGAAAGCGAAGAAGGAAGGAAAGAGGAAAGGAAGGGAGGAAGGGAGGAAGGAAGGAAGGAAAGAAAGAAGGAAGGAAGGAAGGAAGGGGAAAGCAACGGAGGGAAGAAGCAAGGGAAGAGGGAAGGGTGGGAGGAAGGAAACTTTATTTTCTTTTTAGAACATTCATTTTGAACACACGTAACATGTTAGAAATGAGGCTAACTGGGGAACACTGTTAGAGCTTCTAAGTTTTAACACCTGATACATCTTAAAATAAAATTCAGATGGAGCAAATGATTAAATGTAAATGAAAATCTGTGTTTACAATATGCGTAAATATTCATTCTTGTAGTGAAAAGGTAATTATCTGAATATAAAAGTTGAGATGAACCTATAACTATAAAAGCGGCAAAAATCTTAAAAAAACAATCCTGTTAGTTAGCCAGGGTTCAACAAAGACGCATTTCCAAATGGTGTTCACATGGATCCAGTAACCAATCTCACCAGGTAATCCAGTCATAAAATGGCTTCATCTAATAACCAAGCCTAACAAAATATAAGGATGGATAAGGGTGTTCATAAAAAGATATTCTCTAAATGTACAAAGAGAAAAATTTAAAACACAAAGGAATAAAGGCTGCTAAAAGCTAGCTCCTCAATGATTGGGAAGTCACATGAAATATGAAAATTAAAATTTTTTCTTTAAAGAATATGATGCTTGGAGCCTGGCACTGGTGCTCACACCTGTAATCCCAGCTACTAAGAGGCTGAGAGCAGAGGATCGAGGTTCAAAGCCAGCCTGGGCAAATAGTTCACGAGACCCTATCTCAAAAAACCCTTCACAAATGAAGGGCTGGTGGAGTGGCTCAAGGTGAAAGTCCTGAGTTCAAACCCCAGTACCACAAAAAAAAAAAAAAAAAAAAAATGACACCTAGTTTTGTGTCTGTGAAGATTTCCACCATTCTGTTAAATTTCTCTTACACAGCACTTACTTTACATTGGGATATTTTATATCTTATTTCCAGTACATTCACAGCTCCTGGCAAAAATCTCAACCGTTTTTCTTCCTGCCTATCCATAGGCCCACTGAGAAGCTAGCAGGAAAACATTCTACTGATCGGAAAGCTCCGCCAGGACTCGGGGTTATCTGTGGATTCCAGTTATCTGTGGCTGTCTCTGTTCTTCACTCACATTAATCATTGAGTGTGGGGAGAAAGTGAACATGAATGAAAATCCCTTTTCATTTTCTAAAGAAAAGAGACATGTTTAGATACTAAACGTCAAGGGTGTTTCCATATTATTAAGATACTGTGTTGTAAATGGTCGTCTGTGTGTGATCCAATTTCCCTTTAAGGTGCTATGCTTCTCCCATTTTATCAGACAGACGTGAACCACATTCTCAGTAATCTCCACGCACCCATGAACTTGTTCACGCTCCGTGAACCTGGAGGCTGATTTTTAACAGTCAAGCGCTCATTGAATTCACACGTACCCCTTATGACTGTCGTACATTCTGTTCACTCTGTCCCATTTTGCATTCAGCTGAGTGAGCATGTCTCTGATCTGAATGGCTTCAGGTCCAGAGGCTTCTAGGATGACATCCGGCTGCTTTTCATGAATGATTGCCACCTGCTCTCCAAGTTTGTCCAGTCGATCTTTGATATTCTAGAAACATGTTGTCATATGTTAATGAAAAACCCAGCAAAGTAACAGAAAGAATGAAACCACAGATGACCAAAAATTTCCATTGTATAACACTCACTTCAAATAAAAATTAGGTCAATGATTGTTGCTCCTGAAATCTAGAAACTTTTCTGTATAAATCCACTATTTTGGCCAAAGTGTGAGGAATCCTATAATACTACTTGCAGGTGGAGGGAATCCTCACAGAGGTTCCAAGTAGCAATTCAACAGGACATATGAAAAGCTTCACTAATATTTTATGATGGTGACTGTAATCCCTCAGCACTCAGGAGGCCAAGGCATCAAGGGATCAAGAATGTAAGGCCAGCCTGAGTTACATAGTCAGGGAACCTGTCAAATAAATAAATAAATAAATTCTAAGAAGGTACTAGTGTTTGAAGCTAGAATAACTTATGTCTTCAAATATCTAATAATGCCAGTTTAAATGACAGAATAAGCTACCAAACCTGTCAAGTCTATCCATGAGTTTACTGTGCCTTTATATATAAATGAAAATGATATAAAAGTGCTTGAAAAATTTAGAAGTGTAACTTACAATCATGATGCCATTCCATACCTCAACAACTGGCCAATCTTAAATCATAGGTGGCCGAATAAATGCTGACATTTTCAAATGACAATCAAGTTCACAAGACAAGAATGGGGTCTATGTTTATGTTTGATTTGTAGACTGTTTCTGCCAGGCTCAGTGGTACACACCTGTAATCCCAGCACTCGGGAGGCTATGGCAGGAAGATCAGGAATGCAAGGCCAGCCTGGGCTACATAGCAAGACTGTCTCAAAACAAACAAATTAAAAAAAAAAAAAAAAAGTCTCCAACATTACAAATAATGAATAACTGCATGCATAAAAATCCATACCCACGTTTTAAAAAATTTGGTCTTATTTCATTGGTAAATACATGAAAGTTTTACTACTCATATACATTACTAATTCCGAGGCACAAATTATCAAAGCTATAGACCAGTAAGTAAGCACAATAACAAATTCCTTGCTTCGTTTCTGTATTCACTGTGGCCATTCTGATGCAGTGCCTGGCGATTTACCTTCAGAGCATTCTCCCGACAAGAGAAGTCCTCATACACAGTGGTGTTCAGCTCAGGAAGACCAAACAGTAATTCCACATCATGCATCCTACGTGAAACTTTGTTAATTTCCACCAGATAATCTGCAGGGACAGGTGACAGCCTGATTTCAGAAGCAAGTTGACTCGTCTCTCTTTGTTGAATAGGAACTGCCTGTAAAAAATAATAATAATAATGTACATACCTCAAACTGACCCCACAGTGATTACTAGCAAACTGAAAAACAAATGGCAGGTTATTTCATGGGGGCATTCAAGATTTTAAAATCTTATTTCTAATTTTTGATATTAAACTCACATTCCTACAGAAACGCTTAACACTTTCTTCTCATTTTCATCTACGACCTGGGGTCAAACAACATAAATAAGTTAATATTCAAAAGGTTTTGCTGACTAGAGGCGTGGCTCAAATAGTAAAGCACCACCTAGCAAACACAAGGCCCTGAGTTCAAACCCCAGTACCGCCAAAAATAAAGTGGAAAGGATTTTCTCTAAGATCTATGCCATCTAAACTCATTCAGCAAATAGGAAACACATTCATTCCTTCCCCCAAGATGTCAGGGAACTGAGAATATGATGCCTGCCAATCGCAAAGTTCTGAAGGAAATAAACCATTTTGAGATCATTATTATTTCACTCTTAAAAATACCCATTCAGTTAAACATGTCTGGGCCTCAATGTAGAAAACATAACTTAAACATACTTTCAAAATACAACAAGCTGGCCTGGCTATACACACTACTCAGGAGGTTGAGGGAGGAAAACCGCTTGAGTCCACGGGTTCAAGACCAGTCTAGGCAACATACCAAGACCTCCAGCTCAACTAAATCAATAAAAATAACATCAGAAATGCAAGGAAGATTTTGATGAAATTAATGTCCAGGTAGTTCTGTATATAATTGTAACCTTTGAGAACAATTCTATGGGGCATGGATATCCTATGTAAAACAATGGATCTACTAAACGCAGAGGGCTGAGGCCCCATGGCCCCTCATTTGACCTAATGAAGATTCTGGACCCTCTGCTCTGCACTTTCTAAAAACAGAGTACTCTCTAGCACAGGCCTCTAAGCCTCCAGGAGTCAAGTTCTTTATTCCTAGAGGCTAGAATTTAACAGACATTGTCTTCTACTTGCAAATGGCCACAGGGCAACTACTTATGAATTAAGGTAGCATCTTGGCACTTCCATTTCTTTACTAAACTTCTAAAATGGGATATCCATCCGAACAATCAAAGGCAATAATGGAAATGATCACAAATATGTGCTCATTCAGTTAGTGATCTTGAAAATGACTAAATTCCAAAAAGAAACCAAGACTCAAGATTAAAAGGCACTGAATGGGTAGCACCACGCTGAACTCCGAGGTCTCTGTTTGCTGTCTCCTAGACTTTGATAAGATACTATTTTAACAATTGATGGGCATTCTGGATACCCAGGCCTGAAGCAAGCCTACAGATTGTGACATGATCAAAGGATTAATTATATTTTTCTCTAATACTTTATTCTCCTAATGTCACATGTTCAAATTTTAGTCAGAAAGCATTTATAGATATGAACCCATCAGATGTCTAAGAAAGCAAATCTAATTTTTAAGCAAGTTTAAAACAATGATAAAATAATGTATCTACCCAGAAACCATTTCTAAATAAAAATATTCTAATTTTTTTTTAAAAAGCAGTCTAATAATACTTCTTTTTAGCTTTTCCTTTCAAATACACCTTTTTTTTTTGGAAATCACAAATGAGGCTCAATTGTTCCTTCCCTCAACTGTAAGGAAAAAAAAAAATAACTCAACACAAACTGGTTGGATCTACTTTCAGTAATCATGTCAAAGAGGTAAACAGAAAAGAAAGTCATCCTGAGAGCCTTCCCATCCCTTAGAACTAGGTCTTACTGGGAGGTTGTCTGTTCCTCCAAGACCAAAGCTGGCTCCAGATTTGCAGCTGCTTGACACTGAATTTCATGATACTTTTCCACATTTAACATCACTGGATTCACTATATGCTAGAATTTCTTTCTTTTTTTTTGCCATAGTAAATATCATTGAAAGCCACTTTTTTGCATCACTGCCTATGACAAAACCAGGGATGCCAGAATGCCTCCTTGGTTGTATTATTTGCCTTGTCATTCTAGGCCACATGAACCTGAGGCAGGATGAACTAGGGTATTATAAAGTCCTCACCTCAAAAAAAAAAAAAAAATCACATCCATCAAGACCATGACTTCTATTTGGACCACAAAGACAGTACGGGGCTTTTCTGAGCCTTCATACTCTTGCCGAAGCAGAGCAGCTCAAGATGTGCTTTCTAGCCCAAAATAGATTTCTTCCCCCTGGAAAGTGATTAATCAAATGCCAATAGGAGAAAAAGACATCCTTGGGATCTGATTAGACTTTGCTTCAGGATAATTTTATTTTTAAAGAATTCTGCCAGGACACAAAAACACAAATAGACTACAGGTTAGTACTGAAGTGAGACGGTATTACAGGATGTGACCCATCCACAAATCCACACACACCCACCTGGTTTTTAACAAAGGCACCCAAAACATACAATGAAGAAAAAGACAGCCTCTTCAACAAATGTTGCTGGGAAAACTGGGTAACTGCCTGCAGAAAATTGAAACTAGATCCGTGTCTGTCACCCTGGACAAGTATCAACTCAAAGTGGATTAAGGACCTTAATATAAGACCCGAAACTTTGAAGCTAGTGCAGGAAAGAGCAGGGAATACGTGGGAATTAATAGGCATAGGCAATAACTTCCTAAATAGAACTCAACTGGTTCACAACTAAGAGGAAAGACTGACAAATGGGACTACATGAAATTAAAAAGCTTCTGCATCACAAAAGACATAGTCATCAGGTTGAAGAGGCTGTCCACAGAATGGGAGAAAATCTTTGCCCACTGAACATCTGACAAGGGATTAATAACCAGAATATGCAAGGGGCTCAAAAAACTAAACTCCCCCAAAAATCAATGAACCAACTTAAAAAATGGGCAAATGAACTGAAAAGAGCTTTTTTAAAGGAAGAAATACAAATTGTCAAAAAACACAAGAAATGTTCAACATACCTGGCCATAAAGGAAATGCAAATCGAAATGTTGGCAAATATGTGGGGAAAAGAACCTTCATACATTGTACAATGTAAATTAGTACAACCACTATGGAAAACAGTAAGGAGGCTCCTTAAAAAACTAAAAATAGAACTGCTCTATGATCCAGCAATACCACTCCAAGGGATATACCCAAAGGAATGTAAGTCAAGATATAATAAAGACACTGGCACCCCCATGGGTCTTTTTATTTTCATGTTCATTTTCATTTTCAATTTCATTTTATTGCAGCACTGTTCACAATAGTTATGCTATGGAAATAGCCAAGATGCCCTACAACTGATGAATGGGTTAAGAAAATGTGGTATCTATATACAATGCAATTTTATTCAGCCATGAAAAAGAATGACATTTTGTTGTTTTCAGGAAAATAGATGGAACGGGAGAACATCATCTTAAGTGAAGTTAGGCAGGTTCAGAAAGCCAGAGGCCACATGTTTTCTCTCATATGTTGAATATAGGCCCAATACACATAGAAATACATACAGAACATGCATCCATAAGTGGGACTGGTAGAGCAGATAAAGGGAGGAGGAAAAGAAGGAAAGAAAGATAGTGAATAATGATGAAGTACACCACATCATCAAGACACAAGGAAACTCGCTGAAACTGTTTACACAGGATAGAGCTCTAGTAATGGAGGGGGTGGTTAGGCTGACTTAAGCACAATGATGTACAGGTAAAATAACAAGGCAAAAATCCTACTAAACAACAAACAGAAACCTAAAACGAAGGACAAGAATGAAACAGGTCACACTAAACAGAGGGATCTAATGGGAGTGGAGAGTAAAAGAAAGAAGTAAAGAAGGTGAAAATGTTTGATGTACTTTCCATACCAGAATGAATATAGAAATCAGCATAAGAGGAGGACTAAGGTAGAAGGGAGAAAAATGGAGGGATGAACCAATTTGGAATACAATACAGGTATATATAGAAATGTCATAATGAAACTCTCTGTATAGATATTGTAAACAAAAAATGTCTTTTTTTCAAAAATGGAGAACAGGAAGGTAAAACAAGTCCTGTCTGGTTGGTACCAGTGGGGAGGGAAAGGATATAAGGAAAGGGTGTAGGAGGGCGAGTACAGTTGAAATATTACGTACTCATGAATGAAAACGGAAAAAAGACATGTTGAAACTGTTCTGAGACTGGGGGGAAGGGGTGAATTTAACTAAGATATATTGTAAGCACTTTTGTAAATGTCACAGTGTACCCCCAGTACAACAATAACATGATAATAAAATTTTTAAAAAACCTCTATTAGGACACAGAAACAAAATAGACTGTAGGTCAGTACTGAAGTAAGACAGTATTATATGATGTGACTCAACTCCTACAGTAAACTAAAGTCCATACTGATGAAAAAGTTTGTTTTGTCTATTTTAGAAACTTTTCTAAGTTTTGTCTTATCAACCAGGGCTGACAGAGTGGCTCAAGTGCTAAAGTGCCTGCTAGCAAGCATAAGGCTGAGTTCAAACCTCAACACCACCAAAAAAAAAAAAAAAAATTTATGTATTAAAAGTCTAAAAGTTATGTCTACTTTGGACCAGTAATCCATTAATAATTCCAAATCCTAGGCCTAAAGATGAATGAGATATGACCTGAATCTTTTAAGAAGTACCAGGAAAGAAAAGTTATTTTTAAAAGCAGCAATAAAGCAAATAATTAGAATGCAATTTGGTAGATGGTAGAAGTTAAAAAAAAAAAAAAAAAAGAGCTAAGTCTTAAAAAGATAAAGCCTTTTTCAGATAAAATGTAAAGACAAACCCCACTCCAGGAAATTGAATAAAAACAGCAGGAGAACAGAGGTGCTAAGGCATATGCTGGTATTTAGGAAAATATAAAGAAATCCAGCAGTTATGCTATGTAGGAAAGGAAAGCAGATCAAAAAAGAGGTAGCCAGGGGTCAAGTACATCATTACATCATTAATTCTACACTTAAGTTATACTCTAATAAAGCTGTACAAAATTCACCGAAAACTTGTCACACAAAAATCTTTCTCCCAAAAATAAAAATTATGCAAAGTGGAAAAGGTATATCATTATGCTGATGAGTGTTGCACTTGAAGATTCTCCTGTATTTTGCAACATTTTTCTCAAGAATTTCTCAGGTAAAGGAAAGGCACAACTAGCCATTACTTTGGGGAAAACCATGCTGCAGAAGATATCGAAGACATGCCACAATTAGAAAAAGTAGACATAAAAAAAAACAGGGACATACAGCATACTAATATGAGAAGATCATAAGTCTGAATTGCAGAAACTTCAGTGAACCAGGAGAAAGTAAGTCCCTTTCCCACAGTCCTAAAACAAGCAACCTGGTAGCGTTCAGGTGCAAACCTACAGCTGGGTTCATTCAGCCTGGTCATTTTGATTCCTCTTTGACATGGTATGTGAAGAACACATACCATACTGAAGTTTCCTCCTTCAGAGACTGATGAGGTTTTAAGGTAACTATCTACAATTGGAAATAAAGTAGGAAACCCAGAATGGAAAAGCAGGGAGATGGCAAATTTAGTTTGGAAAATATAGGACTGCAGAACATGCAGACAGAGACATCAATAGTCAGCAAGCCAAGACACTGCAAATCCACTCAGATTCCAAAATTATCAAATAAAACTGGTCTACAGGAATTACCAAAAAACAGACCCCGTGGAGACACTCTGGGGGACACCAGCACCACTTAAAATCCAGCTGGGAAGGGCTTCCCTAAAAAAGGAGCCAGTAGTGAATCCTGTTCTAGAATATAAATCATAGTTTATCTGTTTCACAAATTTAATTATTGTGAGCTAGAAATTGTGTTGTTGTACGAAGAAGGCCACATCACATATAAAGTAAAGAACTGAAGGAGGCAGCCACTACTGAAAGGGACAGGTTTCCTTTAGATTTCATACATGATCAGAAATCTGAACAAGATGGCCAATAATAAGGTTTTACATTTCTATTTCTTTTCCACCTGCCCCATCCAAAAATATAAACATATCTAGCAAAGCACATAAGAAAGGAGATAATAGCCCATTGGCTTGTTGGTTTTAAAGTGTCCATAAACGTAATATCAAACATCTGAACGTCAAGAGCTGAGTGAGTTATTTTAATAGTCAGAAATTCCTCCTATCATATCACCTTTATTTTGTTGTATCTTGTGTGCAAAAGTAACAAGTGCAAACGGATTGTTTCTTTCTTATTATCTTCCATAGGCTGATGTAACATTTGTTCTCCTCTTTGCAGAACTTCCTCTATCTGGGCTCTCTTCTCATCCATCTGAATAGTTAAAGAAAAAAAATACATTCAAAAAGGAAAACAGACAGAGGCACTTACTGCTATCAACACCAAGAGGGAGAACTAACCTACAAATGACAATGTAGGTCAAGCTGTGTTCATGAAAATGTTCAAACGATTCATGGTTCTCTTAAACCACTAAATTATTTTTAAGTAAAATATCCCAAAGCTAGTTTAGCATACACTAAAGATAATTTTCAGTGAGAAAATGTGGGGTATATGTGTTTTAAGTATTACATGAATTGCTTGAAAGATCTTACACTGACACTCAGAAAATCACGTGTGGATTTCTTCTGTCATGATTTGGGGGTACTCACTATCAATGTAAAAATATAATTAAATGAGAACATGGTTTTGAAAAGAACCAACCTTTTCTTCGTCATCCCTGGATTCTGAATGTTTTTCCACAACTTTCAACATTATTTCAAGGTCGTTTTCTAACCTTTCCAAGTCTGAAGAAGGTACACCAACTCCAACTGTTTCAGTAGTGACCAAACATTGGTATGATAATGGTTCCTGACCAATTAGCAACTGTGGAAGGAAAAGATGTCTCTGAAAGTATATTCTCACTTGACTTTCCATAATTAACCAGAGAGCTGGAGTGTCAAGAAAGGAACTAGTATTTATTTGAATGACTTTAATTTCACTCATTCTTATAGCAATGACTTTACTAACCTAGGCTTCTCTGAATTACTCATTTTCCAAACTATATCCAGGTATGTGAGGTGACATGTAATGTGTGACTGCCTGCAGTACAGTGTGGTGGATTCTAAGATCACATACAAACAGTAGGAAATAGGGCCATAGTCGAAAGTCATCACTGCCATGGCCACAGAATGGAAGAATGGTCATTCACTTCCCAGTGCAAGGACACCCCACAGAATGTCTCCCAGTCAAGTTTGCCCCAAATTCTCCATGGATTTGGATACTCAAATTCCAAAGAATACATTTCTAAATGCAGCATTTTCAGGTATCTATATAGAAAACCATCACAGCTGTATAACTGAAAGTCAGCATAGCAATTTTAATAAAACTAAAGGTAGGAGAATCACATAGTGTGAGGAAACAAGCACTATCCTGATTATGGACGTACACTTGACACCAACTTTCTATTCGGCTGTTAGGAGAGTTATTCAACAGGTTTTACGAGCACAAATTACACAACCAGGGAATTCTAGAAATTGATCCTAACAGCATAATAAGAGATAAGAAAATATGTATAAGATGATTTTAACAAATGCACATTCATAAAAGCACAATAAAAGTAGAAAGTTGACTTAGGAAATTATAACAGAGCAGAATATTCTACTACCATTAAAGACCATTTCAAAGAAACATATATAAAACATTGACATTTTAATTTCGTATACTTATGAATAAAAATAAACATATATGACATAATGTTTGCAAAGGTTATTTATGGGGATGATGAGAATTTGTCTCTTTATACTTCCTTTCACCCCATCCCCCCGTATCCACCTGTGTCTTATGCATTATTTCTCATACCAAGAAAAATTTCCCATAGATCTACTATAAAGGATAAAATCAACTTAATTCAGAAGGTTAAGAGATAAGGTTAAGGGTAAGGAAGACAAAAACTAAAGCAAGGGTAAGGAAGACAAAAACTAAAGCAAGGTTTTTGTTTATTTTCTCTAAATCATGAATGATCTAAGTATATTCCTAGGCTATGGAAAAAGTTTTGCCCTATTATATCAGATATTCCAAATTTTACATATTTATTTAATCCCTGCAAAAAAAATCTTGATCCTTCTTTAAAAATTTCAATATACAACTCTCTAGAAGTTAAATTAACTAAATAGTCAAAAAATGGTATCCTTAGTATGGTGGAATGGCTCAAGTGGTACAGCACCTGCCCAGCATGCATGAGGCCCTGACTTTAAACTCAGTACCATAAATAAATAAATAAATAAATAAATAGCATCCTATCAGTCAAGAGCCTTAAGAATTGAAAATCCTATGATTCCTCATAGTGAAAGCCAGCTAGGCTTTTAATCCACCAAACTACAAAATGTTTTCATCTTTTAAGTTTAAGATTTACTGATGTTCAAACTCTACACCAGGCCTGAAGAACACTAAAGTGCTTGCGTTCTTCACCTTATAAAATGAAAATAAAAAAAGAATGGGAAAGGTGTGTGTGTGTGTGTGTGTGTGTGTGTGTGTGTGTGTAGCATAAACGCTTTTTGTAAAGGAAAGCTCTTATTTAAATTAATAAGGCTGCTTTTAAATTTATAAAATCAGACAGTATATTTCTCCATAAAATCTAAGTTGTGAAGTTACTTATAACTTTCAAATTTGTCAACATGTAAAGCACAAATAAGCGTGCTTAATATGAGCACATATATAAAAGTCTAATTTATGGAATCATGGGTTTAATACCCGTGCCTAGCTTGGGACTTCATCTCATTATTTCATGGCCTATCCTAACCTTCAAAACTTTTTCTCAGATGGTTATTGTTTTGACAGTAATTTCTCCCTATATGCATAATCACAGAATAAATGACAACAAACATCTTCCATTCAAACAAAAAGTGATTAAAATCATTTTAATTAAAAAATTCTTATGCATATATTATCTTTCATTAGGACACATCCCTGTGGGGAAAAAAGTTTTCTACAAGGAGACAATTACTCACTTTGGCACTTTTGATGTGTTGAGACACCTTTTCAAAGTTTCTGTTCAGTTCAGCTAATTTCGGTTCTACAAGCTCTCTGCTTGCACTGCCACGTGCATTCATCAAACTAACGGCTTGATCACGGACATTTCCAACCTGGAGGCTGGCATCGTCCAGCTCAGAAACCAAACGCTAATTGTGAAAAAAAAAAAACACACACAAAATTATCCCATGGGAAAAATCAAAACGCAACATGGGTGTGATGCTTACTGAGAACTAAGTTTCTATAAATGTGTGAAATTTCTCCTAAGAAAGATTTCAGCACAATTAACAAGAGTAAGAACTGTTCATATAAAATTCACTAGAAATCTCACTTTCTCTCACCCAAATAAATGTACATGAATCAACTGTATGGAAAGAACACACACACCAGTAACCCAGAGCATCCCACAAGTGATGACTACAGCAGCAAAACATTCCAGCCCCAAATATGTGGCTGATCCTCCAGGTTCGGGTTTGCTACCTGCACGATTTCTTCCCTTTTACTTGCTGGTTTTTTCTCAATTTCATCCAACAGAGCTTCGGCTTGATAAAGCCAGGTACTTATGTGGGCGACATTCCCATCAAATACTTCCAGCTGGCTTTGATGGTTCTACAAAGGAATTGATAAAATGCTGACACAATCATATGAAATATTTAAGATGATAACCTTAGAAGCAATTTAGAAGGCCTAAAGGAGCAAACTGCATGCTGCATTTAAAGACAGGTTTCCACTCCCTGCAAAGCTCTTCTTTAGTGAATAAATCTCAATCCTAAAGCTGCATAGCTATGGCGAAGCACTTTTTTAAATGATTTGATTTAGAATTCAACACGATAGGAAGATGAAGTAGAATAAACGACCCAAAGTTTCTTGTCCAATTTTATTTCAACTTTGTCTCTGATTCTTCATTCTTATATCACAACTAATCTCATTTGTCTCCCTCAGTCATATTTTTTCAAACTCATGTATTATGACTAAGGAAGTACTATAAAGGAATGATGGAAATGTGAACTGAGTAAGATTCTGCCTGCTGGCAGACCCGGTGCACTTTGAAGACAGGGTCTGTCTTTTCTCCTCGCTGCACTTAGCACTACTCCTGGCCCACACCTCAGGAGTGTTTCCTGAAAGAGGACACACAACAGACAGTGTGACTGAGAGAATGGACTTGAAAACAGAAGCTAACAGGTGAGCAGATTAAAACCAGGAAGAGCCAGTGAGATGAGAAATTAGAACTTGACCAAAAAGGGTGAGGCTAGGGTCATGATGAAACTGACATTCGAAAGCTGTATTTTACAGGATAAAGGAAACCAGGAAAAACTTAGAAAAGTCGATGAAAGGAAACAAGTTATTACTCTACAAAATGGAAAAGCCGCTGAAAAACAAAATATGATCTAATAAATGATATGAAAATGTGTATATATCTTATAATTTAAGTTTATAGATTGTATGTACATAATATATGTGACATACAAATATTTAAATTGAGTAACTAAATATACATAATTTCTGTTAAATTTTGATATCTTCTACAATTGTAATACATTAAGATATTAAATATTACTATATCCGTTTATTTTAATATGTAATAAATTACTTTTAATGTATTTAATATGTTAAAATTATGTTAAATATCTATTTAAGGTTATATATTTTATGCACATGTAGAAAATGAAGCTTAGTGACATTAAATAACTTGCCTGAGGTCATGCAGATTGGACTGGGATATAAATCTGTGACAGATCAAAGCCTTAGCCAGTGACCCTAACCACTCTATAGCTTAACAGACTTGAATAAATGCTTAGTCACATCACCATTTTTTCTCATTTCTACCCATTACCTGGTAATTCTATTAATTAGATAAAAGTTCTATCAGATAAGTCAGAATAGAAGAATAATATATAAATAATAATTCTCTTCTGAGAGGAAGGTGGAGTTGCTACACTCATTGTTAGGAGAAGAGGGCCAAAATTCCACTATGAAAATTAAATATTCAATTTCCATGAAATAATTAACGATATAATGATAACCAAAAACTAACATACTTATAACATTTAACAATTATTATGACCCTAACGATACTTAAAATCGTTACAAATATATGTTTTACATATATTTGTATAAGACTATTACATGTTTTAAGTCACTCAATGGTCACAAAAATACTAGGAGGTTAAAGTATAATAATGCCCATTTCACAGATGAGACAGCTGAGGCATGGAGAGCAATTAACTAACTTCCTCCCAGCTACTAATCAAAAATCTTATGCCTACCATCAGATGCTAAAACCTGTGCTCGTAACTAGTACCCTATTATTAGGCATCATAAAGATTACATATACAGCACATATAGATGCATATACCTCTATAAAAGTATGAAGACTAAATACTATCCAACATCATTAAAATGAAACACATGGAGCACATTTACTTAAATATTAAAGTACATATTTCCATCTGTACCACTAATATTTTCTTAGTTAACAGAGATATTAACAGTAACTGGCTTGTTTCCAGTTACTACCTCTTCAAGGGAGAAATAAAATGTAGTCTACTGAAATTAATTCACAAGAACACAGGACTTAGAATCCTTATCAAAGCTGTGTGCACGTAAAAATAATTAAAGGAGAGAGCTGTCACCACTAACGGTCCCCAGCAACCTACCAGCAAGGTGTTGCACCAATCCTCGGTCCAGGTGCGCACTCGGCTCCACCCAGCATTGAGAACACAGAGTCTCTCTTCTAAGACAGGCTGGCTGCCCGAGATCAGGTTCTGGAGGGTAGCACTGCTCTCCGTGATGGCATTTAAGTCAGCTTTTCTCTTTTCAAGATCCTTCAGAACATTCTAGCAAATAAAAACACCAGACCCACTCAATCTTTCAGAGTATTAGATAATTTACATAACCTTATTTTGTAATGTTTCTTCCCATATCCACAGCACTCCGTGGCTCCCTAGATAATCTGCAATACGTCCACGCTTTACAAAACTCCACTTGTTGATGTGGTAAGCATTCTAAAGTTCCAAATGAAAATTAAAATGTGTCATTAAGCCAATATGGAAGAATGCAAGAATTTCAGAGGTGAAAATTTTAATTATTTAAGTATAAATTCCATTTATTACAAACACCAATTAACTTCACCACAGCTCCAGATATAAAGACTCAGTTTCATTTTTACTAACTGCAAGCTAGCAAAGAAAAAAAATATTCCAGAACTCAAAATTCTAAAAAGTGCATCATAAATTTACCTTCTAGAATACTGGAAGAACCAGTGGTGTGTACCATACTTACTTATAAGGACAACATTGTGTAAATAGGTGACTTCATAAATAATCAGTTATATTAATATGACATCTTAAGTGAGTCAGAGGAGAACTGGCAATCTAAGCTTAGGTCTACCAGCTGCCAAAACATGGAAAGATACGCCTGTGGATAATGCATGAAGATAATTCTGAAGTGTGACCAGACAAAGTGTACATTCACAGAAACACAAAGTGTGCAGAAATACCCAAGGGAAATGTATAATTATCTACTTTATTATTAGTGCTGTGGTTGTACCTTGAAACTATTGCACCTTCTTAAACCAACATTTACACCGGTCATTAAGAGTTCAAGTCTGTATTTCAAGATCGCTAAATCACATTGAGTACGCACCGAAATTGTAAGTCCACAAGTGAGTTGAAGTTTAAACACTGACTTGTACATGTCAGTTCCTCGTCACTTAGGAGGATACTAAGATCCGTCTTTCATGCATCCTTTTCCACCAAAGGGAAAAAGGAAGAATACCACAGCCATGCTCTCTACACTCAAGACTCTGCATGTCTTCAGTGGTTATGCATCAATTGACTAAAATATTCTATAAGAACTGTGAGAAATTATTCAGCACAAGTCATTAAATTTAAATATATACACAATCCTAATGCATTTTATAATGAATAAAATATTGAAAATAATGATATTTAATCTATGGAATAGCAATGCTACTTAAACTTTCATTAAAAATAGTTTTACATAATCTTTAAGTATAAAAACACTAAAATAGTATTAAAAATGTTCCTTAAATCTGAAAACACAATGTTGAAAAATGAGTATGTTTCCTGCTGATGCTTAACTTGAATTATTTCAAATTTATACCAAGATTAAATGGAAATATAATAATACACATAATTCTATGAAAGAAAAACTTGTCATTATTTATATTTTACCTTAAAAACTGATAAGAATCAACTGGAAACAAATTGAAATTATGAGAAGAGAGAGCTGGATAATCAAATATTAAATATATGAAATTCAGTATCACCTATGTACTATGAGCAATTAGTAACAAAAGAAAAAAAGCCTAGCAATAAAATAAATATGTAAGAATAAACTTCTTTGAATATATACATGTTTATGAGGAAGAAAATCTAAATTTTTGTAGGATGTGAAAGAATTTGGGAGGGAATATGAGACAAACCACATTAATAAAAAGACTTAACAAGTTGTTAAATCCCCTCCAACAAATTTATAAATTTGAGGTAATTCAAACCAAAATTTCCAACAGAATTTCTTTTAAAAATTTTGAGAACAGTAATTCTAAACTTCATATATAAGAATATATGCCAAAAATAAGCATAAAGATAGGGAACCCTTAACTAGAATTATGATATATCATAAGAACTTTTGTAAATGCCACAGTATACCCCCACTCAGCACAACAATAAAAAAAAGAGACATATTCTAAAACTAGTTAGACAGCTGAAGAGCTGGTACAGAGACCAGACCAGTGGAGAAGAAAGCAAGGAAAAGAAGCAAGTAAATCAGAGCAGATGAACCTGGCATGCTAAGTCAGTGGGTAAGACTAATTAATCAATAAACAGTGCAAAGATCACTGGTTCACTATATACAGACAGGTGTATATAGTGACCTAATAGTACACAACCCAACACACTCCAGAGGATGAAAGGTAAAAAAGATGAAAGTATAAAAGGGCTCAAAGAAACCATAAATAATTATGTAAACAAATAATTTACCCTGGAGTAAAGTTGGTTTTACTAAACACTAAAGGCAGAAATAAGAAAAAAATATTTAATTCTTTAAAAATACATAATAATGGTATTTGTGAGGTGCTCCAGCACCTCAAAAAACAAAAACATGACACATTCTAACTAGGCAAGGTGTCACTCACCAAGGAGGAGGCAGGAGGATCAAGAGCTCGGGGTCAGCCTGAGCTACACAGCAATACCTTATCTCAAACAGCCAAGGGCTGGAGATGTAGCTCTGTGGTTGACTGCTTACTTCTCATATGCAAGGCAAGAGCCTGGTACAATCTCCAGTGCCACAAAAAAAATAATAAAATTAAATTTTAAAAAGTTAAAAAGACAGAAAGAAACTACAATGGCAAGAAAATTGTTTTTGTAATAATACACAACACACTAGGCACTAATATTCATAAAAGATAAAGAGCTCTAAATTGACCAACCAGGGGACACGGAAATGGGGTGTAGAAAACAGTAACAGAGGGGTGAGAGAGGGTAATGGCCAAAGAACATTATATGCCTGCATGGAAGTGTCACAATGAAACGTCTTTGTACAATTAGTACACACTAATAAAAGATTAATTAATTAACAGACCAATAGCAATAGAAAATGGTCTCAGTTACAAGAAAAAGTCTGTTTTAAAGAGAACTACAGGTGGCCTATAAGCTTACGGAAAGCGTCCTAACTAAATAACCACAGCACAATGCTCGGAGCTGTAGTGAAAACAAGCCTGCAGGAAAGCTCGTCAACAGGCGGTACCTGCAACATTTCCAGAGACCAATTTCAAAATCTGCACAAGACTTTAGAAGGACATATCCTTGTCCCAAGATCCTTAGGACTAATAATTTATCTCAGGAAATGATTAGGAATGTGTGCTGTGATTTAAGTTCAAGTAGATTTGTCATAGCATTATATAAAATAGTGAGAACTCACAGAAATTCAAATGGACGCAGGAATGAGAAAATAAAAAGAAAAGTAAATACTGTGCCTATCTCTAACATAATATAAAAACACTTATAGGAAAGGAAAACGTTGAAGACAGATGTTTCCAGAAGGTTTTCAAATACCAGGTACATCTGTGTGTTGTACATGTCAATTACATGCCTTAAAAAATGAAAAGCTAACAGGGTAGACTGACTATAGGTGATTTTCGCTCATCCTTTTTTTATATTACACAGTGCAAATTTCATTTTGTGAGCTTACTGTGGTGCCCCATTAACAGAAATTTCAGTTAACCACTGTCTGAAAATATTACATGGAAAGTTTTAGAAATAAATGATTTAGAAGTTTTAAATTTTCTGCTGTTCTGAGAAGCACATTGAAATTTCACATCATCCAGTTCCTTCCTGAGCAGGGTGAGCATCATCCCTTTGTCTACTGCCTTCAAGACATACACCTTACACCCCCATCAGTCCCTGAGTAGCCAGCTCAGGTATCAGAGCCACTGTGGCTGCATCACAGTGCTGTGTCCAGGTAATTTTAATCTTACTTACTAATTGACCCAAAGCACAAGTTGTGATTCTAGCAATTCAGAATGTCACAGAAGTGTGTGACTTAGGAAGACAGGTCAATGTTCTCAATTTAAAAAGGAAAGAAAAAAACTGTGTGCTGCAGTTCCTAAAATCGGTGCTAAGAATGAATCTTCAATCCATGAAATCTTAAAGAAAGAAAAAGAAAGTTTGCTAGTTTTGCTCTCTCTTTCTCTTCAGACTGCAAAAATTATAGGCACAGAGCATGATCAGTGTTTAATTAAGATGGAAAGGCACTGAATTTGTGTACGTGAGTACAAGGGAACTCATAGTCCATAAAGGTTTTGCTACTATCTGCAGTTTTAGGGTCACTGGGGAGGGATCATGGAAACCTCCCCCCCAAAGAAAAGGGAAACACTGTTCATAAATTATGTTACTGATAAGTAAATAGTGGAACCAGGTGTGATGGTGCATGCCTGTAATTCTAGCACTTGGGAGGCTGAGGCAGAAGGATTGAAAGTTTGAGGTCAGCATGGGTGACATAGTGAGACCATGTCAGAAAGAAAGAAGAAAGAGAGAAGAGTGGAAGGGAAGGGGGAAGAGGAGAGGGGAAGGAAGGGAGAAGAGAATAGCAGTTTGTACTGTGTAAAGATGATAAACGTGACTGTGATGGGAATAAAGCTTAGTGCCTTTGTTTCACCTTCATGAAGAATACACTGATGGCTGGTGATGGTCTCCCTTCCCTCACACAACTCATGGCATAACCCCACTTCCCGTGAGCTATTTTCTTTCCAGGATATTCTTTCCAGGGACTAATATCCTCCCTCTTTCTGCAGTGTCACTCTATAGAGCGTCCAAGGTAAAAAAAAGTTGTGTCACCCAGTTACCTCATAGCACTTTCTCAGGAAGCCCACAGCAAACACCTGTGAAAAGCATCAATCCTGACAGCAGAGGCCTTATGTAAACACCTATTTTAGCATCAGTCATTTATTTTCAGCACTCCCTACAGGATGCCTGCTTCTTAGGAAATAAGCCAAGGAAAACAAAATGCCTTCATAAAAGAATTACTTCATGTTCCATTCAATTAGTTGTCTACATCAGAAGCAAAAACTTGCAAATCAACTCTAATCTCTGCAATTTCAAAGTAACATAGAGGTAAAGAAAACTCTTGTGTTGATTTTTTTTAAATTTCTGTTGCTATGTTCTTTACATTGGTTAGTTTACAACAAGAAAAGATCAGTTCTTGATACAAAAATTATTAAAGAATTAAATCAGTATACTACTTTGTAAAGACTGAATAAATATCACCAATTTCAAAGGTGGCTAATGAAAATGTTTTCAAGTGTTACATAAGCATAGAGCTGATCTGTATGTATTTAATGCTACTGAAATCAGGATAAAAGCATCCCATGAAAATAATTGTTTCTAACGTGCTCTTCTTAGCACAGAAGAATGGTGAGAAGGAAAGGCTACATTTCATGGAGAATGAAGGACAACGGTGTCCACCTCCCTTGCCCCAACATGGCCTCAGCTACCCTGCGTGATATTGGTGCTGCAATTAAACTGAGACTCACTTTAGCCCAGGAGATCTCTGCATCCAAGTGGCCGAGCGTGCCCTCTGAAGTGGACTTCTGCACCAAGTCAGCTTCTGTAGCAGAAAGCCACTCAGAGAGACAGGCAGCCTCTTTTTCCATCCGCCGGGCCAGCTGACATGCTCTTTCCAGGTCCTGTTTTCCTTCTGTCACCTGAACAGCAGAGAGAGACCAAGACTGAGACAAGAATGAACATGAATGGGAACAAATTCAAATATTAACTATAGAGCTGGGTGCAGAGGCACATGCCTGTAGTCCTAGCTACTCAAGAGGCCAAAGCAGGAGGATCACCTAAGTCCAGGAGTTCAAGTCCAGTGTGAGCAATACAGTTCAAACAAACAAAAGAATATTAACCAGGACTAGAGTAGTGACTCACACCTATAATTCTTCAGGAGGCAGAGATGAGGAGGATCACAGTTCCAGGCCACACCAGGCAAAAAAGTTAGCAAAACCTCATCCTCAACAAATAAGCTGGCTGGTTCATGATTATGGGGGGTGGTGAGGGGAGGGTAGTAGGGAAGAAGGTGGGAGCAAACTAACCAGTGTACAAGGTAAGGCTATTGAGAATTGATCCAGTGACTCTCCCCTGCACAATGAATGTACGCTAATAAAAACAACAAAAAGATATGAGATGAAATTGTCTTGGATGATACAAAATGACATGAAGGTCAAATTTTATCGGTAAGTTACATGGGCTGCCACTTGGCTTTCCTCACCTCCAGGTTCAATTTCACTCTTTCATACCTCAGGGACTGGTTGTGATTAAATTTCCTCTTAAAAATGAAATATTTTCCTACCTGGAGTTTAATTAAAATTCATGACTTTAATTAATAGCACTTCAACAAAAGACAAATACTTGAATTATATTAAAAGATATTATGTATTCAAATGATACTTATCTGACTTGACATGCCTAGGCAGCTCCACAACTATCATAAAACTTAATGACATCAAAGATTTGTATATACCAGGAAGAAAGTAATTTATAGTTCAACCTATAACAATTTACACTTGTCTCCATCTAATCAATACATTTTAAGATGCACTGCATATAAACTAGGCCATATGAAGTAGTAAATCTTTAACCTAACCATTGACCCCTTCTCCCTCTCAACTACACAACTCTTCTTTCTAAACAGGAACCATTTTCATTTGCTATTAAGAACACTCATGCCTATCTCTCTCTCTCTCTCACACACGCACGCACGCGCGCACATGCACACAAAATCCCTTCTTCGAACTCACCTTCCCTTAGGACCTGTCTCTCCACTTTTCCCATGCAGAGCCTCAAAGCCATTGCCTTGTGACAGTGCTCCATTCCCTCACCTCCACACAGACCTCAAGTTATGCCATTCTGCCTTCTACTCCACTCCCCTTACTCCTCAGAAATTGCCCTTGCTAACTTCGATGCTAATCACCATGGCTCCAGATCTGATGGACATTTCTAAGTGTCAAGAACATGCAGAACAGGTGACTGCACTCATTCTTGAAACATTATTCTCCCTGGCTTCCCTGATCTAACACTGTCCTGGTGTGCCTACCACATCTTGCTACTTTAGTTTCTGTCTCAAACTTCGTGCTAAATGATGTAATTCTTAAGAGTTAGTCAAGGGCCAATTCCTCCTATATCTCTCCCTAGGCAATTTCATCATTCCCAAAACCTTAATTACCACCTATATGCAGATGACTCATAAAATTCATCTTTTCAACCTGGATCTATTCTCTAGACCTGGCACCATCATCTTCTATGTAATCAAACCTAACACCCAAGAGTTGTCTGTATCTTCCCTCTCCTCCATCCCCCATAGCTAATGCCTCACCAAATACTACTGATATCACTTCCTACATGGCTCTAAAGTCAACCCACTCCATCTCCATTGTCCTCCGTCCTTCTAGCCACCATCACCTCTCCTAAGAGCATAGCAAGAACTTTCCAGCTGTTCTCCACATCCACTCCTGCTTCCCACCAATTCAGTCTCCAAACCATAAAACTTTTTTAAAAATTTGTTTTGAGCATATCATCTGCCTACTAAAAATGCTATGGTAAGTGCTTATTGCCTTAAAGACAGGGATTAAAAATGTTAACGCAAACTCTGACACCAGCAGGGTCTATTCTCACCCCATCTCCCCAACACCATGATGTTCCCCAAAATGGCCCTCTCTCCAGCCACATAGATACACCATGCTTCCTCCTGCCAAGGGCCTTTACACATGGAGCTCCACAAGCCTCGAAAGCCCTCTCCTCTGTTTGCATACAGGTTATTCCAACTCATCCTTCAGATCTCAGCTTATGCATCACTTCCAGTAAAGCTCTCCCAACCCAAGACTAGGTCAAATCCCCTTTGTCTATACTTTAAAATCATCACACACATGCCTTCAGAATACATCAGAAGAGTAGTCTGAAATTACTTCATGTGAATATTTAATTAACCCTTACCCCTTTCACTACTCTGAACTTCTGTTTTTCCTTACTCTGTATCCCCACTACTCACCCAACTCTAGACACACAATGAAGTCTCAATTATGTTGAGTGAGAGACCTAATTAACACTAAAACTATGTTCACAATTAGAGAATTATCATAAGAACCAGCAAATCCATTCTTATTCATGAAATGTCCAGTCAGTTGAATAAATAGTATTTAACAAATAACAAATTGCCTAGAAAAAGTATGGAGTGTTCATTCTCATTGGTTTTAAATTGATAACAAAACTTCAGCTATTTTTCTCTGGGCTTATGCAGAAATTCCAATCTTAATTGAAGCAGAAGTTATTAATATACGACAATGGAAGTAGGATCCAAAATATTGCCTAGCACAGTTTCTCAACATTGCCTTCCTGAAACAAAGAGTTTCAAGGTCAGAGTGAAAAGCCCAATAACCCCGTGACGATTCACTAAACTGCCATATTACTGTTGTTTCCTGAAAGGATTTTAAATGGTGGTAGGTTAGTATACACTTCACTTAATTTTTACATATGTTACTTAATATTGAACAATTCTTAGTAGACTATTCAATTCAGTAGTCCAAAGTCCAATAACTTCAGTGTATACAAGAACTATTATTTTGTACAGTTTCCACAGAATAATTCATGAACTGTCAGTAGTCATTGAAAATACAAATACTAATTTGAATTAAATATTATAAATAAATTTCTATATAAATACTAATCATTACACTACTAAAGAAATACAGTGAAAATTGTTAGAACATGTATTAATGCCATGAAGTTCCAACAAGCATTTTCTAAGACCTCCTGAAACTATTCCAGGAATAGGGAGAGGGGAGATAAAGGAGAATAGTAGAGAGGGTGAATTCAACTATGATATATTTTAAGAACTTTTGCAATGTCTCAATGTACCCCCAGCACAATAATATTATGATAATAAAAAGATTTAGAAACACATGAGAGGGCTGAAAGAGCACATGCCTAGCCTGCACAGGCCCCAGGGTTCGATCCCCAGCACCAAAAATTATGAGAATATCACAGATACATGAAATGCGTGCTCTCCACACCTGGGCGCCCAGGTCATTGTAAAGGATCTTCAGAGACGTCAGCTGTTCATCCATGCTTTTCGGGTTGTCTGTCTGCTGCTTCTGGACAATGTGCCTTCCTGTTTTGATCACAGTCTCCACTTCAAGTTTGACTTCACTCAAAGTTTTATACAGTTTCTTTAAAAAAAAAAAAAGAAAAAAGGCAAATCTCACACTATAATAAAAGTGTGCCAATTGGAATCATTTTAGAACACAGCTGACACATTTTGACAGCTAAGAACTCAGAAGGAAGGTCAAAGGGCAGCACCTTCCTCAGATTTGACTTGAAGGGTGAGTGAAATGAGATCAAGGTTGTAACACTTCTTCAAAAGATAAGAAATTAGGATAATAGAGTTTGTACTTGTTTTAAAATCTCAGACATGTGTATCAAATGTTTATGAGAGTACCTAATAATGTACTATAAATATTTTTCCTACATAAATTGAGGAAAATATTAAAAGCAAAACCTCAATGTCAATCATATGTAATTAAGGGCTGAAAGCTTAGCATACACTCAGTATACAGAAGGCCCTGTACTTGATCCCCTGCACCAAAAATAAATAAATAAATACATAAAAAGTACACTTAAAAAAAATTCTAACTGCTATAACTAGAAGAAAGCCAACAACAGTGACTATTTCTGGCTACTGACATTTGGCATTATTAATATTTATTTATTTCCTTCTATTTCTCTGAAACAGCAAATCTATCATAATAGGTATGCATTGCTTATATGTTAAAAACACATATAAAAGTCAAAATAGCAAGATGGATATGACTACACAAAATCAAGTTCAAAAGGTCAGAGCTGTCCTCACTCCTGTCACCTTGACCCCTAAAGCTTTGTTTGGGCAGCTTCTCTTGACTCAAACATCACCATCCTAACCCAAAACAGGTCATGAGCACTGCCACCTAATAGACACTGGACCAGCTCACAGGAGATCCAAGAACATTGCTTGTTCTGTTTGGTGCTCTATCCCAACAAACAAACGCATGCTTACAGACTATCCTTGCCTGTTTGTGCGCTCTTCCACCATGTAAGAAACAGACATGGGGACACAGCAGTGGCAAAAAACATAAAGAACTCCTCTCGGACTGTGCTTGTCTCACAAGTGTTATCTGAAGTTTGTCATGATCCTCAAGCATCGCACTGTGTAAAGGTCATATCCTCCTGGTCGCATCTTTGTAAAATGTCTACTCAACTGAATTACTAAGTTCAAGGCTAAAACAGTAATAAGGCCTTTCCCATCTGTGGTTAGAACTCTGATTTAAACTTTTATTTTGCATCAAAGGAATGTTTTACCATAACATTCCTAATGTCCAGTCCCAGTGTGGCTCTTTAGCTACCTTAAATTTATCCTGGAAAGCTTGACTTATGAGTCACCTTCTATTCAAGTCACCCTAACTTCACATTGTGAATAAAATGTTCCTTTATTAATGCATGTTGTTTACACACCTATCCTTCTTCCCTTTCCTCAATAATCATCGATTTCACTCTCTCCCATCTCTTATCTCTTCTGATCTCCATAGAAGGAGAGACCACATTTCTTAATTTTTTAATATGTCTTCCATCATCAATCCTGTGCGTAGCCAGCTACAGACATGCCCATGCAGGTATACAAAACCGTAACAACTGCCAGAAAACCCACAGGACATGCATGTCCCCAACAGCCTCACCATACACTTGTCCAGATGGGCCTGGATGACCTCAGCATGCACACCCTTCACCTCCAGGACATGGAGCTCAGCTTTCACACCATCCAGCACGCGCTTACAGTCAACCATGCGTTGCTCAAAATTTGCAGGCTTCTGGAAAAGCTGGAATTTTGTGGACACCTCTCGAAGTTTCCTCTGTTTGCAAAAATGAAAGTAATAAGCAAGTCACACCAAAATGGCAATCTCTCTCACAAGATGATATTAGTATAAGACGTACTACTAAAAAGCTATGAAATAAAAATATTTCAGAGGAAGAAGAAATCCTAAAGGGATTCAGGGAGTCACCCAATCATCTAAGTGAGCTGCACACCCAGTGTCATGAGTTATGTCACACCCAGAGTCTCAATCTCAAGAATGATAAACTTGGCCTCACTGGAGTTAAAACTGCATTAGTTTCCTCCCTTGCTTCCTCACAGCTCTGAAACCCAGAACTCAAATGCCTTTCCTTCATCACAAGTTCAAAGTGAAAGTCAATGTCACATAAGCCATTAAGGAGTAAGTGAGGCTGCATCCCACGCACAGAGCCTGCCCAGTGCATCAGCCACAAGCAGACAGACACACAAGGACCCAGTACCAAAGGGCTCTGTACTATAAGAACAATCTACAGAAAACTAACTCTAAATCCAGCTTACTTCTCTCCTCTCACCTCAACTACAAAATCCCATTCAGTGTCTTCCTACTCACAGGACAATTCATCTCCAGTACCCTGGGCACATGAGCCTTTAATAGCTGTTTCCATGGTTCATATCATACCAAATACCCAAGTAGTCAACTCTCTCTCCTTTTCCCTTCCCAGGGAAGCACCTGGCCCTCACCTGCAGCACGTCCATCTGACTTCCTCCTTTGGTGGTCCTGCCATCTGGGGAGGTTGGCGGCTGGGAGCGGAGATTCCTTCTCAGCTCCTCCAGAGTGAGCTCATGGGCTGAGATCTCTGCTTGGATTTTCTGCCAAGAAGTTAGAAAGGGGAGAGGATGTGTTCTTTTTTTTTTTAAAAAAAGGCACATAAAGAGGCTGGACATGGTGACTCACACTTGTAAACCCAGCTACTCAGGAGGCAGAGATCAGGAGGATGGAGGTTTGAAACCAGCCCCCGGAAAAAGTCAGCAACACTCCACACCCAAGCTGGGTATGACAGTACACTTTTGTAATCCCAGGTGTGTAGGAGGCATAGGTAGGAGCATCATAGTATCAACTGACAAGACCCCATCTAAAAAATAACTAAAGCAAAAAGAGCTGGGGAGTGAGTGGCTCAAGTGGTAGAGCACTTGCAACCTGAGTTGAAACTCTGGTACTATCAATAAATAAATAAACAAATAAATAAATGTAAAAAAACAACACAGACGTTCCATACAGTGCACAAACATAGTACTATATTTTACAAACTTGAATCAGCTTACAATATATGTAATAAAGATATGGACTAGCATATATGACTACTGTGTGTTTCAACTTGCTAAGGTCTTTGCATTTGTCACTTCTAAGGTTCACAACTTATATATAGTTCTTATATTTCTTCTTTACAAAGAAGAAGTTATCCCAATGTCATAGCTAAGAAAATAAATATATTTAAGTGCATCAAAATCTCCCATAAGGAACAAGGGACCCACAAAACCCAGCTGCCACCCTGTGAGTAAAGTGACTCTTTTGCAAACTCTGGCAGGAGGTGTTCCCTGATGACTGAGGGGAATGCACACTCTCTTCCTCACAACTCAGAAGCACTAGATCTGCGGCAATACCAGAGCTTCCTGTGGAACTTGGAAAGCATCGATCCTGTCGGTCAGGTATGTGGTGAGCTGTTTGTCCAGCTCCCCCAAGCTCTCCTGCAGCACCTGAAGCATGTGGTCCGTCTCCCGCAGGACCTGCAGTTGCTTTTCCAAAGAAATCTGTTTGTTCTCTGCCTGCACAGGGGAGAAATGTCATCGTTAGCTGCTCAGCACAAATCTAAATAGCTGAATGTACTTCCTGGCCATTAAGAAAAGGCTATAAAATGCACGACTTTAGACTGACTTATAAATAAATAATAACTAGCAATGCAAGAGAGAGCACATCCTCCTAACAGCTTACATACCTTGCAGGTGAAGCAGTAATTCCTACTTCTCTCTATACACCATGACAAAATATGAAAATGCAGTATTTCCCATAGAACACTTTAAACAGAGTACAACATTTGTGATTCACTGTAAACTTGGAGCATTTTCAGGCATTACCAATGTCTCTCAGTAGAACAGCCATTTGGATCTTTTCTTGTTCCAAGGTTGAAAACACATCCTACATGTGCACAGTTGTGTGCATTTTAGATTAGGCTTGATGCTACCCATGGTCTAATTATCAACAGTAACTTTTTAGTATGTGTTTGAAGGCATGCAACACCTACTCAGCCACCCTACAAAGAGCAGCGTCCTTTCTCTAACCACTGATATGAATGTTCACGTTCAGATATGATCAGGATGCAACCTAAAAGGTCATGGCTTTCGTGGGAGTTTGTGTCACCTTCCAACGGACTTAATATTTACTAGGATAACAATGGAGCCTGGGTCAGCTCTGCATCCCACACACCCAACCACACTCGTGCGCACCCTCATGCTTACCAGGTGGCTCAGATCTTCATAGCGGCTGTTAAAAGCCTCCAGCCTCTCACTGATTATGTCATCGAGGATCCCGCCATCAATCAGAGTCTGGCCAAGTTCCCGAATCTGGGTGCGATTATCTGCTGGGTGGCGCAAAGCAGATTCCAGAGCCTGGACCAGGACAGGAAAAGGGTAATGCATTTGTTAAAGCGAGATGTATCAAATATCCAAGCATGCATTTTGTAAAACATATAATTCTATTTTCTAGGAAATCTAGAAATCTGGAAAGTTAACAAAATTGTCCATATGCTATTAATAAATTTATAAACTTGAGAAATTAGTATGAATAATATAATTCATAAAAATAATTTCAATAATTATTAATTATTTGAGAAAATTCCATGAAAAGACATGCAGGTTAAAAGAAACAGTATCATACAAACAAAATCTCAACTGTTATCAACCTTGTTACTAAAAACAAGTATTCAATTTTCTACTACACACACAGAATACAAAACACTATTTGTTATGTACATACTTCATTATTGTTAATGGTTTTGTCATTGCTGTTTTTGTTTTTTGAAACAGAATGTTTCTTTGTACCGCAGGCTGGCCTCAAACTCAAAATAACACTGCCTCAGCCTCCTGAGGCTGGGATTACAGGTGTATACCACCATGCCCACTTACACATACACACTTTTTTTTTTTTTGGCAGTACTAGAGTTTGAACTGAGTCTTGTGCATGTGCTCTGCCAGCCCTTTTTGCTTCGGTTATTTATCAAATAGTATCTCACAGTCCTGCGAGGGATAGCCTGGATGCCACCCCTCTATTCACACTTCCCATACAGCTGGGATGGCAGGGATGAGCCACTGTACCCAGCCTTTTATTGGCTGAGATGGGATCTTGCTAACCTTTAGCCTGGATTGGCCTTGACACATAATCCTCCTGATCTCCACCTCCCAAGTAGCCAGGTAACAGGCATGAGACACAAGTCTGACTCTATATACACACCTTTATAAACATAAATCTAATTAGTCATATGGGATCATTTACTCCCATTCTACAGGTGGGAAAACTGAATTCAGCTCAGAGAGTTTAAATACCTCGCCTACAGACATACAGTCAATAAAAGAAGAGCTAAGGTTCCAACATGGTCCCAAAGCCTCTGATTCGGTGCACCACCTGCCACTGTGTGGGCATTAAAATAGTAATAATAACTAGGGAGAAATATGTAATGTGTTTAAATGCGTTTATCTTACGGCTTGTCCTGCACCTCTGTATTTTCCCTATTTCTGAAGGCATGTGGACTGATTCATATTAGGAGAACCAGCTTTTTAAAAGTGGGTTTTCCATTACTTTTCATGCTCTGAACTCCTTGCTCTGCTGTATGTGAAAAATGACAGCTCTTCTCCATAAGACCATCCATCTCCCCGAACACAGGCTCCACAGTCACTCACTTCTGACCTTCAACTCAGTCACCCACTCAGTCTCCACGACATCTTTCAAAACTTACCTACCCTCCTCCCCTTTTTCTTAAGCAGCCCTACCCTGGTCACATGGTGATTCCGTTAAGAACAGTTATTACGTCATCAAATCCACAGATGGTGCTCGTGACTGAGGAGCAACAAAAAATCAGGGACATTTCTTGGCCCCAGGAGCTTGAAGTCCAGCCATGATGACAAGCCCCCACCACCTGGGTCCTCTGCACCAAACACACCAGCCCATCTGTGATGGTTAACATTCACAGATGTCAAAGTCTAGCACCACTGTACACAGTGCCGAGCTTAGAGGAAAAGTGACAAGAGAGTTGTCTTACTAACACATATTTTGTCCAGGCGTGGGCGAAATAAACTAGAACCCATGGAGAGCTTTTCTGTGTTTAAAATGCACTGTCAATTGTCTCACCACATCACCAGGCCGGTGATGGAAAGGGTCCATGATGCTCTAAATATGCCTGTTGTGACAACACCTCTGGCTACTGATATAAAACAGGTGAAGATAAGAACTACTGAGGAGGGGCTGGCGGGGTGGCTCAAGTGCTAGAGCACCTGCCTAGCAAGCCTAAGGCCCTGAGTTCAAAACCCCAGTACCTCCTAAAAAAAAGCAAAAACAACAAAGCAACAAAAACTACTGAGGAAGAGGACACATTTTTCTGCACAAAGCACTGTGTCTCACTTTAACAAGACAACAAAAAGAAATGCCACCAAGAGCACAGGTTCCAACCTCCAGGGCGTCATTGACAGCATCTGTCCTCTCGGGCAGGGTCTCTGTGTCCTTCATGCGCTCTTCCAAAGTGTTCAGCCAGTTGGTTTCAAGATCCAAATAGTGAAGCAGTTCAATCCAGCAGGACCAGACCTCCTAAAGTGTGCAAAGGAAAAATCAAATTCCACAAGAGACCACACCATGCCCTGTATCTCCAGGGCGGTAGGACACCCTCTTCAGGGAACAACAATTTCTTTTACATGTGAGTGAGGTGGGAACTTAGAAATTCATGAAGCTGGCATCTCAAATAAATGAAACAGAACCGAATCTGTCAATAAATTTTAGGCCAATGGGGAACAACAGGGATGGACAAGAGGCTACCCTCATTTCTTATTTTACAATAAATTCCAGGATCTGACTTACATGTCAAAATCAAACTATCAAACTCATGAGAAAAACAAGATACAAACATTATTAGTTTGCTTTTTAGATAAAAGGTAAAATCCAGTCATACTTAAATATGTTCAATAATTCCATAGGAAATTGGAATTTGTAGGGAAACATTCGATTCCAGCTCAGTTAACTGAGATAAACAGTTTGCTGGGTAGCCTTCTCAACTGTCTTCTAAAATTCCTAAAGGCAGATCTCTACATGCAATGGGCCTCATAACCCAAAAGAACTGTATTTTTACAACTCGTTCCCCACAGCTAAGGCTTCCCAGGTTGGGGAGAAGGGAAATGCATACTGTCGTAGCTCATCTTGCTTGACACTTGTTTGGATTGAGAAGCACCTAAGGAGATTAGTAAAGCACACCTCTGAGAGTGACTGAGACAGCTAACTAAAGGGTAAACACCAGCCCTGAATGTGGGCAGCACTGTCCCATAGGCTGCGAACACAGAGAGAATAAGAGAGGAAACAAGAGAAAACCAGTGAGCACAGACATTCTCTCTGGCTGCTTCCTGGCTGCCATGATGTGATGCTCCTTCCATGATGGACTGAAACCTCTGAAACTGAGGCAAAATAAATCCCTCCTCCCCTGAGTTATTTACGTCAGGTATGTTGTCATAGCGACAAGAATGCAAACTAACACACTTACATTCTCTTTTGCATAGAAGAGGGAGCTGTCTGGTAAATTTAGGAGAAAGAACTCAGCACCGAACCCCCAGGCTCTGTTCTCTTTGGGATCTACTGACCGAGCACAGGCATTCCCATCTGTGCCCCATGGGAGCTCTGTGTGCTATAAAGAGCCAGGCAGAAGATACTTTAGGTTTTAGGGGTGACATCTGGTCTCTGTCATGGATCCTTCTTTAGTGCATGTAGTGTGTGGGTGAGTGTGTGTTTGTGGGTTTCTCAACCTTTTAGAAACAAGAAACACAGAAACTACTCTTTATCCAGACAAAAACAAGCCACAAATTCGGTTTGAGCCTTCAGCCACTATTTGCTGACCCTTGGCTTAGAATGAAAGGATAAAGAGATTTCTAGTTCCCCCAAATTTCAACAAGCAAAAAGTGGACTGAAGAAAAGGTTAGATCAAGAAGAATTAACCTAGAAGGTAACACACATGCACAGGAAATCAGTGCAAGTCAACTCCCTGTATAGCTATCCTTATCTCAACTAGCAAAAACCCTTGTTCCTTCCTATTATGGCTTATACTCTCTCTTCAACAAAATTACAAATAAGGGCAAAATAGTTTCTGCCAGGTAGTGAGGGGTTGGGGGAGAAGAGAGGGGGTGGGGGAAGGGAAGAAATGATCCAAACATTGTATGCACATATGAATAAAAAAAAAGGTGGACTGAAAGATCTACTCATATTCAAGTAGGACTTCCTTCCTTACAGGAGAAAAAAAGGACGTCAGAGATTCATTCGCTCCCTGGAGACAGAAGCATTTCCTAATCAAGTACCTTTCTTGCTAAGTAGTACCAATTAGGCATATTTATCTCAGCACCAGACAGACTCAGAAGAAACCGGTGATGAGCCAATCTAGCTTAAATACTGCCTTTGCCATTTTTCAAACTCTTTAGGATTGAACACAGCACAATCATTTGTTTTAGGCTGAATTAAACTGTTAAAAATTGAAATGCTTCTTAAATCATAAGTCATACTCATGAAAACAAATAAAAACTTAATTGCATTAAAATAATATCACAGAATAATTTACACCTGAAATATAATGAATAGAGGGTAAAAAAGATATTTTATCTAAGATCAAAACCTCAGTTCCCCTCTGTGTACTTAACCAGGTCAAAACAGAGAGGCTCACCGCACGTTCTGGGATTTGGGGACTGGACGAGACCCTGCAGATCATCTGAAGCATGAAAACCTTGATGCACACTTATAAAAAAATTAGGCTGAAGATATTAAATGACTTGCTAAAGAGCCTGCTGATAACTGCGGACAGAGCTTGGCTTCCCTTTTTAAAATTTTCTTTTTCATTTTTATCAGCCTATTCCATTAAAAAAATACTTTTTCTTTATTATCCAATATTAGGAAAAAATGAATCTTCTTTTCCCAAGATACAGAAATGCAAAATTTGGATCTCAGAAATATTCCACTGAGAAAAAAGGAAAACCTATCGTACCTCAAGTGTGTGGCTCTTCCCTCGAATTCTGTTACAAAGCAGCTGGTAATTCTCCAGCACTGCGTTCAGTGCAGACGTCAGCTCCTGGCCACCAGAGGGCGCCGTTGCAGCCAAGGACTTGATGTTATCCTTGAGAATCTTCACTCTGACCTCCTTCTGCAACACGTCCTCTTTCGCCCTCTGTTCCAAGAAAGAAATTGAAAAATGTGTCTCTGTAACCAGCTCCTTTCTTTTAAAAACAAAAGTAACTAAGCCTATATAAAACATCTAGATGACAGCCTCACCAGAACATTATTTAATTAATCACTATCGTGAGTGGTTTTTAAATGAGAATGCTAATTCACTGTTTGTTTTGTGCTTTGTTTGTGACAGGGTCTCACTATGCAGCCAAGGCTGGCCTTAAACACACAATCCTCGTGACTTTGCCTCCAGGGTGCTGGGATGACAGGTGTGTTCCACCATACCTAGCTACTAAAATTTCACTTTTGCATGTCCCAATGTGCATAGCCTCCACAATCACTTTCATTTAATAATACCAGGGTTAATATCCAAATTATCCTAAATTGTGCTTACTAACATGAGATATTTTCAAATTCTTGGTCCAGGATAAGATTACAAGTCAATTCATTTTAACCGACCACTGGAGATCTGAACATATTAGACTGCACAGAAATGGAGGGCCACAATGGTAGAGGCACCATTGCAGACCACCCTTTAAAAGGTCCTACTAGAAATGGAAACATTTTTCCTCCTAGAACCTAGGCACATCTCTCAGCCTGGTAGTGAACAGCATTCCAAAGAAGGTGGAGTTACTCTGGGACAATCCGGTCCAGAAATAGCTGCTTCCTGGCCCCCCTCAGTGCTCAGGCAAAAGAACTTGAAGCAGTTCACTTTCCCTTTAGCTTTCCTTACTGCTTAATGGTTCTCAGCTTCCTTGGGATGGGAGAAAAGTAATAAAGGGTAGTGGCTTTTAAATTCCTCATGGCTATTTGGAAAAATAAAAATAATTTACTTTTGATGGGAATGTTATCCCATCAAGGATTTTAATCTCATTTTTCTCAACCCTCAACTGTAATGACTTAAAAATGCCACAGCACTAGAACGTCAGTAGTGTAAAGGAGGAGACTAAATGAAGCTCATTCTTAATGTTCTAGGAATCCTTAAGATGTTTCCAAAAGAGCTACCCTACAATGTTTCAGTTACAATGTTACAGATTCAATAACAGTCTCTTGTCATATTTACTTTGACTCCTCTATAAATGTTTGAATGTCATATAATTCCTTTTTTAAAATATCAGCACAGAGATTTTTGCTTTAGTTATACTTTTAAGCCAGTTTTCTGTGGGGTAAAACATGTACTGTCATGCTGCTTAATTGTCTAGGAAAAAAATGGCCTTTAAGACACTATCTATCTCCATTGGCTTGAATTCTCAAGGACAACTGAAGTGTCAGAAGTTTAGGATTGATGCCAGTTCTTTTATTATATATATAAAAAGAAAAAGTTCAAGGCTATTGACACAAGAATACAAGCTTACAGGAACTCCATCCCATGAAACCAACTGACATCCTCACTCTTGCCTCCTTCCTACCACCCCTCTCTCCTGCAGTAGGACATTTGGGGTTCATACGTGCCCCATGTTCCTGATAGCTGGTGAGTCAGAATAACTTCCAACTGACTCAAGAAGTCTTTCTCATTCCTTACAAACATCTTTCTTCCCCAAAAGTTCTGCAAACAAATAGTGGCAGCACCCTTTCCCTCTAAAAGCATCACAGCCACACTTCTTCTTTTTGTTTGTTTTTATTTAAGATCCTACTTTGAAAGATGATACCTATGGATGGTTCTTTAAAGATAGATAGATGTCTGATTGTTTTTTTTTTTCTTTTTCGCTTTGTCTTTTTTTCTGTTTTTTAAAATCATATTATTGTTATACTGGGGGTACATTGTGATATTTACAAAAGTTCTCTTATGATATATCACATTTGAATTCACCCCCTCCATCATTCTCTTTTATTCTCCCTCCCCGCGTTCCTGGAATAGCTTCAACAGGTCTAATTTCCATCTTCTCTACCACCACATTCTCTCCCTCCTGCACCTTCCTTCCCTTATATACTTGCCCCTCCCACTGCTACCAATCCCCAAACAGGACCTGTTTTGTCTTCCTGTTCACCATTTTTGAAAAAAGGAATTTTCGTTTGTTTAAGACAGCTATTGAGGGAGTTTCCTTGTGACATTTCCATGTATATATATATATATTATAACTCATATTGGTTCCTGCCCTCCATTTTTCTCCTGAGGGGCAAACCCCGTTGAACTGATTGTCCCAGCCTCACCTTCATTTCTTCCACGGCACTCTCAAGTTCTTCTGGTGACTTGTACTCGAAGTCCCTCTCCAGGTACTCCTCTTCAGCCTGGGTCATCCACTCCCGCATCTCGGCCAAGTCTTTCTTCAGGTTCACTACTTTTTCCTGACTTTCAGACAACCTGTTTTTTTGAATAGCAATCTAGAAAGAAAAAACCATTTTCCTAAATAAACAAATTTTAATATACTAAATTTCAAGTTCCAGTTTTTAATGTCTAATGGCACTATAATAATGTCCCTCGGCATTAATATTCAAGTAAAACTTTTTATACATTTTGTGCTGATGGTGGGAAATACAAGCAATACTAAAACTTCACAACTGAATTCTCTGCCTCATTTACACATGAGCCTTATCTAGGAATATCTACTGTAATTTTGATAATGTATAACTTTTGACAGAGTAATCCCAGATGTAGGAATCTTGTTATAGCTGCATAGGAATATTGTTATAGTGGTAACTTATACAGACTGAGTTTCCTGTAGCACTGTATTTTATTTTAAAAGAAAAAAAAATCCTGTACATAACCCAAGTGTCCATTTTTTTCTTTTTAATAGGATTTAAGATTTCATTTTTACAAAGCAGCAGAGCGAGTTTCTGTAAAAGATGTCATGTCATTGTTCTACAACATTTCTGCTTTATCTACTTTACCAGACACACACAGAAAAGCTACATTAAAAAGAGGGTATTTGTTTGAATCTGGCTCAGTAACTTCAGTGAACACTTCAGAGAAATTTGGAAATATTTTCAGGGTTCCTCACCCTAACCAGAACCTGACTTCTACTATGACAGAAGACACAGTGGCCCAGGAATGGTCCAGCCCTCCCCTGACAGGGCCAACCTCCTACTCTAATCAAACATCACAGTGGCAGCCACCTCGCCAAGTCTGGCTTGTCTGCTGAGCTGACATGAACCAAAGGCCAGAACAGAAATAGGAGAAAGGGTTGAGTAAGAGTTAGCAGCTTTCCTGTTTCCTCCCTCCAAACAGGATCACAGTCCTGAAAACAAACAGGGAGCCCTCCTTTCACGGCCCCCCCATGGTACTCCAGCAACCTGTGCCAGAAGCACACAAGCCGTTCCTACACCTGGCTGGTCAGCAGCTTTGCCTAGTGAACAATTCCTACTTTTCGTACACACACTCAGAGACACACACATGCAGAGACACATATACACAGCCATACACGTGCACACACACATTCTTGGGCCTGCTTCCAGAAAATTTGCTTTGCTACTACTTTCTAAACAGTAGTCAGCTTTATTCTTTTCATGGATCCACAGAGAAAAAGGAACAAATAAACAACCTAGTGGCCTTTCAAAACCTCCCCAAAATAATTAATGTACTTTCTGTTTTGGAGCATTAATATGTTCTTCTGTATATAACATGGGTATAACATATGTGAGAAGTTGTTTCTATCTGTTGATTTGTATTATATGCCTGTGTTTTCTTACTGAAATAAAAAACATTGTCCAAAATGTCTACATTTTTACTAGTCAATGAAATACAATTGTCTGGAACTGATCTAAATAATTACTCACACACGTGGTTGCCTTCTTGCTCAGTACACTTAAATTTTTCCCATATATTTATTCCCATACTTTGAATAAACAATAATTCAGAATGAATACTATGTTGTCATATGTGGATGGATGCATGGATGGATGAATAGATATAATCACCTTCTTGCCCCTTACTGCTATATCCAAACCATTTTCTCTATTCCTCAAAAAACCCAGCCACTCCAACACATAACATCCAATTATAGAACATATACAGAAATACAAACTTGGCTAGAGTGTTACATGACATTACAAAAAGATTATTTTCTTAAGTTTGATAATTTTGTAGTTTTATATATATATTCTTATTCTGGGGAGAAGCATACTAAAATATGTGGGAGTGATGTGTCATATTTTCAACGTCCTGTCAAAAGCACATTCTTAGGAAAGGAAAAGGGGTGACAGGGTGAAAGAGAGCAAGTGAGATAAAGCACTAACAATTGGAAAACCACAGAACGGGCATATGGGGACTCTCTCTACCATTAATTCAACGTTTCTTCACATTTGAGTTTGTTCAAAATAATAAAACTGGGGAAAGGCAACAAAAGAAAAACAAAATATGCAGTGATGCAAATACGGCTTTTTCCTATGTAAACACTTAGTCAAAAATTAAGAGATATGTACTATTTACCAGATGGTCTGTCCGGTCCCTATGTACTTCACATTTTCCCTCTATTTTTCAGCACTTTGTCACTCACTCAGCTACACAGAACCTCACTAACTTCATAGTAAAACTGAAATAATCAGAAGCAAGCAACGATATCCAGTTCTTATAGTCTTGACACGGCTCCCGTGACCGTGGGTGAAAGGCTGCACAGCAATGCCTGCACTGTAGGTCTCATCCCCACCCATGTGATGGGGCTTCACTTCAGAAATTATCTTAGTCCTTTGCATCAACTGTTTTCTCCTAACTGAGACCCTTCCCTTCAGCATAAAACAACTTGTCCTATCTCTCATTAGTAAAAGTAACAAAAGTATCTATTTGGATCCCCAGCTCCAGCACTACCCTATTTTCCTCTGAAGAGAGTAAATTCTCAAAGTTGTTCATTCTTGTCCCCTCCTTCTCAACATTCTCCAATATGACTTGCTTCCTCACCATTCCAGGGAACCCTCTTTTCTCAAGGTCATTAGAAGCCTCCATTTCAAAATATCAATGCTGAAGCTTAAATTTCAGTCAGATGGCCTCTTCAGTCCTCAGCATGGGGCACTGTGAAAAGCTTTCTCCATCTGGCCCCTGGGATCCCACACTGCCTTAGTGACTCATTTCTTTCTGACCTTTCTTTCTTAGCATTCTTCTGCGCCCAGGTCCCATCTGCCTACCTAAAATCATCTCAAACTTAACCCTTGCAAGAAGCATCATTTCCCCTGTACCCACAGAAGCTTCCACTCCTCATCTTCATCATTCTGGTAAGCAGCACCACAATTCACACAAAATGGAAGCTTTGCAAACCTCCTAAGCTGCCCTCAACCACTCACTTTTTCTTCTATCCTAACTCCAATCCTCTACATGCACGAATCCTATCTCTATTTTCAAAATCTAGTCTGAATCTAGTATTTCTCGTGACCTACCCCACTACCTCCTAGCCCAAGGGACATCCCTCTCCTCAAGCCTGCAATACCTCATGAGTCTTCTCCCTCCTCTCATTCTTGCCTTCCCAAAGCAAATTATCCACATGAAAGCCAGTGTGACCTTAAAAGAGCTGTCAAGTGTCACCTCCCTGCAAAAACCCTCAACTGGCTTGACATGGCACTTGAAATAAAATCCAAAGTCCTTACCTCCAAGGTCAAATTCGAATCCATCTTCTGCCTACCTTCCGACCCCAGATATTCCCATTTTCCAGCCCACTAACTCTTCTTGCTCTACTCCAACTACACTGTCCTCATTCTTTACGAAAGAATGTTACTAGGATGCAAGTTCCTTAAAAGAGGGGATTTTTTCCTTGCTCATTGCTTTGTCCTCAGTGCCTAGAATGATGCATGACAGTTGAAATTAATTAATAAAATATTAGTGACTGATTAATAAATACTTGCTGAATAAATGGTCAGTGACTATAATTATGGAACAACATACTCGAGTGTCCTAGGGATATAGCAAATGACATAAACGTGTGTGTCAAGCTGGATTTAAAACAAAAAGAAAGACTAAGTCCTAGGTCAAACTGGACAATCAGTATGCTCAGTGAATTTAAACAAAAAAGTTTATTTTCGAGCCAACCTTCCACCCAGGTTGTAGTGATTCTAAACCACTGTTTTCAAGATGGAAGGGTTATAAAATCAATTTTGTTATCAAGAGAAGCCACTGTCTCCACCTCTTGGAAACCTCAGACAGTACAGTTGAAAGACTCACCTCCTTGCTAAATCTCTCCAGCTGGGTTTGATAGTCAACAAGCCTTGTCTGTACCCAAGTTTTGACTCCAGCAACTGGACAGCTTCGAAGGTTAGCCTCTATTTCTTTCATGTTTTTCAAAGACGATTCAATTGTTTCTATTTCATTAACAAAGCCCTGAACACAAGAAATAAAGCCCATGTTGAGTTTACTCCTATAGAAGTGGATGCCATAATTACAATTTTTCTGCTTGAATTCCTGCAAATATTATAGGAACAGACTGCTTGGGAGTCACGACTTTTAACTACTTAAGAAAGACTGTGTGCCTTAACTTCATTTCACCTGGGTACTGCACATAGCCATCTGCTAAATTAGATTGGAAATCCTTGACTCTCAGTGGGAAATACTGCTTTTAATTAATTTTGAGAAGCCTGATGATTTCACGAAGCATAAATTGCAGGCAGTATTACTAGGAAATTTCATTTGTTAAATGTTTTTCTTAAAGCCTCACCATGTGACCCAATAAGAGCAACACACAATTGGTGGTTATTACACTAAGAGCACCACTCTAATATTAGATGGCACCCCTAAGGAACTAAAATAATTCTTGTTCTCTGGTCACAAATTCTATAACCAAGGTCAAAAGTAAAAATATGAAAATCTGTCATTCTTTTATTAAATATGAAGTCCAAAAAGACTTATAATGAAAGATATTTTATCTAGACTTAATACCATGTCATGTTCTTGCTATTTTAATAATAGCAAATAACAAAGAAAAAGAAGAAAATGTTGCCTATTCCAGCAGGTTCGAGGGAACGGCAGAACTCACAGCACATTGGTCAAGCTGCCGCTGCAGACCTGCGGCATCTCCTTGGGCAGCCTGCTCTTTCATTAAGAAGTCTTTCACACCATCCATCCACTTCTCAATGACTTTTGAATCAGCCTAAATCGAACACAATAACAGAGGGGGATATTACTCAGTGACATTCAACCCACTACATCTCAAGATCTATTGCTACTGGGAAAAAAAAAAAAGGCAACGTTTCAAAATGTTGATAACATCATTTTCATTTATTTTATTTCTTTTTTTAAACTTCCCAACGTTGAAAATAATTATTTAGTTCAATCTTGACTAAAATTCCCTAGAGATAACAACCCAATGATCATACTACAAATTTCAAAACACTCTCCAACGAACAAACTCTTCTGCTTAAATGCTAGCATTATCTATGACTAAAAATTCAATTGAGAGGAAAAACTGTTTTTCTAGGTATAATCAACTAAAAAATCATTTGCTCTCATATAACTTACAATTTTTCTCCTTAAGTTAGCTACTCAGAGCAGGAAGAAACAAACAGAATTGTAAAGGAAATACAATCAATTGTTTTAGTTGTAGTGTTGGATGCTTTGTTAGCTGAGAACTCAGCACCATAAACTACCCAGATCCATTCTTTTATCCAACATTTACTAAGCACCAACTAATCCCAGTTACTATGTTTCCTGCTGGGAGTTCAAAGAAAACAAACATCTTGCAAAAAAAAAAAGACTTTAGATATGAGATAACATAAGAACTGGGCCTCAAAAAAATACAAAGTAGGGCTGAGGGCATGGTTAGAGCACCAGCCTACCAAGCATGAAGCCCTGAGTTCAAACCCCAATACCACCAAAAAAAAAAAAAAGAAGAAGAAGAAGAAGAAAAGAAAGAAGAAGGAAAAGGAGGAGGAGGAGGAAGAAACAAAGAAAGAAAGAAAAAGAAAACCCAACATCGCTTTAATACTAAAGTGATGGCCGTACTGTCTTTGGTCAGTCTGCCCTGCCAACTTCCCTAGTGATGAGCTACTTGTGTCCTTGTACTTTCTTCAATTCTTTGTTTCTTGTTCATTCCTAGCAATGGAAACAAATTTACTATCATGTTCAAAACAATGTCACCATAATCGAGGGGAGCCACCATGTCTCTCCCTACCTCCTAATGGTTAAACATTCCTGATTACTTCTATGCCTGGGTACTTCACCCACCAGTCCAGCCAACAGGCTCTGGAACCTATATCAATTGTTTAATGTCCTTGAAATATGCCAGAGCAGCAGCTATTCTTATCCTTATAGTGTCGGGATGACTTACAAATATGGAACTTAACAGGATAACATACCATTTAAAATGTTCTTCTTTTACTTTTCTTATTGTACGGTTGCTTTGTGTTTCTTTTTGTTGTTGTTGTTCATAGATACATTACTCACAATATTATGGGTAAATACAATTCCAATATTCCCATTAACTACTTCAAAATGCACTTTTCCTAGCACATATTGCTTAATTAGCTGCTAGAATAGATTCAGAACTTGATAATTATAAATACTAAACTTTGTCTCATTATGTTGGCAGTAACAGTTAAAACAGACCAACAGCGAACCACAAAAGAACTTCAATTTGTATTCTTTCCACTTTCCAATCAGCTACTCCTGCCTTTCTCTTATTTGCAAATCTGACAGAGAAATATATTTTTTCTTGGTTTTTGTAGTTGTGGTTGTTTTTAGATTTTCCCAAGTGAAGAATAAAGCCAATGATGAGTTTGCCTGCGCATTCTGCTGTGAGGGTTCCATGTTACTCGTTTATCAAAATAAGAATCTACAGAATACTAGTATCTAGCTGGTTTTCTATCATCTTATAAGAGTACAAGAAAATATCCCAAATACTTTGCTGAAATCAAGACTTGCCAAGAATGACAGTTTGTGAACATTGTTTGAAGGAACTACATGGGTGTACAAGCTCCTTCAACTGTGAGTCCATCACTCTATATATCTAATAACCCAGTATTAGACCCAGTATTAACCCAGATAATAACCCAGTATTATCTGCCTCCAGAAAATTAGTTAAATAACTAAATGAACACTTAAAGGAAATTAGTCTGGGCAAGGCTTATTAGTGATGTCCTTGTTGGTTCTTTCCTAAGCACATATGGGGTTGGGGGGGAAGTGGCTAGAAGTGTGACTCAAGAGGTAGAGGGCCTGGTTAGCAAGCGTGAGGCCTTTTCTCTGATTGGGCATTTATCTTACAGCTTTGCCAGGAGCTAATATCAAGCTCACTTTAGGTCTTTAGCTTTTAGAAACTAATGTTCCCCCTTAATTAGAACATCCATCCATCTCCATTTTCCTGATAATTTCTCCCTAGGTCATATAATGACCCTAAGATCATCAGCAAAACTCCCAGTGCTACTTGGGATGCAGATTTTGACACCGGGAGGAGCTGAGTGGTTTTTCTGTGTGATTCATAGTTCAGATTCTAATGCACTCTCAAAAATGACTATTCCACACCTCTAGTTTTGAGGGCCAGTTTCTAAGGAAGATGGGAAGCCAGAAGTATTTGGACAGATAGGCTTCTTGCATCCTCTGTCAATATTACAGCATCCTGCTCAAGCACCTCTGCATTCTTTATTCCAAACTGTGGAGCCCCTGTAGTCACACTGTGCACTTTGCCCAAGCTTCCCTCTCCTCCATTCTGCCTGTCACCATCATATAGGTCTCTTCTGAGCACCCCAGCATTCTGAGAGACTTTTGTTGAAGACTTCAGGGGAAAAAATGCTTGGGAAGGAGAGGGCAGGACAGCCAAAAAAGAAGTTCAGAAAGAGAGAAAGTATGACTAGAACTGTGAGGTTCACAAAAAAAAAAAACCTTTAAAAATCATCCACTTATCTTGTCACTGTAGATTCTAGAATTGTTAATCTCCATTCTAGACTTTTTACTTCTTTATTAAATCTTACTTCTTCATTAAAGCCACTTTTGAATAAGGAAAATTGATAGCTTCACTAGCCAAGGATTTTCAAAATTTATATGGGTACATTATCTTCCAAGGGAGTTTTGAATCACAACCAGCATTGACCAATGTAAGCAGCCTGAACTCCCCCTCACTGGCAAATGAGAGGAAGTTTTATGCCATCGAATGCCTCCCTTCTTCCTTCGTCCCCACCCACACACACACAGACCCACATGGACACACACAATTCACTCGCTTCTGCAGTTTGATGTGGAAAAAAAAATAAAAGAGCGATAAGCCATGCAGAGTTGATACTCCCAACAGTGACAAAAGCAACAGATGGGAATCTGAAAAGACTACTGTTTTCTGTATAAAAATCCTGCCACTAACTCTAAGCATGCTGAGTTGTGAGAGAGGCTGTGTGCACAGGAAAGGAAAGATGAAGGACTGTCAAGTTCAGCATCTAACTAGCAATGTGGCTCTGAGAAGCTAATTTCTGTCCTTTCAGCCTCAGTTGCTCACCTGTAAAAGAGGAATGATAACACCACACTTGCTTGGCTGTTCTGAAAGACAAAGGCAATGTGTGGACAGAGACTGCTACGTGGAAGCATTCGGTAATGGTAATAGCTACAAAACAAACTGCTTTATCACTACCAAGATGAACCTGATGGAAGTGTTACCACTCCCAACTTTTGGAGTTTATGTCCCATCAGAGACACCACAGGCATGAGCAGCCTGGTTGCTAAGATCAAGCCACTTTTTTTTAAACTGCTGCCAGTTCTATCCAATAATTGTTTAAAAATAACTATTTCCAAATGACTGTTTGAAAGAGTTGCTGCCTCTAGATTTGACTATACATGGTCAAATACAGCTTAGTAGAAGGAAGTTAAGTACATGTGGAAACTAGACACTCCAAACTCTAGAACTGCCTGGTAGCAGCAGATACACCAGGCATTCCGACCCAGTGGCCACACATGTGTTAGCAAAGGAAAGTCTCTAAACTCAGGACTAGCTGTCACCTGTGTGCAGGGAAGCAGGGAGTCAGGGGCTCTGCTCTGCACTTCTGTTCTCCCCTCAGTATCTAATTCTTCCCTGAAAGAAAAGTCTCAATCTATTAGAGCAGACGCTTCCTGTGCTTCTCAAACATACCAAAAACCTGTACATGGTTAAGCCAATTCCTCAGCAAAAAAGTTACAAAGAACATTAAAGAGCTCACATGAATATAGTGGTTTTCGATCCATTTAAAAATCACTCAGCTAACGCACTTAGGAGCTTCTAATCTACAATAATGAGTAACTTTTTCTTTACCTCCATCCAGTTACTGAATGAACACATGCGCGCACACACACACACACACACACACACACTTCTTATAAAGCAACACAAAACAATTGCTAGTAAATTTCTAGTATAAATGTCTGCAAAAATTAAACTACGAGTACTAGTCTAGGGCCGGCACTTCTTATTCCTATTTTTACTCACAAATATTCAAACAAAGATAAAATTACTACTAGTATGGTATTTTTTGAATCAAGTTATCTAGTATTCTATCTCAAAAGGATCAAAATTTGACACTGGCCATCCCTGCTTAAAAGCAGTAATCTAGAAGCATCTTTGAGGGACAATGCCCTGCTTCTGGACCACAGAAGAGGAATGAATGCAAGGTCAACAGAACCGTCCTTTAGCCTTACCTCAGCCACTCTCCGAGCTGGGGATGGGGAAGGTTAAACCTCGGTAACTCTGGACTTAAGAGAGTAAAATTCCAAGGTACACAAGTGCCTCTAAGACTTGACTACAGCTAAATTCTTGGCATTTTATCTTCCTCCTCCCCCAACTATTGGAATGTCTACAGCTTAAAGCTGCTCATTTCTATCCCAAGACACAGACAAAGATAAAGAACTGTGCAATCAGAAATAGTATAGTAATTTAACAAGTAGTGGTTTCCAATTTTATTTGTCTTTATAATATTCATGACACAAACACTATTTTGACAAAGTATTTTGTCCCATAGTAGGGAAAACAAACAATGACATGTCTGAAGGCCTCTACGGAGCAATCACTTTCTCGTCCCAGCTCTATTCCCAGCTTACTTTCTGGGCAAAAATCCTCAAAAAAGCAAATGCCCAGGAGAAGAAGAGACACATGGTAGAATCCCAGAGATAAAAATGATTCTCTGGCTTGGGCATGGGGGTGAGCAGATGTCTGCAGAGGAAGCTTGTTCTTAAACAGTCAGCAGACCCCAGAAGGATGCAAAATCTTAGCAAGTACCTGTCATTTCCAAAGAAAGGCAATCATCCAGGTCCTCTGTGGCCCATCATAGTCTGACCACCTGATACAGCTCACGGTGGAGATACAGGCAGGGTATGAGCAAGGAAAGGACAAGGCTATGATGTGTACATGAAAGCACTTCAACCAGATCCTCTGCAGAAGGCTAACTCTGGCACCAGAATGGAAGAAGTCCAGAGGGAAGAGATGGGAAGTGGGACTCAGATTTTAAGGGTAATGGACTTTGTCAGGCAAAAGCTGACAGGAGATCTGACCCAGGCAGGAAGGGGCTACAGACAGAGTTCAGAGAGGCAAGCACTGTGGAAAATCTGAAGACCAGGTTTTGTGTGTGCTTTGGGGATGTGGTCATGATTTCCCAGTTATGTCCCACAGTACAGGGGCTCTTGAATGGGGAAAGGAAATACTACGAAATACCCTGCAGTCTCTGGATCCAAAGGTGTCACTGCTGGAGAGGACTGATAAAACACAGCCTGTTAGGATTTTATTTTATCTCATGATTCATAAGAAAATCCTGTCAGTGAAATCAATAATGACAAACACATTTCCTAGCTCATGTGTTTCAAGATGTTTTGCTGCTTTTCAAAGTGCAGTGGTGTAAACAAAGGGCATGTAGGTGAATGGATGCTGAAGAGTAACAGAAAGCTAATTTGCACACAAATCCTTCTGAGAATTGTAGGATTGTAAAAAGATGAAAAAATAAACACATAGTCAAGAAAATGCTTTCAAAGTGTAAATCTGCAGTACTGCTGAAAGGTATTATTTTTCTGCAGAGTGAGATTTGTATTCCAAGATCGATGGTATACTAGTTATCTAAATGTCTCTCACAAAAGTTCCAAAATCATTTTTCATATAGTGTGGAAAAAATGCTCAGAATTGGCGATATTTGTGTACCTTTTTCTTTTTTTACTTTGAACACATAAACCTCCACCAAGGATCCTTTTTGTTTTGTTTTGTTTTTCTCTCACACTTGTTAGGCAGGTGCTCTACCATTTGAGCCATGCCTGCAGCCCTTTTTTGTGTTGAGTATTTTTGAGATAGGTCTCAAGAACTATTTGCCTCAAACTTCAATCCTCTTGATCTCTGCCTCCAGAACAGCTAGAATTATAGGTGTGAGCCACCAGCGCCAGGCAAAGATCCATTCTTCCTCTTCAAGACTTTCACCTTGAGCCACCGGCCCAATTTTTTGTGATAGGGTTTTTCGAGATAGGGTCTTGTGAGCTGTGAGCCAGGGCTGGCTTCACACTGCAATCCTCCTGACCCCTGCCTCCTTGAGTAGCTAGGACTATACAGGCGTGAACCACCAGTGCCAGGCTAAGGATCCATTCTTAATATTAGCTGATATAAGGAAATGAAATTACATTAGGGACAAACAGGAACTCTGAATGTACATTCTAAATACTTCTGTTACTCAATTCCTTCACAATTAGCAATCTTCAGGTATTATTTACATAAATAAAAATGCATTTTAAAAATAAAAAGCCCACTATTTTGTCCCTAAGAAACATCACTGCACTGAATTTAAACTGGCACTGAATCCAAAACCTATAGTGCTGCATGCCTTAAAGGCAACTAGAACTTAAATGACCATAATATTATATATCAGGACATTGAAAAGGGAAAACAATGTTAACCTGAAAGTGAATATTTACTACAACTACCTAAAAAGTTTTCCAAATGAATTGTGAGTTGTCAAATAACAAGCAATGCTTTCAAAGTACACAAGAGAGTAGAGTGTTGTTTAGAACTGAAAGAAGTTGCATGAAGAATACAGACACTGTCAACAATCCTGCAGTGAGCCTACTAAAAACCAAATTAAAAGAAATTATGGGATGTTACAATTTTGCTACTGTACTAACAAAAAGCACCTGAATATCAAGACCCATGTGTTTGATATGTTTTTAAAGCAAATAAACTCCTAGCACACTCTTCAACTGGCCAAGGTGAGTGCCGACACTTAATACATCAGTAACAACAATCCATGCAAATCTAAACTGGATTACTATACTAGAACCCCAGGATTCTTTTTGTATTTTAGAAGACTATGCATTCTCTTGAAACTTCATATTAAAATATTAGCATACATTTAGCTAACCCTAATATACTTGCAAAAGTCACTGGTTAATTTCCCTAAATACATGTGAGATTTAAATTTCAAAACAGAGGATGATCTTTTGAAAAGCTGGGAAACATTTAACCCAGCATTGCTCAACCTTGAGCTGTAGCTAGTTCTATTTCCAAGCGGGCAGTCCTGTGTGGGTAAAATGTTCAACTGCATCCTGGCTTTTGCTCTCCAGAAGCTCACAGCTGTGAGAGTCAAAACTGTCTCCAGACTAACAAATGTCTTATGGTAGGTAAAGTTGGTTAAGAATGACTGACAATTGAATCTGGAACCACTACCAAACTTTCTTGAATCACAGATAATGGTAATTCTCATTTTAAAAACTGGAAACCATTACAAACCGATAATATACAAGAAGTGGATCCACTCACAAGGCTAAAGGAGTCGAAAATACCAAGCCATCCATAATGCCCTCCGCTACATAATTACTGGTTTCTTTGAATGACATCTCAGTCTACAACTGCACTTCCACACAGAGAAAATGATCTACAGCCACAGCCACAGCCACCACACACCCACACATACCCACAACCATATTCTCCTATGGTCATTCATTGGAGCTGCCCATTGGTTCCTGGGTCAAAGTTCAGTAGTCACCACTCATCGAATCTCACTGGATACCTTCCATGCTGACCTTACAGTCTATAAGAACTCTTGTACTATGTGTTCTGTGTTTGATTTTTAAGACCATTTTTCATAAATTTTGTCACTACTCTTATTATTTTCACCTTTCTTAGAAGTATCCATTACACAAATTCTCTTGGGATGCAAATCAATCACATTATCTATCCAAATCTAAATCTCATTTCATTCATTATGATTACCAATCTCATTTCATTCCTTGACAAATATTTATTGAGTGGCTTCTCTATGCCAGACACTATTCTTGAAGTATATCTAGGAATACATTTGGGATAATGGTGGTGGGGGAAGATCCTGACTGAAGGAAAAGGGAAGAAGGACCAAGAGTCAGAGGTCCTGTTGAGCCTGGGGACTAGAGTGGAAGTGGCTAGTTCCCCGTCCAGACCTTCCCTATGAGATAATCAGGTGATGTGGAAACCCTGCTTCTCCACCTTTCTCATAAGCAGAACAAAAATCTGTCTTCTCTGTAACTGACTTCTACCCTTCCTCCATACAAGTGCTCATATCTACTATCTGCCTTCTCAAACATCACCACTACTTCATCTGTCAGCTTCTTCAGATGCAGCAAAGGATCCTGCTGCTGAATTTCTGTGTTGCCCAATAATTATCACTGTCCTACTTTGGATTTTCAACCCCAAATGTCAAAGACCTTTAAAAAAACCAGGTTCAAGGACTCCTCCCTCTGCAACTAACTAGATGACTTCTGCCACTCCTCCTGAGTTACCACTTAACCTAATCACCAGTTGATATTTCACTTAGGCTTCCCATGCTAGAACTCTATTCTGACCATTTTAAGCAACTCTACCAAAAAGCTTTCTCTGCAAGGCAAAAGAAATACCTGTGCTCACTGACACAGTAACAAGATGTCTTTGGTAAGCAAGTTATGAATCACAACTTAAGTAAATGAGAAAGGTAGAACTAGAAAGAATGCAAAATGCTCCAGTAGATAGATATCTGAGTCTTAGGTGAAAACCACCATTTACCCTGTAATAAGCTTAAACTCCTAATGGCCTCTGGATTTACCTCAAAAGCTCTGAGTTTGGAGGCAATTTCTTCAAGCAAATGTAGATCTTTGGAAAGCTTGGCCTTCAGTCTGTTCCACCTTTCCTGGGCACCATCAAGTTCTTTTTTATACATTTTTTCTACATCAGGAAGCACATTTTTCTCTAAAGCCTTTGTTTCTTCTGCAAGTTTACATAATGGGGGTTTTTGATTCTCAAGGATTTCATCCAGGGCCTAGAAAAAAAGTTTCAAAAGATTAAAAACAGGCACAAAAATGCATCTGTACAGATGTAATAAGAAGGGCTATATGCAGGAAATAAAGGCATTTTATCAAAAAAGAACTGTGAAAAACTCATGAAAAAAAAGACCTAATCAAAAAAGTTAAAGCTTTCCCTTCATGAGTTCTGTGTGGGCAACATAAATGTATTCTGCACACTCAAAATCACTGAAAAAGCACACTGAGTGCGTCAAGTGTGCACTGTCAAGGCTTGGTCTTTTTTTAATCTAAAGAAATAGTGTATTAAAGGCCACTCAATTAAGGACCTTAGATACATTTTATTCAATGCAGAATTTTTTAAATTATCAACCCAACCAATAATCCTCATTTTATAAGAGATATTTTAGCAGATTATAAAGATTGTAAATTTCATGCAAATTATAATAATAAGAGGAAATAAACATTTCTTCTATCAATACTTAAGAACTATATTTCCTCTTACCTAAGGTCCTACATTAAGGTAATTAACATTCAAAAATTATAAGAAATTTCTGAGCCAAGCATGGTGGTTAACACCTATAATCCCAGCTATTCAGGAGTCAAAGGCAGGAGGATCTTGAGTTTAAAGCCAACCTGGACAGTTAGTGAGACCCTGTCTCAAAAACTGAAATAGAAAAGGGCTAGGAGGGTGGCTCAAGTGGTAGAACACTTGCCTAGAGCACTTGCCTCCGCTGGATTTCCCAGAACAGCAAAAAGAAAAAAAGAAAGAAATTTCTAAACCAAAGATGACCATTTTTTTTTTTTTTGTAAATCACTAAAGAAAAATTCAAAATACAAACTATCAGAAATGATATATATTACCTTTTTTTCTTGCAGGGCCTTTTCCACCTTTGTAAGGTCATTCAAGACATTCAGAGATGCCTGGGCTTTATTTTCTAGATCGTTTAACACATCTTTCAGTGTGTTCAATGTTTCCACATATGCATGTCCTGGTTGGTTCTTCAGTTCTGTTTATTTCAAAATACTTTGAGAAAATAATGCTAGGAACCTCATATTATTATCTGTACTATCAATCTGCATATAAAAAGTGAACTCTAATATACAAGTTAGACCCCATGATTAAAAGTAAAAAGAAGCTCTCTGTTAGTTAAATAGGTCATTCTGCTGGCATTTCTAAGAGACAGACAGTGACTTCATTCCTGCGGATGCTGGTGTTTGAAATATTAACTCACTATCATTTCTCTCCATTTTACCATGATAAAATGTCTCTATGAAACCAGAATGACAATGTCCCTTTTGTCCCATGCAATCTCCTCTTCCCCAACTGCTACACAAGGAATAAAAGAAAGCAAAGAGGCTGCACCAGTCTGCTGTGAGCTCCACATATAGACAAACCCATCTGCAGAGTGGCAGACACTGTAAGGGAAGCATGCAGCCAGGCTGTCACAAGTCATCTGAGGAACAGTGTCTCCTTCCACATCCAATGCAAGAATCACACATAAGCAACACTTGTGCAGAGAGAAAGTGAGTTGTATTTGCAAGACAAAGAGGTGAAGTCAAGTAGCCACTAAAGTTAAATGGACAGCCGGATGATCCTTTTGAGAAAGAGGTCCTCCTGAGCAGTTATGTCATTCTACCATAACTGGTTTCCTTGAACAGATGTGTCCAGTGCCTTTCCAGAAGAAAAACAACGTGACACACTTGCCTAGCAGGCACACATTCCTAATATCCTTGCATTACACAATCCATGAGTGCAGAAGTAAGGCAGTGGTGAAGGTACAGCTTTTAAATATGCACTGTCTGTACAGAATACAACACAAGCCCCAACTTCAAACATGGCATAAGAGGAAAAAATGTAACTTGATGGATGTGCTTTCAAAACCTTTAACAGTTAACTTTCCAAAATAGGTTTATTCCAAAAGTAAGAACTCACTAAATATTTTCAGATTTTAGAAAGGGAATCTGATTCCTTTTAAAAGGGGATGGAACTGCTTAAGCCTTAACCATTATGAACAAACAGAAATTGACAATCATTCTTTTTAGTCTTACTGGGAATGAACAAAGAAAGAAACAGTGACTGTGTCTCCTTTTAAAATCTTCTGAAAGGCTGGGGTGCGGCTCAGTAGTAGAGTACTTGCCTAGAATACACGAGGCCCTGAGTTCTATGCTTAGCACCACAAAACAAAGCAAAATGAAAATCTCCTTAAAAACAATCATTTTATCCTATTACCACAATTTCAGAGCATGTGAAAGTGCGGGTATTTTTACAATGAAGCGTGAGCCCAGAAGACAGTCTGAATATACTTTAAAATCGTGAGCCACACAGACACTGAGGAACACAGGCCCAGCGAAGCTGGTACAACACACGGGTACACAAAAGGTCTAACATTAGGGGCAATTTTAAAATTAAGGCAAACTGAAGAAATATTACAATCAAAATCGAGAAAGAAAACCTTGAGCAAATGGGTTTACCATTCTGTAACTGCTGGTGATGATCCTCTAAGTCCTCCTGCAGAGTCTGGAAGCGGCTTAGAAAGCCATCCAAGCCCTGCTGGACAAAACCTGGGACAGAAGGCTGAGACGTCAGGGCTGAGCAGCTTGCATGCACCCTTTCAATCTTGGGGTGGAGGCCAAGGAGCTCTGTCAGTTCTCTCTATGGAAGAGAAAATTGGGGTCATGTGGCTCTATGAAGATGACCTTCCCACAAGAAGTGAATCAGAATTGACTTAAAGCTCACAGTACAAGAAGCACCCTCTTTAATAGAGGGAGTTGAACTGACCAAAATAACAGTATACTCAGAGCTGAGATATGTGGAGGAACCTTTTGGAACACTGACTACAGAATTTAAAATGAAGGACAGACTGTAAAATAGGTCCTGGTGGGGGGAGTACTTGTGGGAGGGAGAGGAGTGAATGAAAGGGATAAAGGAGGGTGAATATGATGGATGTGCTTTGTGTACATAGATAAAATAGAACAACGAAATCTTTTGCAGTTGTTTTAGGTGGCTGAAGGCATGAAGGGGAGATGGTGGGAGTGAACTTAACCAATGTACAACGTAAGCACATTCGCGATGCATCCCCTCTACAACTAATATATGCCAATAAAAATACTTTGAGAAAAATACATAAATAGTGAGCAACTGCCAAGATATTTTCCAAAGCAGCCCCATCATTTCACACTCCCGCTAGCAGTGTGGACAGTTCTGTTCTCTCCATCTTCACCAACACTGGCTATTGTCTTTTGGTTACAGGTCTCCTCGTGGGTAGGAAGTGGGCATCTCAGTGTGGTTTTGATTTGTGTTTAGCTAACGATTACTGATGTTGAGCACCTGGTGAGGGCCTCTGCGGTTTTGTCCCTCCATTCTCACTGAAACCAACTCATTCTTTCAACAATGCTTAACACTATCAATGATTCCTTTCCTCTTGGAATTCCTTCTTCCCTAGGCAGGCGGCACTTGCAATCTCCGGATTTGGTTCCTTCCTCAGTGTTCCTGACCTGCATCCTGCATCTCTTCAGGAGCGCCCCCCTGCTCGGTCTTCAGTTCTTCCCCACTCTATTCTGATTTCACAGCACTTACTTCTATTTGAAACAAGTCACTGACTGACTTATTTGTTTTTCTCATTGCCTACTGGAATAGAAGCTCTATGGAGACAGGAACTTTGTCTTACTCATCACTGTATTTCTCATTCCTAGATGAGCATCTGGCAACAAATATTTTTAAAAGAAGAAAAAAAGAGAAGCACACTGTTTTATATAGAAGACAGGCATAGAATGCTTGCGTGATCTCGGTGTTTGGCTCTTTACCTGACAGGAATCTTTCAAGTGTGACAAGGACTTCTGGGAAGATTTGGAAAAGCGCGTGTGCTGCACCCACTCCTCCTTTGTCTTCAGGATTTTCTCAAGCTCATCGAGCTGCTTAAAATAAGCATTTATGTCTTCCTGAAGCTGAATCTTTCTTGCCAGACCTTCCAGGTGCTGAGATATGCTCTTCCACTCTGAGGAAACCTTCTCCAGAACATTTTTTATTTCTTCAGTGGAAAGACCTTCTACATGAATAGAAAAATAAGCAGACACTTCATATAGTATCACAAAACTTGTTTTGAGATCGTTCTATAACACAGTAAAAAATGAGGCCATGTCACATATAACCGTCACACTCTTGTCCCTTTCAACACAACAACCACAGATTATAAAGACATACTTAAAAATAACTAAATCTGTTTTAACTTCTAGACCTAAGGGAGCTTAAAATAGCATTTAATAATGTGATCTTGTAAGGCTATCACAAAAACACATCAATTACTTCCTCTTCTACAGAACATGTTTCCAGACCTGACATCCTCCCACTGCTTCTTTAAAATCTAAGCCAGATTATAAACAAATTGTCTGACTTGTCTGGGCCTCTGACATCAGAAGATATGCCTACTTTCTTAAGAATAAAAAGACAACTAGCTAGTAAACTAACTCAGGTCTGGTGACCAAAATACATTGTCCTATGAACTGCAAAATAAATGACCAAAATTCCTTTTACTGGGAAGCAACCAGGTACGTGAAGGAATGTGAAGCCAGCAGCCAGGCCCAGGAAGCACCAGCAAGCCTGCTAGGAATGCTGCACACAGATAAATACCAAAAATACCAAAGCAGTGGCAAGATTAGTTTGGAAACACATTCCAAAAATGCCATTACCTTTTTTTTATGGGAATCTCATAATTGTGTTTGCGTCATATTTTTGAATGGAAGAGAATGTTCCTAGAAATGATAAATTTCTATGTATAGCAATAGGCCTTTACAAAGTCCTTCCCTTGATATAAAAAAACCATCAAATCCTTTTGGATGGCTATGAGAAAGTGTGGGAGATCAGCAATGGGCTCTTTACAGAGAACACATGATAAGAAGGACGACAATAAAACAATTCTGCTTTGTATACACACACAATCAAACTTCAGGGTAATGAGAGCTTAAACTCAAAAAAAATGACTTGGAAAACAAAAGGTCACTTGTGATCCATAGACAAGGCAACTTGAAATTTTTTTATAACACACTGTATTCACTGCAAATTAGAAATGCAAACACATCGGGACATGATTTGGATAGATCACCCATCAGCTGTACACTGTCACACAGGTAAGCAAATATTAGATGTATCCAGAACATTTGCACCCAAACCATGTTCACTCATTCTGGACAAACTATCTGAACAATGGAGAAAGAGGCTGCACTTGGCAGGTCACTTCCATTCCAGGGAGACACAGGCAGAATAATATCAACTACTTCATTTTCAAGTCAGGGTAACTTATGCTGAACAAGGAAGAAAATTAAGCTGGCAAATAACATTGCTGAGATGGAAAATTACCAGCAGTCATCTAAAAAGCTGGCCAGAGGTTCTCCTTCCAGGTACAGCGCAGCTGGAGAAACCTCTCCAGTTACTTATTCATGATGTCTCCTCATCCATTCGTTGTGCCCCCTCAGACTCCCTCTAAACATTTAAATCTCCCTTCTCTAAGCCTGAGATACCATTGGCTACAGTGATGTCAATTAATGATTAAAGTACACATCACATCTTAAAAAAGGAAATCTGTACATTTTCTTTACAAATAATTCTTTTGTTCCCAGAGCTCCAGTTATAAATTTTCTATGTCTATGGAACACTCAACTCTTCCAAATCAAAAGTTAAAATCAGTAATGATTAATAAAAGCACTTCATTTTGTTAATCATCTAGAAGGGACAACAGTCAGGCATGGTGAGTTATACCTGTAACCCCAGCACTCAGGAGGCAGAGGCCAGCCTGGGCTACAAAGAGACCTCATCTCAAATCACAAAAAAATAAAAACATTAAAACATAACAGGGACAACATGTAACATATTCCTGCTGCTTACTCTCACTTTACACTTCTTAACCTATCTCTGCTGAAATCAAGGGAAACATTTACAGAACATAGGACCACCACAGATTTCATAGGTTCACAGCTTAGCCAGCCATAATGGGTGTCAACGTGTAAGGCCACATCACACAAGTGCCAAACTATTACACTAGCTGACAATCTCCAGGAATAAGATAAGCTCAACCAAGAAAATTGGGCATAATGGCCAGGAAGGCCAAATGAAATAAATGATTTCATTTTTTAAAACATGCTGATGGTTCTGAGATGTCACAAAGCTTCAGTCAAATACATCAGGCAGGAAGGCCCTGGCAGATGTGTCCGAGGTTGGTTTCTTGATGGGACTGTCCTCGGGGAAACAATAACATGGTTATCTGACGTCTGTTTTACTGGAGTTCAGTCATTTATCTGCATCCCTACGTAGGTAGAAGTAGGATACATTTCACTCTGTAGAAAACTTCTTCTACATTAATTATTCATGTTCTAAAGTTGAACTCAAATTTCTTGGGAGGGGAAAGGAGAGGTAATAACCCAGCTGTGCTTCCACTTCTGTTCAAAACAAGATGTGATACTGGAAATTTAGAATAACGGATAAAATGGGAAGGCAGTAGGTAACAGAAAAAAATCTAATCTTTCCCTCATTAACAAAAGGCAAACAATCCCCCCAAAAAGGTGAGAAAACTAAACCCAAAACACACAGACTCTTCTCAGATCAATGCCCCATTTCCCAGCTTCCTAATGCATCCTAAAAAATGTTAATAACAGAAAGTCTTTTAAAATAGAATTATGATCTTTTAATGAATCCATTTCTAGTTCTATTAAAGCTCAACAAAAACCAAGGTAATGCAAAATATAAAAGGTTTCCTACAAAGCTGGAGAAGGATACATTAGGTTACCTACTTCATCCCTTTACAAAACCAAGGTACCTTACATCCCACCATGTTGCACTTAGCCCCTGTGAGTAGCAATTTCACATGAATTCGTTTCCAGAATATGCATGTTTAGGACCTGCCTATTCACAGAAGAGTTTATTGAGCAAAAGCTAACTTGGCTAAAAACTCTCTCAATTTCTAGACATAGAAGCCAAAAAAACATAGTGTTCCTTAACTCACCCAAAGACAGGAAACTAAAAAGGAACGGAGAACCAAGTTTGCCCACTCCACTGCCACTGTCACGACAACACAGCATCTGTCACTTCTCACCAGGTAGTCTTTCCTTTTGATTTCACTAATTCTGTCATACTAATTCTGTCTGTCACCTAAGAGTTGATGTAGAAGTAAGGGTAAATTCAGTGGCAGACTCAGGAAGTCCGGGTCCCAAGGAAGTATACTGAGGTAGAAGTAAAGAATCTATAATTGAAAGTAACATAGATTTACCACCCAATTGGAAAAAACCTGCATTTCTGGAGAAATCGTGGTCTGTTGTTGACTCTGAGTCTCTTCAAATAAATACTTGAATGAGAAAACAACTGGGGTGCCCACACCCAGGACAGCTAAGACAGCCTGCTACAGTGAATTTTGAATACACATACTATTGTATTTATCTGTTTTTTTAAAGGAAGAAATTAGCCTTTTCTAATAATGCATGGATTTGCAATAACATATTTTCATAATTTAAAAATAACTGGACATGTATTGGATACATATATTGAGATATGCTACATAGTTCTTATCTGTGTGTGTACATCTCCAACACAAACACAAAATAAGCAAACATATGTTTTTGAAAGGCTGGAGGCAAAAATAATCGAAGGGTTAAAAAACATAGAAGAGAAGTTTTCTAGGATTGAGGAGAGTAACTGATTCAAAAGGGTAATGAGAGAACATGCTGAAGAGATGAAAGCATCTGTATACTGATTCGTGTGCACAGGTTATTCAGGTATGCCTGTTTGCCAAAACACACAGGTAAGTTTTACAGACTTCAGTTTTTATCTCAGAAAAATTATTAGGGTGAGTAAAGGTATAAATAACCCAAGAATGCGAGAATCTCATTCGTTGTCAGAGTGAAAAACTTATACAAGGAGATTCGCTACACTATTCTGTTTACTTTGTATGCAGTTATGATTTCCAAAACAAGAAGTACAAAAATAAAGTTTGAAAACTACTACTTTGAAGATGTTTGTCAAACCAATATTCCTGACTCTGCCTTGGTTGTCTGCAGGGTTGGTCAAGGAGAGCGGTGGCAAACCCCAAAGCACCTCCATTGTTAGAATAAGGAAAAGTGACCAAGAAATGCCTTTCAAAGTTAGAGGGAAAACCACATGACAAACTGCACAGTAAAAAAATACTCATCTTTGCACTCCTCTGAGTCACTGGGGACTATGGCAACGAAAAAGTTCTTCAGTACAGGTAAATATTTCAAACACATGTACTATCTTACCAAATTTAACTATAAAAATCACTATAGCAAATTTGTGTCATGCACTGGAAGTGATCAAAAATGAAACACCGTAAGTATATGACCCTTAATGGAACTCATTTCCCAAATGTTGCCAAAGTAAAATTTTCTTTTGGTACTCCCCAATATAAAATCCCTAAGGAAGCAGTTTTTAAGTCTTCCTCACCACTGCATTGTAACTGCTGCTGAGGTTTCAGGGTTCCTGGTTCCCTGACCCCATGTGAAAATGAAACGACTTTGCTTTATCTGTTTTTAACAATCGGCTTCAGTATAAGATTTCATTCTTCAAAAGATTCTTCTGCTTAAAAACAATTTTTGGAGGCCAGGCTTGGTGGGTTAATCCTGTAATCCTAGATACTTGGAAGTTAATAGATTGGGAGGTTTGCATTTCAAAGCAATCCTGGGCAAAAAGTTCCCAAGGCATAGTGGCATGTACCTGTCATCCCTGCTATGCAGGGAAGCACAAATAGGAGGACAGTGGTGCAAGTCACCCAGGCAGAAAGTGAGGCCCTATCTCAAAATAGACAGTGTAGCAATGGCTGGAAGAGTGGCTCAAGTGACAAAGTGCCTGCCTAGCAAGTGCAAGGCCCTGTATTCAAACCCCAGTACCACAAAAACAACTTTAAAAAATAAAAAAAAATTTATAGCAAAAAAGAGGGTTGGTGTGTTAAATGTTTGATAGGTCAAACTGCAAATGTTATTCAAGGTCACTATCTAAAAAATCTTGGGGAAAAAAAAAAAGGGTCTCACCTTTTCCCATTTGGTCCAAAAGAATTTGTCCAGTTTTGTTTAATTCATCCAGCCGGGGGCTTTTCTCTGTCTGTTCCTTTTCTAATCCCTGGAAATAAAGTCCCAATATCAGAATACTGAAAACTTTTTTCTCAATATAGTGTTAATGTTATTTTAAACTTTTATGTTTATTATCCTCTCAGTTTTCTTTAGGTAAGTTTATGTATAAGAATACTACCAAAAAAATTACAAAATTCCAGGACACCCTCCAGCACTCCAGAAAGGAGTAAATCTGAAAAAGTAAATGTGGAAAAACAATGATGACAGCAACCATATTACTTTAGTCTGTTGCTGAAGTTGTGGCTCAGTGGTAGTGTGCTTGCTTAACATGCATGAGGCCCTGGGTTCAATCCCCACTACCACACAGATACACACACACCCCCCAAAAAAAGAAAAAAACAAAAAACCCTCAGTTTCTTTTACAATGACAAAAAAATTTACACTGTAATTAAGAGTTCCTATTAAGAGAAAAATAATTAAAATCAGTGTTCTAGATCTAGGATATGTGTTCACAAACACAGCCTGAGTATTTCACATCATAAAAATAATGGTTTGAGTCAAAACACTGGCCATGCTATGACAGAGACCACTGAGAAAAAAAATTATCAAGAAAAACAGAGGGCTGGTGGAGTGGCTCAAGTGGTAGAGTGCCTGCCTAGCAAGCATGAGGCCCTGCGTTCAAACCTCAGTACCAAAAACAAAAAAAGAAAGAAAGAAAAACAGAAATATGTTGACCCTCAGTATTACTTTTGGCATTATAAACTCAAATTTATATATTACCTATATATAATACACACATAATTATATAAAATAATGAATCTAAGGCAAACTTCAAGCACATTTCATACATAATTTTTAAGTGAAGACAATAAGTAGAGCATTTTGTTCTTTACATTTGAGGAATATTTCTTCATGTTTGAGGAGCCATCTCTTAGTATCTGGAGACAAAATCTTTGGAATAACACAAAGTCATAACTTAATAGGATTCAGGTAAATATAAATGAGTTTTAAAAATAGTAATAATGACCGGATCACCTTAATGAAACTAAACTAAGGTCAAGGTGAATGAGACACACAAACCTCAGTCCTCAAGAAGTATCCAGTCACTAGTAAGCAATGAAAAGTAATAGGTGATAAGAAAAGAAGTCTTATGTGCTAATTCCAGAAATTCACAGGAATGGCTCCTGATCCAATCAAGAGTAGGGTAACTTTGGAGTATAGCAGTGACCATGCTTTTCTAATAATTAACTGGATCAACTGGATAACAACTGGATTCCCTACTGTATAACAACTGGATTCTCTACTGTATACCTCTATCACTGAGGAGGAAAAAAGAATAAGCAATCCTGCTCCACACCGGGATCTGATGACAGCAAGGCTGATATTTTAGAAGCTACCTGCGGTCACATTTATTTCACAGGGAGCTTTTGGATTCCATCACCTCTCAATGTCAACAACAAATCTAGCCTGATAAAATATTTTATTCACTAGAATATTTGTTTTATGTTTTACCTTCAATTTCTTTTTCATTTCTGAAGTCTCTTGCATCTTCTTGTACTCTTTTATCTCTGCATTCTGAATGGCTGTCTTTGATTTCAAAATCCAGTTCAACAGCTCTGCACTTACAGCATCAAACCTGATTTAAAATTCAGATGTTACCATCTCTCATCTATATTCTTCCGCTATTTTACTTGGCTCAAAAAAGAATGACCCAAATGCCCATCACACATGTGTTTTCAAATAATCCCCCAAAATGGCAACTCAGAAATATAGTAAGCACACAAAATAAGATCATACACTTACAATGAAGAGTATGAAAACAGTATAATACTATAATATTATAAATAAGTGAATAAAATACATAAAATTTTTGAACTTTACAAGGAATCACTTGTATTTTTTTTATAAACTCTTATGATAATGAAAAGCAGGTGTGGTTAGAATTCAGAAAAGTTCAAGTACAAACACTCATGAATACGATGTCATCTTTGTTCAATATGTCAGGCACTGGGCTGGACTAAGATCAAGATGAATTAGATACAAAAATCTCTGTCCTCAAGGAGTGTCCAGTCATTAAGCAATGAAAAATAATAGGTGATAAGAAAAGAAGTGCCAGGTGCTAATTCCAGGAATTCACAGGAATGGATCCTGATCCAATCATGGGTGGAGTGACTTTGGAGCACAGCAGTGGCCATTAGTAGCTTTCCTTCCAAAGGGTCATGTTTTGCAAGCGACAAATAGGTGTGTCTGGAATCCCAAGTACTTACAGAGAAGGATAATTAACAAGGAAGCCAAGTCACAGGACCAATTACAAAAAGGCCCAGCAGGATGTGTTAAGGGGTTAGGACTCAACCAAAGAGCAACTAAAAGCCAGTGAAGGGTTTTAAGCATAAAACTGATAGGATTCTGTGCATACTTTTCTGTTCACTAGGAGACAGAATTCGAGAGGCAAGTGCAGAGAAAAGGTGACAACAGTTACAAGAGTCAGGACTCAGACAGGGAAAGGGGGGCAGAGGAAGAGTAGACAGATTCAAGAGGTGCTGAGAAGGCAGGTCAAAGCCACAGTAAGAAAGAAGAAGAGGAGCAAGAGCCATTGGTCACCGGGCAGAGTCCAGCTCCATTGGGAAGAGTCTCGCGTATATTATTAACTCAAAGAATGCTGACTGCCCTGTGAAGCACACATTATCATCGCTTTCAGTGCTGAAGCAACTGAGCTCACAGAGGCCTGAAGTAGCTGTCCATTCTATAAGAAGTGGCACAGTTGCTGTTCTCACAAAAGCAGTTGGTCCTCTTAACAAGCATACTCCCCACAGAGCTTATCTACGGTAAGCAGCAGCACAGGTTGTATGTGCTGATTCATTTGGGAAAATTCACTTAATGTGTTTCTAGCAAATTATGAGTAATTACCCTTGCATTGAGGTAAATGTTCCTTGTAATATGTGATAAAACAAAAATTCTGAGATGTCCTAAATTTAATTACAAAGGTCTAGCAATGAGGGAGTCAGAGATAAATGAAGTTAATCAGTTAACTTCTACCAGCCAAAACCAACAGGAATATTCAACATTCCTATTAAAACCCTGGCTTAACAGCTGTGCTGACCTGACCCCACCACCCCAAGCCCAATCAATCCATAAGCAGAAAGTGCTTGTCTTTACAGACAGCCGTCATCCCACTCCTCTTATCTCAACGTAAGTTCAATGTAAATAACTTATGCTTTCTTTCTCCAAATTTTCATTATAAAAATACTCCTCGCTCTTGGATCCACAATACCTATTTCTAACTGCTATCTAAGCTTACTGCTAAAAGTTCTGGAACTTGTCCCAGGGCCTGGTCCTGTCTTGCTAGCATTGGTAACAACTCAGTATGCCCTTTTATTTCAGAGAAGCCGGGGTCCAAAGAGCTTTGGTGTTCCACTCCAAAAGCTCTTGGTCATGTGCCACATGACCTACCAGAGCACAGTCTTTCAGAGAAGAGGAAGGCCATGCAAAGATTGTGGCAGTGGGGAAGAAAATCATCCTTATTCTGTGAATGTGAAAGTCTAGAAAGGGCTGGTGGAGTGGCTCAAGTGGTGGAGTACCTGCCTAGCAAGCGTGAGGCCCTGAGTTCAAACCTCAGTACAGCTTTAAAAAAAAAACATCCAGAACAACAAACCTACTAAGTTGGTTATTGGGAAGTTGAGGTGATGAATTATGAACTTCAGTGTTTTGCCTCCCCTCTCTATTTTTTCCCTAATCTTTTATTTACTTTTGCCTTCCCTCCTGGTCTTTAATCTTTTAAGGATCCATCCTTTTCAAGTGATATTCTCTGTAACCCACCTTCCTCAACTCCTTTCGTGTGAATTGGCTTATAGGACCAGCAGGAGAAGAGAAGGGACCAGAGAGTAATGCATGGGGGGGTGGCATGTGATCAAAGTACATCATACGCATGTATGAAAATGTCATAATATGACCCATTATCTTGCACGATTATTATATGCTAATTTTTTAAAAAGAATTGCTTCATTAAAAAAAAGAAAGAATGCATACACTGCCACCAAGATGTGGAGATCCACATCCACTTTAAAGCGTGCTATGGGGTAGACAGATCAAAAGGAACTAACAGCACGAAGGAGCCAGGAGACAGGTGCAGTAGCATACATGTTCCATTATTGTCCCCAAGTAACAGCTGACTACAGTTAAGGTTTCATGCACACCTCCCCTCACATCACCGTCTTGGCTCTGATGACAGCTTATTAGGTAAACCACACCCCATTTCCCTGTTTTCACAGATGCCTTCTCGTTTCTTGGAAAACTTCACAGTTATGCACACACCCTTAAACCCTAGCCATAAAAGTGCCTAAGACCAGGGGATCAGGACACTGCTTGAGTAAGCTGCCTGCCCTCAGTTTCCTTTGGAGACATACTAAAATGTTACCATCACTTATTCTTTTATAAAAATTTAGCTTTTGCTTACATAAATCTGCTCTATTAAATACTCCTCCTGTGCATCTGCCCCAGAATTTTCTCTTTGGCGAGACCAAGGACTTGCTATCCTTTCCCCTGATGGACTGAAAATACGAAAAGATCTAGAAAGAATATCACACTAGGAATAGTTAAAGATACTCTGGGCTTTAAGATGATGAAAACAAGTATGAGCTGGTGTTCAAACCCCAGTACCACCAAAAAAGAAAACAAATATGAAAGCCATATTCAAATATTAACTGGGTACCATTTCAAAAAGAATATATTTAGCTCTACACTGCTCCAGAAAAAAGAATGAGCACACATGGGCAGACTTATAGGGGTAGAATTTAGGCATATGAATAACCTTTCTATAGACACTCTTTTTTTTGTTTGTTTTTTGACAGCACTGGGGTTTGAACTCAGGGCCTCACACTTGCTAGGCTGACACTCTTAACCGCTTGAGCCACACCATCAGTCCTTTAAAAATAACCCTTCTAATAATCAGATTTAACTGCCTTCAGCTATAATGGACTGGAGGAACTCAAGCCTCAATTTGTCCAGGGATTAACTGAAGGAATGTCTGCCTAATCCAATCCTGGAGTGGGTGACTGTGTCCCTCACAAAGGTTTGTTCACATCCCTCACTCTACACTTCCTCCTCACTATCTACCCTAGAACACAAACTAGAGAGACTGGAGAGACTAGGGTGCCTCTCACGCACCCAAGGCAAAAACAAATGACTGAATCCTGGCCTGTGATACCAAGGGAGCAGTTTGCTGAGAAGACAACAGTGAAAGTTAAAGCAACCCATGTTACAGAATCTAAGGTCTGGAATCTATCAAAAACCTGGGAGACAGAAAGTGGTACAAGGAAGCAGGTTTATTATTCAAGACCTGCCTGAGGACAGTGGAGAAGATACCCCACCACCTGCAGCTCAAATCTCCTCTTTGCAGGGCTCAGAGAGTGTGAAGGACTTTTGCTGGACATAAGGGGTGACAGTAAAGCAATGAACAGAAAGTCCCTGTGCTGGGTGGGGACTTTCTCTTCTTGAAAGTCTATGTGGATTTCCACCTCCTGGGACCAGTATTAGCATTTTCTTGTTTAGATAAACCAATTAATGAGACTTGTGTGGAAAGGATGGATCACTTTTATCAGGGAAAGGATGCAGAGGGGAGGCAAAGTTAAAAAAAATTTTTTTAAAGGTTAGAGAAAAAAAAAAAACAGAGAAGGGGGCCAGGCTATTTGGGAGGTAGAGGTAGGAGGATCAAGGTTCTAGGCCAGCCTTGGAAAAAGCACAAGATTCACTGAAATCCAAACTAAAAACAAAAGGACTGGGTGGTATGTCTCTAGTGGTAGAACACTTGCCTAGGGCATAGGTTCAATCCCCAGTACCAGAAAAAAGAGGAAGGGAAGGAGGGACGGAGGGAGGGAAGGAAGAAAAGGAAAAAAAGAAAGAAAAGGACAGAGGAGGCAAAAACTAAAGTCTCCAATTTTTCACCTCACATTCCAATTCTTCTCCTCCAAAATAAATAAATTAATGAGTTTGTTGCTCTGAACATTTTTTTCTATACCTCCACATTCACAGTTTAAACATGGTTTCCACCTGTTACAACCATAGGGAGCGTGGCAGAGAGGAAAGGAGGAGGGTGGCTGAAGTAGATCTTCCCATTAAAATTGCCCTATGGTCACCCTGAGTACTGGCCAGGCGATCCAGCTGAATTTCTACCCTCCCTACTCTCTTCACCTTGGAGGACAGGACACCACCTATAGGACAGAAGTCTCCCTTCAGGTGGACCGGCCAAAACTAATTGGCTCTATCATGCTTGCCAGTGACTAGCAGACAACCTCTAGCTTCACTGTAATCCCATCTGCATACGAAATGGCACATCCCAGCACCATGACAATTGACAGCTGCCATCACAACACTAGAAAGAACCATGAAAGGAATCAGGCACAGGTGGCCCATGCTTGTAAACTTAGCTACATGGAATGCTGAGATCAGAAGGACCATAGTTCCAGGCCAACTCAGGCAAAAAGTTTGCAAGACCCCATCTGGACAAAAACAACAACAAAGGCTGGGCTTGGTAGTATGCCCCAGTCATCCCAGGGACAGTGGGAGGCATAGAAAAGCAGAATCTCAGTCTAGGCCCACCTGGTCAAAAAAGTGAAACCCTATCTCCAAAATAACCAGAGGGCTGGAGGTGTGGCTGAAGCAATAGTGTGGCTGCCTAGCAATCACAGAGCCCTGAGTTCCAACCCCAGTACCACCAAAAAAATAAAATCAAAGGAGCAAAAAGAAGTAGCATCAGAATTCATTCCCAGAAAATTCCTTCCCTCTATGAGCCTATCCTCCCCCACCCATTCCTTTTACCCTACATCTATAACCTCCTGCCCTATAAGGGTTGAGAGGTTGATTTCCAAGTTTATATCCCATTTCTATTCTTGGCCAAGAATAAAAGTCTCCTTCATGCTCAGTTTAGTGCTCGTAGTTCCAGAGAGAAAAAGGACCCAGTTTAGAGGCAAAACTGGAAATACTCCTCTGGTAATGACTTCTTGTCATGTGAGAGAATAATAACCTCATTGTTTAAAAAGTCACACTGGGTACAGAATTCCGTTTCTTGCAGAAAGCTCCAATACACCACAGTTATGTCTAAGCTTCAACAGTGATGCACAGTAGTCTCTTCCAAAGCCAGCACTGGAAAGACACTCTGTCAGACACACCTGGCAGCTAAGGCACACAGCAAATGTGAGACTGACACTAATATTAGCTTGGGCAACATCTCCCTCCCATGCTGCCTTGCTCCAAAGGCAAAGGTTCCAAGGCTGCTATGTGCAACTCAGGGGACACTGGTCCTGCAAGAAGAGACTGTTCGGAAGCAGAAGCAGTCTATGAAAATGCAAATCATCTGGGAAACTGGATCCTGCTTTGTCTAACAGAAGTTAAGCTAGGAAAAACATATCAATTTTATTCAGGCCCCAAATAATTGCCCATTTACCCAAGCCCTGGGATCCTGCTGTATCAAAGGAGAATAACAGTACCTAAAAAGCAGTTGTTAGGATTCACTGCTACAGTACATATGAGGTACAGAAGCCAGGAACAGTATAGTTTGCATAAAGGAGGAGCCACAGACAATCATATCTTCTGAAGACAAATGATGGAAAAGAGAAAGGATTCCACCACTCAGTTCTCTAAGTTGAACACAGGATAAATAAAACCATCCAGGACAATGCTTAGCTCATGTAAAGCAGGACAGTCAAAAGACTCAAAGGCAGCAAACAGTTCAATAATTGACTTTCCATGATAGTGACTATGTCTAAATTTGTATTTGATTAGTGATTAATACCAGGTAAGTATTAACTATCAAATACACTGTACACAGCATTGGGTTTCTCTATTTGTTCTCACTTTTTTTTAGCTTCAATATCCACATGGATCTGTCTCTTCTTTGGGGGAGGAGGAGGAGGCAGTTCCTGCTTAGACTTTTTTGTAGTCACTTGTTCTCTTAAACGCACCGTTTCCAAGAGATCCTTCTGAGGAATCTGGGACATCCCCAGCTTTGCTATAGCCTGAGTCACCTGAAATAAAAATCATACATAGTTTTAATTTTGTATAAAGAGCTTTCTTGAGATACAATTCTCATAAAATTCTCCCTTTGAAAAAATGTACCATCCAAAGGTTTTTAGCATACAATTAGTAGTGATATAAGACCAACTCTACATTTTAACTCCAGCACCCCCAAAAAGAAACCACACCAATGAACAGCCACTTTCCAGTCCCCATTCCCCTTCTCCTCCATTGATGGACATTTGGTTGTTCCACTGTAACCATGACAAATAATGCTGCCATTAGCATTTGTATATAAAACCAACTTTTTATTTAATTCAATCAAATATTTTAACATTAATATGATTACTTAAGATTTAAAATTTTAAGAGCATTTATTTCATATTTGCCTAAATGTTACCAATTACTGCAAGTCGAACTACTGGATGTTAATAAGTATTTTTTAACATCTATTAAAATTTTCTTCAGAAAATTGAAGGGTATTTCCACGTCAATTATTCATCAGATAGAAGAAACCAACATTTTTACTTTACCCACAAGTCTTTTATTCCATAAAAACTAAAAGTAACCTGGACACTTCAATGTTTACATTATGGTACAATCACTATCCAGTTTAAAAGGTACCTGGTTGGAGGAATCTTCTAGTCTCTGAACCAAAGAATCCCATCTCTGAGTTAGCTCTTCAGAGTCACTGTTCATCTTCTTAGATGCTTTGGGATTATCAAGTAACTGGCCCACATCCTGCCCAATCTCACTCAGTTGATCCAATGTTTGACGCTTCATTTCCATGTCTTCCTTCAAAATCTAGTAATTCAGATATTTATTAGATGACTCTCTCAACAAGATTGTATCTTCCCATTCCCCAGTCAGGAAATGAAAACATGTATACATTACAATAAAATTTCCATTCCCTGAGTTCACTGAGCTAACACAGAAGACCCCTAGCTGTTAGGAGTTACAGAACAATACCCATAATCTGTGTTTACTGAGCTGTATTACCTTCCCTACCAACCACCAAGACATGGTAGACTGACACACAGACCTGACAATGCATCACTTACAGCCAGACGTCGAACACTGACACTTAGTTCCTTTTGGTCTTTGAAGCTGCTTGTCTGAACTTTATTCAAAGCCTCTTCTTTTTCAGTGAGCCACGCTTTTAACAAGCACTGCAAGTAATAACAACAATTGGAACTATATCTAGGAACTCAGTTGGTAGTTTAACTTAGTCAAGTTCCCAATTCTATAATTTTTATGAGTGGCTTTACCCTTAACCCAAGTGTAAGAAGGACTTCAAATACCTTAATACAAATAACTCAGAAAAACACCTTTAAAAACATTGTCCTTAGCAAATCAAGTTTGCATTGCCCCGTGCCAGGGTGACAGCTTTAGTTTACATATGGTTTCTGTGGGTCCCCCAAGTTTATGTGCTGGAGATTTGGCCTCTAGTTTGTGCTATGAGAGGCGGTGAACCTTGAGGAGGTGGAGTTAGTAGGAGGTCACTAAGGATGCTATCCTCAGGAGGAATTAATGTAGTTCTCTGGGTCCTCATCAGTTAGTTCCTGAAAGGACCTTTGTATAAGAACGAAACTGAGCCCTCCCTGCTCTCTGGCTTCCTGTTTTGTAACATGATCTCTCCCTTTATGTGCTCACCAATTGCCATAAAGTGCCACAAACAGGGAGCTCTCACCACAGCAGTGCCATGCTGTTTGGAGTGTCAGCCTCTTAAAACTGTGAGCTAAATAAGCCTCTCTTCTTTATGTATTATCCAGCCTCAGGAAATTTTGTTGTAACAACAGAAAATGGGTTAATACAGTAACTAAACCTCAGGGAGGTGGCTGAATGGAAATGCAAAATCTAATTACACAAGTCTCCAGAAGAATCATATATCTCTAGAGGCACCAGGAAGCTCAGAGATTGTCTTGTGCCAGCCTCTCATTTCAGAGAAGGAAAGAGAAGTCAAGTTACATGTTCAAGATCAACTGGCTGGTTAATGGCTGGGCTGAATCAAGAGTCCTCATCCCCAAAGCAAACTCTTCACAGCACCATGCAGGAAAACACCGCTGATGGGCAAACCTCAGTCATCATTAAAGAGGAAGTTTACAGATGGTTCAAAGTCAATAATGAAAGTATTTATTCTATACTTGTTCTTTAAGAATGAATGTTCTTTAAGAAGATACTATAAAGGGATGACCATGAAGAGGGATATAAACAACTGTGGCTGCACTGGGCTGGGATAATTCTCCCCAACATGTAGCAGCAAATACTACAAAAACCCTTCTCTATACAGCTGGGAGGAGAGAGAAATCTTGGTTCTGTATTTGCATTTGTATGAATTCTTTCTCAACTGTTTTATTCATCAATTTCTTTTGTAACTATTTCTCACTTCGATGTTCCACCAAAAAAAAGAAAATGAAGATTAGCAAAATCAAAGACAAATATGGATCCTATCCTTAGTCTAGTAAGGCTGATATATGCACAGAAACAACCACGAAACAAGATAGAACGAACACACACACACACACACACACACACACACACACACATACACAAAGATATAATTAAATGTCCAATCAAAAGCAAAAAGTGAGTGGGAGGTTAATTTAAAACTTCAAGTGATAAGTGGCCAAAATACTAGCTACTCCCTAGTTTTTAAATATTTTTTAAATTATAAAACTAAAATTATTTCCAAATTTAAATTGTATCACTTGGTAGAAAAGTAACACCATGATTTAAAGTCCCCCATGGGCTTTTTTTTTTTTTTGGCAGTACTGGGGCCTGAACTCAGGGCCTTCACCTTGAGCCACTCTACCAGCCCTATTTTTGTGAAGGGTTTTCCGAGATAGGGTCTCACAAACTATTTGCCAGGGCTGGCTTCAAACTGTGATCCTCCTGATCTCTGTCTCCTGAGTAGCTAGGATTACAGAGGTGAGCCACCAGTGCCTAGCTCCCATTATTAAAGAAAAAAATTTAACTATTCTATGTGACTCTTTGAATACTAGGTTTGAAGTAAATGCAAATATTGGCAAAGTGCAACATAAATATTTCAGAAAGTAAAATCAGTCCATTATGTGAGTCTTAATGAGACAATTCTGACTGAAGATTGGGGGAAGTGGTGATGATTAATAATTTGTATTTGGTCAAATTTGCAACCTACTTTTTTAAAATGAGCTATCTGGTACCATCTCTACTTAACCACAAAACCTCCTACCCTTAGGTCCCCAATGCCCCCATCAACGAAATGCACTTAAAAGAAGCAGAATAGACACTGAGATGTGGGAAGAAAGCATCTGCTTATTTTCTAGAACACAGCTGTCTGGCATTTGGGGAGAAAAGTTTCTACTTCTTTATATTTTGTTTCGATGGCTACTTCTCTGGAAGGATGGAGGGAGGGCAAAGGGCCACCAGTCTGGCTAAAAAATTAAGATGGTAGCTTTGCATCATGGTTTCATTACCTGTGATGATCCCTACTGGAAAAATACATACTAAGTGTTTAATCATGGACATCACTAAAAAAATTTATTCACGCTTCTTTTAGTACTCACCCTAGTTACAAGTCAAGGAAAATTTAATGTTCACAATGTATCAAGTGGATTCATTTATTCGTTAATTAAGGAGCACAAACCACATGCTAGACATTTTTTAATACAAATTCAAACACGTTACCCAGCACAAATCCAATAGTAATTATAATGTCCAACAAATCACTAACACAGCATAGCTATGTACTAACATTCTAAGTAATGAACATAGATCAAATTATGATTATCGTGAAGCCAAGCAACGTGATTTTTCATGAGTAAGCTGCATGATCAGTTATAAAATGCACAGAAATCTGACTTTTAACATACTAAATAAATACTTGTATATTTTCCTTCTAAAGAGGGGAAGGTAACTTTGTTCTAATGCCATAAGAAAAGATGGTTTACTTTTCACTCTGTTTTGTACTTGATGGACAAGTTTCATACCTGTTCTTCCAATAATTCTTGCCATAATATATTGATTTCCTGTAATCTGTTCCAACGTTCTTCAGTCCAACGGCACACTGCCGTCCAGCGCTCACCAAGTTTCTAGGGAAGAAAGAAACCAGCCTTTGTCAACACAGCTTGAAAAGTTATCATAATCCTCCCAAAAATTCATGATTTCCATTGGTCTTTATTACAAAGTAATAATTTATGAAAATTACTTTTTTTTAATAAAAGTTGCTTTAAATTAACACAGATTGATCTTATAAAGACCAACGTGAATATAAATTTTCATAGAATTTAGTTGTTCACATTACCAAGCTTCAGAGAAGCACAACTAGAACTCTATTCTGCTCCTTCCATTTCATTGTGGTTTTAACACAGGAATGTAACATTTTCACATATATTTTTGAAGCAGAGCAAACATGTCCGCCTTTTGTACTTCAAATTTTTCAGGCTATAATTATCTTCAAAAAAGAAAGCAATACATCCATCTTATTTCTTAACTACCTTCTATGTGCCAAGAAAATTTTCATCTGTAGTACAAAAATTATGAAAAATATTTAAACTCATAAAAACTACGTTTTGAATAAGAGAATACATTTTATTCTATCAAGCAATAAAATGCTTCCTTGATTTATCTATATTACATGGTCCATAGAAAATTCCTCATAACAGATCTTATACGCAATACTAAATACACTTGAATAACTTCCAAAACTCCTTCATGGTGACTTTTCCTCTAATTATTTTATTATTATCTTATACATAGTAAGATGATAAAATTTACTTTGATGTGAACAAGAATTATTTAATTCACATTATACTATTTTGATATTCAAAAAGATATGAACTTTTTATAGTACAAAAAGTAAAGAATTTAGAGCCAAAATAAAGATCTCAGGTCTCAGCATGGTGACTCATTCTCTTTAAATCTTAGGAGCACACTTTAGTCTGTGAATTTCAGTTTCCTCACTAGTAAAAAGTAAAGACATGCCTACACACCTCTCAGATTACTGTCATACTTAAATATTACTGCAGTGAAGTCTCAGAACCATGGGCCAACTTTAAATATTACAAATTAAAAGGGATTTCAGGTGATGAAGTTGTAGTCTGAAAAGTTATGGGAAATCATAAATTGGCACTGTTATACAGGTAATCTAAGCATTATTCCAGTGAAATATCAATCAATCTCTTTAAAAAGATTTGTAAAGATATACCATTTCCTTGTGCAAAAAAAAAGAAAAGCAATTTTTGGGGCCTCCCAAAAATGTTATTCTCAAGTTATAAAATGCATATACATTTTTTTTTTTACAATGCACTGTGCTCATCCCTCTCTCCCCACCACCCCCTTGACCACCAGGGACTCAATTCTGCATGGGCTGGAATTCATATTTTCATAAGCCCTTCAAGTGATTCTGAGTAAGAAGATCTGTGGAGCCCTTTTACTCAATTCCTGTGCTTCCAAATTTTGTTCCTATTATGCACAAGAACATGGGCGACCAGACTCATCCATTTATCTCAAGTGCTGAAGTAAAGGAACCAATAAATGGGTCCTCCAGTAACCCACATGCTGTGGAACCCCAAACAGTTAGCACAACCAAAAGCAGGTGTTACAGTTTGTTCCTCCAAAATTATGCATGAGTTTAATCCCCTAAGTCTTATGTAAATAGTACTAAAAGGGTGGAAACTTAATCTGATTGTGGTGTCTAGAGGTGGGGCTTCTGGCAAGTGACTATATTAGATTAGGTCATTAGGGTGGAGCTGCCATGACTGAATCCTAGTGATTTCAATCACAAAAGCCTGTGCTGTGTTGTTTGGACTTCCAATCTCCAAAACTGTGAGCTGAATAAACCTCTTGTCCTGATAAAGTAATCTGTCTCAGGTATCTTGTTATAGTAACAAAAAGTTGGCCACCACAGCAGCTTTTCTTCTACCTTTTTGGATAAATAATGAGACAGGATATGAATTATAGGATCAATTAGTGGAGCGATCTCATTTTACAAGGTCCTTACCTGTAACTGGTCTTCCAGAACAGCTGTAGCATTCTCACCACTATTTTCATCAACAATTACCACCATGTGAGTTAAGGAGTTCACCTTTACCTGTTCAGCCTCAAGATCATTTTGCAAACTCTGGAGGAAAAATACAATGATGTTAAACCATTATTCATGTTTCCCTACTTAAGATTCACTCCATTGTCAATAGTAATTAAGGACATCTAATGAGGCATTGTATAAAATTTCCAATCATTATCCTAAGTGTTCTGCTAGTGAGCAAGTCTGTTAGACATCTTTACATTTCATTATGAACCAGAGCAGTCTGAAATGCAATGACATAACAGATTGCAAATGGAGTGTCATCACTGGGGGGAATAAAATAGAAGACTTGAATATCTACATTAGGAAAGAAGACAAAAATGTAGAGTTGAAAAAGTCCAGAGTTTAAATCCACAGAACCAGAGATGGTGTTAGCTGGTAGAGAATGGTATAAAGTGACAGAGAAACAGAATCCTATATAATGTGCAGAAGCTATTCTAATTGCTACCAAAGAAAGCAATTAAAGACATATGGATGTCTTTTGTTCGTCCCTCTTCTGTGGGAAAACCAGTTACTGGACATATGTAGAAAGGTAATTTGTTTAAACACTGTCAGTAGTGTTGTGAAGTGCCTACTAAGTTGCATTTAATGTGTCCCTATTAATCAGTTATCTAGATGTTTCTTTGGTCAATAAGGATAGAGGATATTTTACTCTACTTTTCCTTATCTTGACTATGAAAAGTGATCTACTAAACTTGGTTGAAACTAAATCATCCACCAAATTTTGGTTCTTCGCTCAGTACCTGATGCCTACCTGGATCAGAGAACAGGCAACAGGTTTCCTTTAAGGATTACGGACAGCTACATCTCAGGATTTCCTGCTCCACCCACACCCTGCACTAATGCCAACATCCCAGGGTTCTTAACTACTCATGGGTTCAAAACCCCTTCTCTATTCTTCTACAAGCTATGCACTTTCATAAGAAAACCATGCATGTTCATATAAAGCCATACCTGCACTTGTGTCCCTGGCTCAGAAAAGGTCACATTCCCGTGAACTCTACCCTATGAGCTACTGAATAAAAGACAACAAGTCCTCACTCCATACTGGTAGAAGCCATGCATGACCCCTGTGGATGCTATGTGATGCTCATTCATATTTGATAATGTAGAAAAGAAATAAAATGTAGAATTACTTTATGCTCTTCGAGCAGCTTCTGCAGGGATGGCAAATCATCTTGCAGGGGACAGGTCTCCATCTTCTGGATGCGTTCCTCCGTGAGGGTTAGCCATGCCGAGAGCTGCTGCAGCTGCCTCTTCTGCAGTTCCATCAGCACATCGTGCAGCCTGGCCAGGGCGACACAGCGTCATTCCCACCCGTTTTCCCCACGCCTCTGCACACACACACACACTCACACCAGGCACCAGAGAAATGGAGCAGGGCATACACCCTTGTCTGACCACTGGAAGTTACAGGTAGTCTTTAAATATAGAAACCAGGAAAACAAAACCCTTTCATTTTCTTCCTAAATCAAGTTCATTAAACACAGTCAAAGAATGTACATAACAGCAGCCTGTATTTGTATCAGAATCATTGTTTCTTCAATCAGGAATTCCTGCTTATTAAATAGGTGGAAATGGTAACGGAATGCAACACACAATGCATGAAATAAAACAGACCATGGGAAAAGAGTGCCTTGAAAACATGTTACAAAACAGAACAGCAGGTCCACCAATGCAAATAGGTAACTGTCCATGTGAAATGCCTTTCCTCCTTACCAAACTCCATATTGCAACTCTGACCTTGACCTTTTAGCTTGGCTAACATATCAAAAAGAAAATGAAATGAATTCCAGCAACGTACACACAGAACTGAGTCAGAATGCCACAAGCGAGGTACGCACTGATCCTGTGTTCCCAGACACACCGACTTCTTTCTACTGGAGCTCAGTTGCGCAAGGCATCTATGGAGAAAAGCATTCACTTCCAGGTGCCACTCACCGGGACTGTCTGTCCATGCTCTCCACCCTGAGTGCCTCCCATCTAGCATTCAGTAGGGTCATCTGCTCCTGAACCTCAAACTCCTCTTCATCCGACAGCGCGCCTTGTGTAATCAGCTGGTTGCCTGCCTGCAGGACACTGCCCACACTGCTCTGGTGTGCGGTCAACTCCATCATGAAGGCCTAGCAAGTACACCGGGGTGATGCGTGAGCTGCTCATTGCAAAGAAATCATAGCCGATTGTTTGTGCATCATCTGATATCAGTACCACAGAGAAAGAGGCTTAGTGGACTGCGGATATGACAGACTTTGATGCCATGTTTTACTCTGAAAGTAGGAACTGGCACCTGGCATAAGTCAGAAGGGAAAAGGAGCAAGGAGAACAGTGCCAATGCTGATAATGCCTGCTTTTTTATAAATAATGCTGGAATGCTGGTTACGCTAAGAGACTGTGAGCATGACATTATGAATAAGTATGATAAAAGAAAAAGACAGGCTCACACAAGAGGACCTGTTGTGGAATATTGGCCATTTTTAATCTTTCCAATGAAAACCAACAAATAAGATGTTATTTAACATACCAAAACAAAAAACTGCTTCACCAAATAGAAATCTCCACATACTCAAAATCACTATACATCAGTATAACACAGTCTCAAAATAACAAGAAACTCTTATTACATAAAATGCATGGGAATTCTGAGTGTGACATTTGCTTAATCATTCAACAAATGAAAATTATCACTTCTTGGAGAACACTTAAATCTAAAGATTTGGTATATTGACTAGTCATTTTTTTTTTAAATAAGGCAGTACATTTGAGAAAAAGGCAGTACTGTGGCACTGATTTCCACCAGTGGTTTTATGAAATACACAAGTTACCATAAAATCAGTCTGAAATCTGATTCTATGCACACTCCATCATCTACACCAGTGTTCTAACAAAGCTCTATTTAAATATCATGAGTCCCAAAACACTCCATGACCTTTTTGTGGAACAGAATTCAGTAAAAACAGACATCAGGGTGGAGCACATGCCCCATAGCAGGCAGATCCAGCTCATCAACTACAGACACTTACTTCATGGGTGGCAAATTGATCTTTGACTTCTTCAACATCATCAGAAATGTCGTCTTGCTCTTGGAAAGTGTCCTCAGCAGACAGCAACCAGGTCAGAACTTCCTCCAGGGCTATCTGGTAGCTGTCCAGATCCATGTCAACCTCAGTGACTGTGCTGGGGGTCTCAGCTCGGGGGCCCTCACGCTCCTCTGCCAGTGCTGCACTCTATGAAAACAAAACCAAGGGAAATTTAAATTAGTGAGAAAGCATTTCTTTAGTGCCCTGGGACAGCAGAAAGTACAAATGTGTCATGCATTCATGAGTTCTCTACTCACAGAGATTCTAATAGAGTCAGGGAGAGAAAAATAAGCCAAATGAATCACTGCTGAACAAAAATAAATGGCTCTGCGGTTATAAATGCCATCATCCCATTAGGGGTTCCTATTTGAGCTCACCAAGGGCTAAAACCGGGAGGAAAGTTTCATACAGCAGCTGAAACATGTTGGAGCTTGAACAATGGATGTAATTTACAGGAAAAGAGAGAGAGAGAGATTAGAACTCTGTTTTGACCCAAGGTTAAAATGCTTTCACTGAACTGCATAACATTGCATCTTAGACAATAAAAGACAGCAGTTACATACATGCTGACTGGTTTTTGTGTTTTGTTTTTTGAGGCAATGACTACCTAGATTAGTTGCTTGCTGGTCTTTCTTTTTAACACTCCCTAAGGGATCATGGAATAAATTTCTCTTTTTTTTTTTTTTTTTTTTTTTGCGGTACTGGTGTTTGAAACTCAGGGCTTATACCTAAAGCCACTCCACCAGCCCTATTTTTGTGATGAGTTTTTTCAGGATAGGGTCTCGAGAGCTACTTGCCTAGGCTGGCTTCAAACTGCGATCCTCCTGATCTCTGCCTCTTGAGTAGCTAGGATTACAGGCGTGAGCCACCAGCCTCCAGCTCTAAAGTTCTTTTTAAGCAACTGAGTTTTTCTTTATATACTTTAGGACTTTTTAAGTAAACCTACAGTATCTCTTGTTCTTTGATAAAACTTTAAACTTGCCTACAGATTATCTCCACATTGAACTCTCACCCACAATTTAAAAATATATATATCATGTACATAAGTGAACAGAAGTAGTAAAAGATATGGTCATGTATTTAATGGCTATGGATTGTTACAGTCCCTTTCTTTTGACTTGATATTGCCTCAAATCTCAACTGAAAAGTTCACAGCATCATCTGTAGGGTGATCATATAAGTAACAAACCAACTAGAAGATTTTTTATAACTGGCTAGAATAACACACGTGAACCAGAAGCAAACCAAAATGCTGGACACCGCAAGTTTCTTACTTAAATCCTCTGTAGGGTTTCTAAGTACCTGACCACTTGTCACCTTCCAGAAGGTCTCCTAACTTGCGTCAGAAGCATCATACTGGTTTTCTCAAAGTCCAGTGACAACTTCCAGCCAATACATAATGAATTTCTTCAAAATTAGGTCAAAAGCTTTTCCTCTCACTGTATACTTTTCCTGAGTAAGTGCGTCTACTTATATTGAATTTAAAGAACCACCTATATCCTGCAGATTTCACCTTTACATTTCTGATCTTAAACGCTCTCCTGAAATCCAGAGTCCTGTATCACGTACCCTAACTTCTCCACTCTAATGTCTCATAGGCATAGCAAACCACGTCCATAGTTACACCCTCCATTTTTTATCCCAAAACTTGTTCCTCCTCAGGTTGTATTCACCCAAGTACTCTAGCAAAAAAAAAAAAAAAACAAACCTGGAAGCTAGCTTTGGTTTCTTTCTTCTTCCTTTCAGCTCCCATATTTAATATATATGCAATTCTTACCTTCAAACTTTACCTCAAACCCATCCAGACCTTTCCATCTCCACAACCACCTATGTCTCTCCTTTGGACATTAATGGCTTTTCACATTAGTCACTCACACTCTTACTTCCCACAATCCACACAATCCACTTCTCACAAGGCAACCAGAATGTTCTTTCACAAATGCAATCACACCATGGGGCTTCCCTACCTACAGTTTTTCACTGCCTTCTCAATGCTCTTACATCACAATTTAAAATTCTTAAATAGTTTACAAATATATTGTGATTGCAAGAAACAATGAAAGACAATATGTGTGTACAGAGCTGGATTTTAATAGATTGATCTGAGAAGACTTCTTAAAAGATTCCAGTTAACTAAGGAAAAAGGAAGGGGGTAGAGGAACATTTTACAGAGGGAAACCTGCATGTATAGGAATCAGGGAACAAGAGGAGAAACTCCATTATGGCTATAGTGCAAAATAATGGGTTTTTTTTTTTTCCAAACTCTAAAAGGTCTTAAATTAATATATAAACTTGAAAAAAAAAATTAAGACACATAAGACCCTTTGGGAGAAGAATCAAACAAGTCTGACCAACAGACGTACAAGCGCTAAATGAACCAGTGAGCACAAAGTGAAAACACTAGGTAATTAAGGGCCAGATGTGCCAAAAACAGAGGAAGGAAAATGAGTTAAGTTCTAAAACTAAAATCCTGACACTGTAGAGGTAAAACAACTTTAAAAAAAATCACTTAGGACCAAACCTCTAGACTATGATATAGATATCTAAAAACAAGCAAAGTTAGTAATCAGACAAAGGTCACTTGGATACACATACAATGCAAATAACTGTTCAGAACCTTTTAATTAAAAAAACACAAGGAGACTTTTAACTGGCATATATCTAAAGAGAAATACAGGAATTATTTGCTGCCTACCTAATGTTATACAGCCTATGTTTGTAGAAAGAACATAGCCAGAGAGGAAGGCTGGTTAACAGTATTCACTGGAGGTTAAAAAGTAGGGGAATAAACCTCGATCATGTTTATTTCTGATTAATGCAATTCAATCTCTACACCACTAATAAGAACATGCAAATGAAGAGGTTAGTATTAATATGCTCGCTCTTAAGCAAACAGAAAATGGTTATAGCAATTCTTATCACACCACCATGAATCCTAAATAGAAATCATTATTTCATCTTTGAGAATGGCCTGAACAGTAAGAATTAAAATAGTCTATCTTTTTATCAAAATGAAATCCAATCCAATAAAGAAATGATTCTAAAAACCAAGAGGCAACTGAGCATCAGTGGCTCATGCCTGCAATCCTAGAACTCAGGATGTAGAGATCAGGAGAACTGTGATTCAAAGCCAGCCTGGGCAAATAGTTCAAGAGACCCTATCTTGAAAACACCCATCACAAAAAAAAGGGTAGTGGATTGGCTCAAGATGTAGGCCCTGAGTTAAAGCTCCAGTATTGAAAAAACAAAAAACAAGAGGCAAACTCAGATTTATCTGATACACCTAACAAAGTCCATCATCAGTCAAAATAATGATTGCACTACAAGAGGCAAAGGCAACTAATTATATTAATCTAAGGGATTTCCTTAGCATGGCTTGATTTTCAAAACTAATTTAAAAAAAAAAAAGGCTGAGGTTCACAATCAGGCAGAATCTCTCACCTTCTTTTCCTCAGTTTTTTTTTTCTTCTTCTAAAATTCATGCTAATTTTTGAAATAATAAAAAAGATTTGCACAAGCTGTCCAAAAGAAAATCTAAAAGAACTAAGTTCTCTGAATCTAATGGCTATGTCAGTTCAAGATTATTATCATAATATGGGAATTAAGTAACATTTTATAAAGAAATTTGTTAAATGACAATACCAAAACAAACAGAGGAAAAATTATAATGGTAGCTGATGCTTACTGAGTGCTTGTTAATATCATTTTAGAACATTTCAATCCATTATCTTCATCAAGTAGGTAGTTTAACCACATTGGTTAGGAAGTTAAAAACTGACAAGGGCGATGTGGTGAGATCTAAGCTCCAGGCCCATGCTGGCTGCCTCCCCAAAATGGATTTCTTACAATTCCAAAATCCATGTGTATCTCCTTAGTTGCTTTGTTTGCTAAGATGACTTCCAAGATCTGATCCAACTAGGGAGTCTCTCATTTTATGAATTAAGAAGATTAATTAGATTAAAACAGAAAAAGACAAAATTTAGATTGATTCAAAGGACAACAAAGGAAGGAAAATATTCATTATTTTATTTATATCTCATACCCTAACAAATAAAACCCTTGCATGAAAGACTTGAGGTAGATGACTTCTCCTAAAGGAATGGCAGAAGAAATGTTATATATTTTGACAGCCTTATGAGAATATAATGGGAAAATTATTTATTAATGGCCTCAAAAGAAAAAATTAGTACTTAGAGAAAAACAAGGATGGCATGAGGAAAATCATGACCACATGAGCACAGTGTCAGGGATGGAAGCCAGGATAGAAAAGTGTGGGTTCTTAAGCAGGTCATGCAGCAGCAAGAATCAGCTGTGGACCCTAAATCCAGCCTCGCTGTGTGAAATGACACCTTTTCCTTCTTAATAAAGCTGGTAGAGTTAAGGTTTTCCATTTACAGGCATGTGACAGCATGCTAACTGAAAAACTCAACTAAGAAATATAAGCAGACAAACCAAGATGTCTCAGTTAAGGGAAAGGCCTGAAAAAGCATTGTTATCTGGTACCTACAAGAAAACAAATGTGGATAATCAAATGCTTAATAAAAATGTCCCAGTACCTGTATATTAATTTCTTCCTCTTCACATTCTTTCTTGTATTTCCTCGGGAGTGTCTCTACCTCTCGAATGGCATCTATTGTGACTTGCTGAGGTAGCACCTCAAACAAAGATGTTAAATACATAATTATAGATTTCTTGTCAGGAAGCTGAACAGCAACATCTAAAAGTGGAAGAAAGGAAGAGCCAGCTTAAATTAGATGTCCAAAATATGTGAACTGCTCAATATTAGGTTATAAAATAACTCTCCACAGTACCCATAAACAATACCTGATACGTCTTTGTAATACCAAGTCTCAGGAAATTGCTTTTTCATGTCATAAAATATGAGGAAAGGCAGAGACAATTACTTATTTTTATTCAGCACACATTTCTTAAAAATCTTCCCAAAGCTGAGCATGGTAGCACACACTTATAATCCTAGCACTGGGGAGGCTGAAGTAGGGTGATCCTGAGTTTGAGGCCAGCCAAAGCTACACAGTGCAACTGGTTCTCAATTAACTCATTAATTTAAATAACTCTGGGAAAGCTTCCTCAAGGGCAGGGGATGGCTTGTGCAAGCAAGCACAAGAGCATGTGTGAGGCTCTGAGTTCAATCTCCACCATTATAAGGAAAAAAAATTGGCTACATATGTTACAATTAAAAATAAGTACATGGACTTCATTCCAACTGTAAAGTCTAGAATTCAACCCTACAACATTTGTAACTAAAATTTGCACATCATATGTAAGAAATTCACACATAAATGCATTTTCATAAACTAAAAACACTGAACAATTCATCTAATAAGCAATTTCTAAAACTCTAAATTTTACTTGATATAGTTTATCACCCAATGATATAATTAAATTTCTGACTCAAGGAGTCTATAAATTACTAAGAAAGAGATAATAATTCATTTGCAATAAAATGTGTTATACCTATACTTCGAAAGGGAAAAGATTCCTCACTTAACATAATTCATTCTAAGAAGTAAAACAATACTGCTTTTCAAGGATTCAAAATTATAATGCAAAATCAAGCTTGAAAGTCAATACTGTACCATACCTTCAGGATCTAACAGCTTTTCAATTCCCAAGTAAGTCTGGGCCTTGCTGAAAGCATGTTCAAGCCTCTCAATGGGGGACATTTTGACAACTCTGTCCCAGCTGAAGAGATCAGGCCTGAAATCACCATGCAAATAAATTACAATGAAGACAGAAAATTGTGGAAACACAACAGGCATTGTTATCATCTGATACATTTCAGTTTGGGA